CCCTTTTTGTTAATTCATAGTCCATTGACAAAAACCAGTGATCTTCAGATTTGAAGGCGAGCAGTGCTCGGCTACCCCTACTTTCACTCTATTGGGAAGCACAGGTAAAAGACTGATGATGATTTTAGAAGTGGGAGAAATGAAACAATCAGATACTTCTAAACAAACCCGGTATTAATACATTTAACAATTTTATTCACATGAAAAAAATATTTTACAAAATACTAATCCATAAAGTTTTGTTGAGTAAATAAGTTTTCATTTCAAGAACTAACGTTTTATGGGGTTTCTCCGAATTGTTTGAGAACCCATTAATCTTGTATGTTGCTAGTTGCTTGTTAACAAAATAAACCAATGAAACTTCTTTTCTGTTGTCTAGATCGTTAGGTAGTAAAACATCTACAGAAGTATAGTAACATATACATACAGAAGTGAGAATTTGTTTGAAGAAAATAATCTATAGTAATACAATATTACAATTAGTATGTACTACAAAATTTGTAAAATTGTACAATTAGTACAATTTTTATCAGTATCAGCTCTTGGACTAGTAGCAATGTGAATAATGTTTGTGACTTTCTCTGAGATTCATAATAAAATTGTAGCGGCTTAGCACATGCATCAACACTCCTTCAAAACTTTAACACAATTTGTAAACTTGAACAGTGTTGGGGAAGCCACTTTTAAAATGTAGCTAGCTACGTTACTTTTATTCCACGCACATTATTCAATAAATGTAAAATTAATTGCAACTACATTTTTATTGAACACACACTCAAACAACAAAATTTTGGTATTATATCTAACATTAGTTGGAAAACAAATTATTCCTAGATTGTATTTAATTTGTTGGCTTCATAAACCTAACATTACAACAACACAACCAAAATAGTTTGGTGTTCCATCACATTTTAATTTAGTCCTTATTTTTAACTATTGCTTTATTTTTAAGCATCTTATATGTAAATTTCAAAGGAACCAAACTATGTTTTAAAAGGTCATTTTATTTCTTTAATGTACATTCATTCATAGATGTCTTAACTATTAAAAACAATCTATCTATCTATATATTAATAGGCAAGCATGTTTCTTTAAAACCTTTTTTCTCAGCTCGTGTGCATCGTAGGGAAAATCTACGCATACCGTTAGAAAGCTATTTTCCTGTAGGTGTGCAGAATCCCTTTATAAATTAAAATAGGCTCAAAGATAAGCACAAAAAATGAGTTTAAAAATTTGAAAAAATTAACATGGATCATATGGGTTGCCATGCTGGTGACGAAATAACAACGAAATATAAAACAAAACAAAATCAAAACAAATGGAAGAAACTCCAATCACATGTTTTATTTACAGTGTGGGGTGAAAATAGAGAAATCTGTACATTACATATTTTTGGTCGAGTTTCGACCACGGGGCGTGCTCTCGTATATCTAATTCCGTTCTAAGCCCAAAATTTTACAATGAAATTGTGAGTGAACGGGAGGTCGTAGAAAGCTGGGAGGGGTCTCATTTTAAAGGTCTTGGCATGAAATTTTGGGGAAAAATATTCATTTTTCTTATTTATGCACCAAAACGTTACGGAATAAAATAATTCACATTTAAATAGCATTGGAGTCTAGGTAATGTCTGCTTTGTTTACTTTAAAACATGTGGTTTAACTTTATTTAAATCATATGGTAATATGTACTGTAATACGTCTATTATAAAGCTATCTATATATTAATTTGAAACTGTTTTTCTTTGTCATAGCTATTTTGAGAGAACGGCTGGGCGTAGAAACTTGGTAGAGGTGTCTAAAGAAAGGTCCTGGTCTGTAGATGAGCCTTCAAAAGAGAAACATGGAGAATTCCCTCGGGGCAGAGGCCCCAGTGGCCTTTAAATTCCCATCCCATGTTATTCTTATGGAGGAAAACGAGGTTTTTGTCACAGCTAATTTGAGGGAACGGCTGGGCGTAGAAACTTGGTAGGGGTGTCTAAAAAAAAGGTATTGGTCTGTAGGTGAGCCCTCAAAAGGGAAACAATGTAAATTTCCTTGGGGCTCTGCCCCAGAGGCCTTTAAAGTTCACTCTGCAATTTTGTTTACATTTCGACCATATGGATAATTTTACACTACTTTTAATGAACCAGCTGTTAATATTAAAATTGTATTCAAAGGTCTACTGAAACTGTCAAAATTAAATGTTTACATTATTATTTATGATTTTAAATGGATTCTCCACTGCATGGCAAGTTTTTTATAGTTTCAACAAAATGATGAATTTATGATACGTTTGAAATGTTTTGTTCAAAAATCTATGCTTTATTGCTCTTAGAAAATTTTAAATTATGAAATAAGTGCCTTTTTTTCCTACTTTCAATCACCATTTATTTTTAAATTCAAGAAAGAACACCTGAGATTCATTTATTGGTATAACAGTTTTTGATAATCGGGTTGAAAATTGTGTCATAGATGAGTACACGTTGAGGATGAGAGCTGTGTTCAAGTTTTGGAATAGACTAACTACGGAGTCTATGGTTTTGGTAAAGTAGGTGAACTAATGTCAATTCAGGTATTTAAAAAAATGTGTACACAGTTTTTACTTTGATGTACACATGTGGCTAGGTTGAATAACCCATCTAAACCTCACTACATACAAAACATTCGGAAACACAACAGTGTCATCACATCTCATCGCATTTGCATAATTTGTTACCAATGCTGGACTAGGTTATGGATTTGGTTCCGCAAATGTTCAAGATTTGTGATAAAATTTCCTACAATTATGGTTCATTCCAATCCACGAAATACATGCACAGCTTTATGTGATCTATATGGCCAAGGCAAAACTACCCCATAAGTCAATGAATTATCAAGTAAGAACAGGATGATTAAATACATAGGTCGATGTGGCAAGAGAAGGATTTAAAATTGCTGAGATCGAAGTAAGAATGTTACTGCTTTCTGGAGAATCAGATATTTTTATAAAAAAAGACTTATTATTTAAAAAGATTTACTTATAAATCCGGATACAATCTGAATGATTTTCCTAAAGCAGATGGAATTAGTGGTTAGTAATAAATATTGTCTCTTTCCGTAACATGATAGACTAATTAATTATATGAACTCATTCTCCCATATAGTGAAAGTGGCTTTGGTATGAAACAAACTCATGAAGAAACAATTATAAGACTCCTAAAAAACCTTTTGAACTACCTAAAGCCGATAAAAAGAAAGGTAGAAAATATTGTGTTAAACGAATTCATCAATCACGTTTTTTAGGGAACACAATCGTCATACTTATTATTGCTTATCCTCCCTACATATAACTAAGATTTTAATGACTTCACTCTATCCAACGCAGTTAGCAGAATTTACATAAAACCTCAAGATTAACCGTCGATTTCGACGTGGTTCCACTAGTCTATAAAGCCAAAAGTACCCATGAACTTTTGAGAAAACTACAAGTCACGACCCCATAAACCATATACTTAAAATGTTAGTCATGACGAGAAACCTTGCGCAAAATTATCCATTATTTCATAAATTGCCCTATAAGGTCGTAATTGCTTTCCAAAGGGAACTTTCCATTTACCTAATGTTAAAAATACCTCAGCAGCTATTATTTGTTTGTATTCTGTTTTGTTTATTTCATCTTAACTAAACCAATCGATAGTTTTATCGTTTTATTAATACTAATGTAGTAAAACGGGGTGGAGCGCGTGGGTAACAGCTAGTATATCTAATTCCGTAAGCCCAAAATTTTACAATGACATTGTGAGTGAACGGGAGGTTGTAGAAAGCCGGGAGAGGTCTCATTTTAAAGGTCTCGGCATGAAATTTTGGGGGAAAATATTCATTTTTCTTATTTATGCACCAAAACGTTACGGTATAAAATAATTCACATTTAAATAGCATTGGAATCTAGGTAATGTCTGCTTTGTTTACTTTAAAACATGTGGTTTAACTTTATTTAAATCATATGGTAATATGTACTGTAATACGTCTATTATAAAGCTGAAAAAATATACTTTTTACCAATTTGAAGGGTCTGGATTAGTTAATGGAGTACGATTGGTTGTGTTAGTTATGTTGAATAAAATGTCAAGTTAGAAGTAATTACTGGAGTAGGCAAAGGGAATATATTTTTCATACTAAAAATAAAACTAATATCTACAGATATGCCATTTAAGTTTACAAGGATTCAATTCCTATTGCGATTAGCTTTCGCTATTACTTATTATTAAAGCGCGAGGCCAGACCTTCACAAAAGTTGGTATTTATTTGAAAAAAGGGGGAAAACAGTGTTTACCCATAGTCAACTTTACGTTTCATTTAGCCGGATTAGAAAGTTTATATTATAAACACAACACATGATCAGTCCTTTGGAATTTTTATTTTAAACAGAGCAGACATCAAAAAATGCATTATGCAGGTATGTAATAACTATTATACATATTATAATATACAAAAATGTTAAACGATAACTCAAGGTAGGGTAACCTATGAGAATAATAACATTTGTACAAAATAATACCTATATATAGAGGCTATTGCTACTACAAGCCACTAGTAAAACTGTAAAACGATTATTTAAAATACTCTTTTGTGTTATAGAAATTCAAAATTTCAAAAAAATGAAAAAAAACTGGAGATACTTAGGATTAGTACCTCTGCACACCAAATTTGATCAAAATCGGACTACAGGTGTAGTCTGTAGCTCTGTACATATCCACACATTCAGACACACACAGACATCACTATAAAAAACACTTTTTGGGTTCAGAGGGACCCAAAATGGATATATCCACTCAAAACTAAAAACTCTAAAATGTTGACGAAAAACAATACTTTCTCAATATACTATGGGATAGGGGGAGAAAGTAAAAACATACAAGCTGTGTTGTTGTAAATCTCCCCAATATTTTTCACCAGTGGATCTCCAGATCAAACACAGTTGACCAACTCAGTTGACTAGTTTCTAAACAGGCATTTTACATTATTGTAATAAAATAAAACTATCGAACTAGTAAAAGATTGTATTAAAATACACTCCGGCGTGAATTATTACAGACTTATTTGGTTTGTAAGGTCTTACTGATGAGATTTTCGCTAACTTCCCACAACTTGACTCCGACCTCAGGATCAAAGTTATGAGTTGACTTGTACGGCTTGCAATCCCTGTAGAACTGTCCTGATGTCCCGAGAACACTGTCAGAAACAGCACAATGCAGAACTGTTTGAGATCCCTGCAAAACAGCCTTGTATGAAATACTGTTTGGTACATTTGGTTTGCTTTTATCAAGAGTATACCAAATCTGGAAAAGATACCATCAAATCAGTCAGATATATTATTTTACTGATTGCAATGTAAAAATATTTTATTTAGAAAAGGTTCAGTTGTTTTTGTGTAAAAATATATGTATTAGTTTTATCTATTAGTTTTAAGTGTTTGATTTAACCATTGACAATATGTCCCGTTATTATGATGTACGGACATGTTATTGAATAAAAAAAATAAATGATTATAAACATTTTTGTAAATCTAAAGTTATTTTCTCATCATACAGCAGAACTTTAAAAGTTCATTACTATTCCATGTTTGTTTGTTGTTTTTTTTTAAATTGTTTTATAATATTTTTTCAAATGTCTGCAAAACAACAGATTTCAACTATCTCCTAGAGAACCGTTAGGAGCCAAGTAACTGGTACCTAGATGTGTTAAACATTAGACTTTTCTGATATTTGTTATGTCTTTAGATTTCAATGGTTTTATTTCCTGTTTATTAGGATTTTACAGGGCTTGTAGAGACGTTTACTACTACTCCCAAACCTTTGCTTTTTAAAAAGTCCCTACCTACTTTACAAACATTCCAATTTGTTATGGTACATCGGGACCTTAGTAACAGGTTTCTCAAGGGGATTATCAACTAAGACTTGTAATCAAGTTTGAATTATTACAGAGGTTTGCATGTGATTAGGGATGATAACAAAGCAAGGGTATTTGAAAATGACTTTTGCAATCAAGGGTGACTTTTATCACGGTTCTCACTATCAAGGTTCCACTGTACTTTAAAAAAAAACAAAAAAAAACTAAAAGTTACCTGAGCAGCTGAGCGCATAAAGAAGAAAGCAATCGGAAGAAACAGCACTTTTTGATACCATTTGACTTTGGAGTAGCGAAAAAGGCCTGTGTAGCAGAAACCTGGACAGACAGCAAACACTTCTACACCGGTGTCAGCTGTTCGTCGAGCCAGTTCCTGGCAGAAATATGCGTTGGCAAGCTTGCTGTTGCAGTAACCTGGGTTTCGCACCTTGCCGGTGAATCCTTTTTCACCGTTTAAATTATCAAAATCTATGACACCACTTTGGTGCAAGGTTGAAGACACGACAACCACTCTGAAAAATAGAAGTGTTTTAGAGTCCTTACATTATTTTTCACACTGTATTATTACTTAAAGACATCAATCCAAACGGTCTGATATGCAACATAGGTCCTTATAAGATAAGTTATGTATTTTAAAATTGACAACACTTGAAAATTTTGTAGGGTAAAATTTCAACTTGCAGTAATTATAAAAACTTGTAGCAAGTGTTAAAGTAACTGAGGAAATTTAAGTCTACTTTAGTTTTTCATGATTTAGAAGTGTAATCAGTGTTCCTTTCATTTTGATGCTGTAAAATATACTGTAAGAAATTTATTATTATTAGGCCTACCTAGCATTAATTATTCACTCACTTACCGACTTGGAGATGACTTTTTCAGTTTTTCAAGAAGTATATCAGTGAGTAAGAAATGGCCTAAATGGTTTACACCAAAATGAATTTCAAACCCATCCTCAGTCTTTTTGCTTTCTGTAACTGGAACACTTACTCCAGCGTTATTTATTAACACATGAATGTTTGGAAAATCCTTCAATACTTCTTCAGCAAATGATTTCACCGACCTCAAAGACGACAAGTCCAATTTCATCGGAATCTGTAACAAACAACAAGATCATTAAAGTTTTAAACACAGTAAAGTTTATTTTACAAGAATTTATTTTAGTTCAAGAGGTGCTTTGAATTTTTTCTCTTGTTTTGTTGAGCATGCAAGGAATACCAAAATAATACATTAAAGATTGGAAAAAATAATTACCTACATACACTACCTACATCCGCAACAAACAAGTTATATCCGGGTGTCTTAGCAATCACTCTTTAGCAAACAATTTTTATCAATTGATATGAGGTATCAGGTTCTTAAATGTCTACCTCAAAGTGAGAGAATTGTTGTGTTTTTTTTTTTTTTTTTTTGTACTGTATGGTAAGTAATGAAGCCTGTAAAATGCTTCCTAATTCTCAAAACGTTGCTACAGCTGTGAATTTCATCACAGATTATCGTTAAGTTAGGCCCTAGTTTGCATTTTTACATTTACATTTAGGGCCTACATTTTTAGCCGACAGATTGCAAAAAGATATTCATTTATTAATTAGGTGCATTGTATTTGTACACTTTAACTTACACACTTAACGATAAATTTCTATTGGTTTTAAGTTAAGTTTACTGAAAATTTCTGAATAGCCTACTTATCGAATGTCTTATAAAAACAACCGTTATTGTGAGACTAGTGAAAAAAAGTGCCCTGTTCATTGTTCATAATAACTTCTACATTAAACGCAACTGTAGCGTGATAAAGTTTAGCATTGATACAGTGAGAAAAAAGTTACTATAGGTGTCATAAAATCAGGAATCTCAGAGTAAATCAAAATTAAGTAGGCCTAATCATTTAGGTACTCCTCCCTCAAATTAACCTTTTAGTCAACCTGTACAATCTATCAGGCTCCAATTTAAGTTGATGAACAGACATGCTAACTAAATTAAAAAGGTACAAACAGTAACTTAGAGGTCTACAGGTAGCTCATTCCTACATCGCCTGGATACCTTCCAATTAAAAGCCACTAGACTTCTAGTGGCTTGTACCAAAATCAAGAAAAAACCTTCTAAAAACTCTAAAGCTCAAGGGGACCCCAACACCTAACATCCCCCGGTACTAGGCTACACTTGAAAACGAGAGTCACAGATGGAGGCGATGTGTGTCTTCAACCTAGGTCTTAGGGCAACAATACAGTTTACCGCAATATATATACAATATAGGTTACCACAGAGCACCCTAGCAACAGTCGCCACAACTGGTTTTTTTTTTTGGGAGGAGCATCCACTCGCAATCTGACGGGCGGTCGCCCAAATCACTCGAACAGCGTAGATAGGTGATTTAACACTTAACTTTGCTATGTCGCGTCTTTTAAGTTTTAGTAGCCACCGTTTCAACTCAGAGGTGGTAAATGGCCTCCTAAGTTATATTTGAAAACCTAGTTTAGCACTATCTCTCCCATTTAACTTAAGGTTAGGTTTATTAAAGATACTTACTAACTCTCCTGTAGCAACATTTTTACGAATATCTTCAATTACAGCTTTTGCTGCAGATAAATTTCTACAGGCCATTATTACCCTAGCTTTCCTGATAGCTAATCCTTTCACAGTTTCTTTACCAATGCCAGAATTGGCCCCGGTAACAAGAACAACTTTGCCTTCCAAAGAATTGAAATCAGTACATTTACCCCAAGTATATTCTCTATATTTTCGAACTATTCCTAACACTACAACAACTGGCACAATAACATATACTATTCCTAGAACCATTTTAGTATTACAAACCGAGCTTTGAATGGATAATTCAAATCAAATATACTTCACCCTTCACCACAAGCACAAAGACAAAGACGAAAGACTAGTGAAAACGCCGAAAACGGAAAAGACAAGACAATGACAATGACAAACTATCCCATCCAATTCCAAACAATCCAAACAAAACAACAAAAATTTTGATTTGTTGATGAAAACTGAAATGTTTCTTCTGCTAGAGAGATTGCGACCTGCGAGTTTCGAAATTGGTACCCGTACCGTACCCGATAATCGATACCAGTTAGACTGTTGCGACTGGTGATTTAAAATTGATATTAAGTACTGCAACATCATTGATTATGTAATCAATGGAAAAGCGACTTAACATTAATATTTATGTTTTTAGAACCTGTATTTGCTAAATAATCTCAATGATGCAATTTATTTCACTCAAACAGCAACACAGAGTTGTCTACGTATTTTAAGCTTGGAGGAAATTCGTCGTTATGTCTAGAGGTGTTCAGAGTAGAGGCTAAGATGTGTTGTCCAAGCACAGTCGAGTGGAGTCGTGGAAATAAATAACCAAACACGCGAAAATTGGCTTGCATTGAGCAAAGTGGTCACTGAAGGTAATAAAATAACTAAAGAGAAGGAAAGGTACAGAGGAAACATGTTTATAGGACGACCACTCGACCACGCACTTTCAACTCTGGTATAAATGCAGCGGAATTATATACTTGTGACGAGCAAGGAAGATCCGAACCGACGAGCACTGCGCCACTGTGCGAAAATTACTATCGTACAGGATACAGGGTCTTTATCCATCGAGAGAGTTGTAGTCACGGCCACCTTTAACTACAGGCCGCGGCTTGGTAGAATTAGCAACGTCGCAAGTGGTGTTGTTTAGTGACATAACAACATAAGATAACATAAGATAACATGGCAGACAGGTGACATCAGCTCATTAATTCGCACTTTATTGATTTACGTTTAAAATTATGAACATAAATTTATTAAAATATTAAAAATAAAACATACAGAATTAAAAACCAAAACAATAATGAATTAAAAATCTATATCTGTACGTTTTTAAGTGGATTCAATATTGTCATAGTCCAGTAACCAATCTTTCGTAAATACTGTACACAAATAATACCATTAGCTGCTTCCAAACAAAACAGCTGTTCCAACACCACTTGCAACGTTAATTGCCACTTCGAAGGCAGCGGTCTGAAGTTAAAGGCGGCCGTGGTTGTAGTACATGAGGGTGAGGGGGCTGTGTTGAACCATGTTGAACTTTGCCTTAGACACCACTTAAGTTTTACCCCTTTTCGTCCCTAGTGCATGCCCTACAATAGTAGGATTCAGCTGTTATGAGATTCTAATACGTTGCTCATTGAAAAGACCACAGCATGCCGCTCTGAAATTATCAAATTATTTTAGTCAATCTCTCAACAAAGCGAAAGCCTTTCGGGAATGATGCCGCAGCATGTCATTAATTTGTGGAATCGGTAGCAATATGACTAAATATGTATAGTTTTTGAGACTACACCACAACTAACATAAAGCCTACTTCTAAAAAAATCAAGAAATACAAAAACATTGTTTGGTGTGGTGTTAGTTTATTACGGCTTGTTAGTTGTAATAGTGCACCAATGTGAATGGAGAATGTGATGCAAGTACATTAGTGATTCCGCCTACTCGACGCTAGCGGGGAGAGTGGCGGGGAGAGTGCGAATGCGAAGCGGTTGTCGGTTGTTGGCACGGCCGGTTGTTGGTTACGTCGCTTCGATTAATCGATTTTGGATTCGAGGACTCGACTCGAGGTTTCTTTTCGTTTTCTTTTCTGCTAGTGGCGCTAGTGCTAGTGTTAAGGTTAGTGTGTTTATGAAGTATGAAGTCAATTTGTTTGTAAAGTTTACACTCTGTTCAATTAACATTAAATGTTGAAGTTGATGACGCATACTGTAAATTTTACAGTATTAAGTAATTAATTATTAATAAAATACCTGTTTTACAGTGTGTTATGGTAAAGTATTTTATTTCCTATCACAATAATTAGGTTAAGGCCCATGTCAAGTTTAGTGCTTTAAGCTACACCTTGTAAGTTAACAAGAGTATTAAAAATAAGCTCATTTTAGGTGTTGAAAGTTCGATTGTTTTTATTTACTTTTTAAACCACAACTTTGATTAAATATTAACTGTAATTTTGGCAGTTTTTGTTTTTGTCTATCGGTATTTATTTACTATAGGCTAAAAAATGTTCTAACTTAACATAGGTAGACCTACGGTACCCTACCCTAATCAGCAAACTAGTTCTCTCAAGCCTTACACTATCCGACTTGCTTGCACACCAGGCCTAGCCTGGTCAGACAAAATTCAGTAAGTTACATACTTCAAACGTCTTGGCTAGATTTTTGTTGTTTTTTGCGTCCTGATCACAATATAATGATTACTAGAGGTTAAAATACCTTATAAACCGTCAATGTGATCATGTCACCGGTGAAAGGTGACCGGTTTCAACCCATCAAAGGGGTCATCTTCAGGGGAAGAATGGACATAGAATTACTCCGAAGAGGTTGTCAAAAAGTAAATAAACACGAAACAAAGAACATTAACACTTAAACACATAAACCACGTAAGTTACTCTACTTGGCCACAAATCGACTGTGCGGCGGACGGTATGCATACATTGATTTACAGGTCCAGACTGTCGCCACTGCCGTCTTGTCCATCTGTCATTCCCCTCCTCTTCTTCCAGCTCTTATCAGGTCCTTTCCGTGTTGTTTTTTTTAGCTATTTCCATTACTAACCCATTCATGTCCAATCAAATTAGGCTATAATGGGGTTTTTGGCAAAAGTTTCAAAAAAGTGTTTTGGCATATAGTTTCACAAATTAAAAATTTAATTTATAGTGTCCATTTGCAATTTCTTCCACTCTTAATCCAAAATGCCATAAGGTTTTAACAGAAAGAGTCCCGAAAACAAAATTAAGATTACTAACTTGAGGTTCATTAAACAAGTAGTTCAGTTCTAGCAACAAGGAGCGAACAGCTGTATTTATGCGATGCAAAACAAACAAAAGCACTTAACGATGACATGTACTAAACAAAAACTAAAATGACCGTCTGGCAGTTCTAGCGTTAAACTCTGGATACAACTCCTGCCAGGTAACTTATTGAACTTTGTTTACTTAGTTATTAAGGATTCTCCAAAGACACAAACAAATCAATGAGCCGTAGGAAAGGTATACAAACTTCTCATGATAACTTAGCTATGATTTTCTTTATAGAGCCGTCCCGTCCAAATGGACCAGCTGTGGGGAGAGATTCCGGAACCTCGAAATACTGAATGGGATAAAGTAGTTCCAAAAGAAATAGGAAAGCTTGTAATTTTGAGTGCAATAAAGCCAGAGTTACCTAAAGTCAAACAACCACAACCAGATGAAGATGCAGATAAAGTGATAGTGTAAGTATCAGTCGGGAGTTTAATTATGCCCTTACATTTGTGGGCTTTATCATTTTGGGTGTGTTTTAACGTCTTAAGCATTTTTTTCTAAGGAATCAGTATGAACCATTGCCTTTTGTTCTAATGTTAATGTATTTTGGTAACTTCTGGCTTTGGTTAGTCAGTCGTCGAGTTATGGGTTCACCTGCTTCAATGCTACAATGCCCTTGCACCGTTTTATTGCAGCAGCTACTACCTTTATTTGCTTGATATTAAAGCCTTGTCCATATGTGCGTAGATAGGATGTAGAAGTTTCAGTGTTATCTTTGGAAATGTTTTTCCTTACATGGCTTGGTAGACCTAATTTATATTTTTAAAGAGGTTGGTAGCCTCTTTTAACCTTGCATTTGCCCGTCCACATAGACTAACTGTCCATGCATGGAACATATTCAGCAAAGCAAGGGGTGAGCCGGTACAGTACGAAGGTGAACTGTACTGATAAAATGTGACCAGGATCCGAACCCATGACATTGTTGCCTTGGAGCCGAAGTCTGTGACACTACCGACTGAGCCACCAACTCACTGATTCGATCTAATGTGTGAATTGATATGAGACACAGGTAGGAAACTGGAATCATGTCAGTCTTGCAATACATATTCAAAGAGATAAAGTGTAAATATTGTTGTATCGCTTATGATTTTTTCTTTACAGATTGGGGCCTGAATACAGTGCTATGGAAGAAAATGTGTTGTACACTATCAAACTCCTTCAACATGCTAGACAGGTCGCTGAACTCCTTTATATTGCTACATCAGGGGTATGTTGTGAGGTTTTTATGTTCTACATAAAACTAAAAATACTGTTATAACAGTTGTTATCAGTCAGATAGAGAAGAATGCCTAGGCTGGAACACATTAAAGGACATTAGAGGAGTATTATACAACAGTGTAATGAATATAATAAGAGGAGTTCATAACCTTATAACTTTTTTATCATCAGATGCAGTATTTGCATTCTGAACTCACTTGAAAGGTTAGTAGAAAGAATGCTTGAAAGTAAAACATTGAATCACTAAAGATGCCATCTAAAGGTGCATTGTCCCTGAAGCAACTCTTGCGATAGTAGTTGAGCGATAGTAGCTCAGCGATAGTAGCTGAGCACTGGTTAGCGTTGTTTCAAATGGGACCATTGTCCTTGACGCGACTGTGACTGGAGCGGCTAGTGGCTGAACACAGCGACTGTAGCGGGTCTGCTCTGAGGGGAGTCAGAGTCGCAGCCGCTGAGCGATTTGTGTTGTGTGTAGACTTGTTTTGGTCGTAATGTCTTCAAAGAATATAAAACTGCTTTCTACCCCTGAATAAGATGAAAAGCTGTTAGTACAGAATAAGTATTGAATAAATACTTGAAGATTTAAAACGTGGGGCGCATTTAGAATTATCTTCACCTATTGAACTATTATTATCCATTGCATGCTCCCCACGTTTTTCGTTTTAAATCTTACAAGTATTTATCCTCTCCACATATTTAAAATTATTTTTACTTTTGAGTCTGTTTAAAAACGTGGTATTTTTAAAAAATATTTTTATTTATAATTATTTTCTACTAATTTTAGAAATAATTTTAGTATTTACAGCTGACTTCAATTGATATATTTAGGCCTACATTCTTCCAAAATGTAAACATGAAAAATTTGGAAGCCCATGGGGCTTAGCCTGAGGGAAATATGAAAATTAAATTATATAATATTGCATTATCATCATCCATTTTTGAGCTATGTTTCAAGTTTCAATTCTCTAGCTCGTCGGGAAGTTAGTTATTGATTGCAAAGTTTGTACCGGACAAGAAAGTGAGCTAATAAAAACGTTTTAAAATTAGCTGGTGTCATTATACTCATGGCACCAATTCACTCGAAAAGTCAGCAAAATGAACAAAATCGCTCTAGAACAATCGCTTCAGGGACAATGACATGGTTAGCTACTATCGCCGAGCTACTATCGCTGAGCTACTGTCGCTCAGCTACTATCGCAAGAGTCGCTTCAGGGACAATGCACCTTAAGACTAATAGGCTACAAAGATGAATGTGCAATGACTGGTCAGAAGCAATCGGTTATTTGGAGGAGTCAGGTTATCTTGAACTGCATAAGAGGAATTCTACATTATTCCATATTAACTACTCATCAATGGCCATGTTATTTATTTATTTATTTTTATATTTCCTGCTAACAATTTCCTAAAAGTTTTTAGAAGCCTTTTGTATTGTTTTCATTGCAATCGTAGTACACTCCCCGAAGTTTAGTGAAAGCAATTTGTATCTTAACATTACTCACTATAACTGAAAAAGCTACCGGTATTTTTAATGATTGACTACTAAACTGTTTCAGGAAGAAGAATTTAATGGAGACATAAAAGAATGCCCTCCTATGCCCCAGGCGCCTGTTAAAGAACTGAAATGTCAAGAATCTCATCCTCTACACTACCTCCCTAAAGAAGAAACGTAAGTAGATTACTTTGTCTGTCAAATATTGGCCTTCAGAAGACCACATCATTGAACTAGCAAAATAGTGGTTGACATTTCGGATGCATAATGCATTACAGTGAACTATATTAATTTGTTATAAGCAGCAACAATACAACTAAGAGTTGCCAGTTTAACTTAAACTTCAATTTCCCGGTTGAAATGTAGCTTGTCTCAAATACAGATTGATGCAATGTAACTGAAATGCTAGCATTGGAATATTTATGTGATGGGTCGGAACTTCACGTCAAATGTCGGTTCTGTCGGTTCTTGGCAAAAAAACCGGAACTGAGAATCGATGGTGAAGTGTCGGTACCAGGACCCTTGATACCAAAACCCGTCGCCAATATTGCCGGAAAATTACCGATATTGCCACGATCGCACAAGAATGTTGACGTTTCCGTGACCGCGTGAGTCAATATTGATGTCAACACGGCCGCGATTGCGGGAAGCGATGATAACGGCTACATGTCCGCAAGAGATGTTCATGATTTTCATGACGACGAAGATGTTTCTGTGACCTTGGGAGATGTTAATGATTTTGCCGCAATCGCGGGAGAGGATGATGAGACCTACTTGGCTGCAAGAGATGTTCATGATTTTGCCGTGATTCCGGACGACGACGAAGACGTTTCCGTGACTGCGGGTGATGTTCATAATTTGCTGCGATCACAGACAATGACAATGACGTTTCCACGATCCCGTTGAACCACGCCCTCACACCTGCACCCAGGCAAACAAAATTGGAAATGTAATCCCATGCGCAGGGACGAGAAGTGGCTCACAAATCAAGAAAAACCGTGGAGGAAAGGAAACAAACAAATCATCAACAATAATACATGTAAAACATAAATTCAGAAATTCAAAAATTTATAGTCCTCATCTATCCTTCTAGCTCACAGCCATTCTTTAGTTATAAAAAAATTCAGTTTAAAGCCTCTACAAATTTTTAAATTCCTTCTAAATAAAACAACAAATTACAGTATATCAATAAAAATACCTTTCAATCATTAATTTAGGCTTTGTCAAAATTTACCTTTTAGGGGCCCAATAGTTGAATAAATAAATCAAATCATAATAAATAACTTATAGAATAGAATTTGAAAGAACAATAACAATAATTAGAATGTTGTGCTTAAAACATTTAACCATATAAAGTCTCTAAATGTCCATTTGGCAACAGCAACAATTAACAAAAATAAATATATCTCTATACAACAATATCAAATAACGATTCACAAAACTTGCGGTAGTATGGTTTGGCGGGTCAGGCGGATGACACCGGAGGGTCCATAAAGCTGGGTAGAGAGGGGGCCAGAGTCCAAAATAAGCCGGAGTTTCTCCGCCGACTCTCAAGGAAGCTAGATGGCTCTCCTCAGGGGCCCCATCAGTCACAACCGGCTTGTTTAATTAGTCCATAGCGTAAAAAATGAAGCAAAATTTCAAACCAACAAATAGTCTTTGCATTATATTACACAAATAGACCAATGAAAAATGATTGGAAAATATTTCTATGAAGTCTTTGTTGCCAACGTCACCTCTGACTTCTGTAGGAGTAAAAAGAAGTGTGTGGCAAACAGTTACACTGGGGATGTCGGAACAGTGACATGGCAAAACACATACTATACAAAAACAACTTGAACACAGAAGCAGAAAATGAGTTGTGACATTCATCGGTGGAAAGTAGTCACGGTATCTGAAATTTATTCAATGGGTATTTGTTAAAATTAGTGTACCTTTCTTAAGTTTAGATTCCAGATACTTATTTCTTAAACCAACATTTTTGTCAGAATAAGAAATCATAAAAAGTAGACTTGACATTGTTTATGTAAATAGGCCACCAGAGTTGTTTAATATCAGCTGTTCCTGTGGCTTGTCACCTACAGGAGCTAACATAGAGAACCGGCTCGGAATTATCACCACTAGCACTTAGTGTATCCATTAAAACAACAACATTAGGTTTTTGAAAATGTGTTTGTCAAGCAGTGCTGGTTGCCTTGATATTTTGATTGGTTCAGATACAACGGAAGTGCAAATTATTATTTGTTTAGTATTCAAAATAGACCAAGGAGTATTCCTAACTGATTAAGACACCCTGAATATAGTCTTTTCGTATTGAAATTGTTTGGAACCCAAAATGACTCTAAAAACTGTTACATTTACCACAAGTACCAATTTTTAATTGGTATATACATTTTCTGTTTCAGGCCTTTTACCTTGGGAACGCCAATGTCAGTACCTTCTTTGGGCAGAGATGTTACCAAAGAGATCCTGTTTAAGACTGTAGCGACTTTGTGTGCTCATGTTGGTTTTTCCAGTGAGTTTTTTTTTAGTTTTACTGTCTCACAATGTTTGTCTATCAGCTAAGAAATACTAGTTCAATATTACCCTGTTTAAAATCATTTTAATAACATGCAGCCAACATAAATGTCTAAAGCGAATCACAAGGTCTACTTTAAAATAATAAAATTGTCTACGCACCTTGGTTCGTTACCAACAGAACACTTCATAATGATCTTAAAATTCGAACAATCAAAGAAGAAATTACAAAATCTAATAAAAAATACATCATCAAATTGGAAAATCAATCAAATCCTCTTGCACTTAATTTATTGGACAATCACAACACTATTTACAGACTGAAGCTACATACTATATTGGTTCTCCCATTCAGATTCGGCTAAGTGTTATCAAAATTCTCTTTGTTAGCTAGTGTTGACAGTGGTCAATACTAGCTCATGTTCTTCAAGTTAATTTTTAATGTTGTATTGTTATTTCATTTGCTTCTTGTTCAACTTTTGAACAGATTTTTAATTAAATAAAGTTAACAAAAAAGTTGTGTCTGACTCTATTTCTAATAGTAGTCTATCGTGATGAAAGTTATTTTACTTTTACTTTTACTTTCTTATTAAATGGCTACCATACAAAGTAGGTATTTTAAGCCAAGTATGAATGGAGATGAGTGGAGGATGAGTGGCGCGACGTTGCCAGCGACCAAACTGGCTAATCAGCTTGTCAAGGGTCATTGATTCTTATGGATGTTATTAAACGAGGGTAGCCAGCGACGCAGCCACACTTTGGCGACTGACTGGCCACCGAGCCCTGTCGCCACTGCGGTAGCCACTGGCTACCCATATTGGCGACGCTGCGTTGTAGCATATGGAGCTTGTTACACTAGGTCGCCAGTATCACGTCGCCACTCGGTCAGTTCATATCACTGGGGTACTTGCACATTGTGTTGCGTTCTGTTGTGTTGTGAGTGGGTGAATTGTTCACTTCAGTTGATAAAATGTCTACATCTGTATTGGATATGTCTATATGGAATCTATGGAAAATGTCTATATTTGTATCTGGATTGTGACATACGAAAATAATTGAAACATTTTGTATTGTCCGCACAGAGCTCATCAGAAAGGGTGTACTATAACCCTTTCGATTCTCTTGCACTAAGCATTGGATGAACGTATATTTTTCTCTTCCTTTGCCTCCTTTTCTTCAGAAGTAACAGAAGGAGAAGATACTTATAACCACTCATTCACTGTAAACATACCGCTCATAACAAGTACAAGTACAAGACAAGCACTCACAACAAAATGAGTAACGGCGGTAAAATTCTAGCTACTCAACTGGCTACTAAGTTTGGTGGCCAGTGCGTCGCCAGCTACTGTCGCTGGCGACGTCGCCAGGCTACCTCGTCTAATAGGGGCCTAAGGGACCTACAGTTTATAGTGGAATCCGAACCACATTTTTGCCTTGGTATATACAAATATACAAATTGGTCTAACTACTAGGATAGTACTACGGACTCACTAGTGCGGACGTTAATCTTTACCAACTTGTATTTTCTAGGTGGAATGCAATCCTCAATCCAGTTACTCACCGACATTGCTGAAGACTTCCTGAGGAGGTTTACTTGTTTACTGAGGTTTGCTGTTGATAGAGAAGAATTGTACGGAAATTCAGGCTTCCCGGTAAGATAAAAAAGTGCCTCCGCCTGACAGCAAAGAAATCATAATACACACCTATTCATTTACACCACTTATGGTAAAGAGAATTTTTTTAATGGTGCAGACATTTTCTGACATTAATTCAGTTTAAATCAGTTGAAACACACTTGAAGGTCTCTTGCCCATCGAAGAATTCCTAAAGTAAACAGTATGGGAAATTGACTTTTTCTACTTAAAATTAACCGTAATATCCTTCTTAATGGAAACAGCAAATAAGGAAAGAGTGTGTATTCTGAAACAATCATAACCTGTCACTTGTCAGGACGCAATGGAAAGGGTGTTCCACGAGATGGGGCTCGGCAGTGTGGTGTCTCTACACGACTACTACCAGACCAGAGTGTTGAAGTACAGAGATAAATGTAAGGCTGAGTGTGAAGATCTGCTGAAGAAATACCAGGTTGTGGCACCAACCATCAAGAGAGAACCTGAGGACATTGTCAGGTTAGTACTCTTCATCTGTTCCATCTAGTATTCTACTTTTTATGCTCCTAACAATCCCAATTGATCATTAAATTCTAGTTATTTTAGCTCTATAAAAGTGTATATTGGTTGCAGATAAGTTATTTTAAAAGAGGGTGTTAGCCTATAACATTCATTCGTAGTCTAAAGCAGCCATTGTAAACAGGACATTCTTGGTATTTTAGTGAGAACCACATAAAATAGTTTTTTCCACTATCTAAACAATGTAGACAGTGTGACAGCTCTTACTGAAAGTCCAAATATGCAATTTTAATATATTTTTTCACTGTTTTGTTTCGAATAATGTATAACCATAACCAAACAAACTATTTTTTAATTCAACTGTTCAAAAATAATTTTTGGGCCAAGCTCGGTTTAGTTCATTTATGTTTGAGGCGAGCGAGCAAGTAGATTTTCTAGCTGAGCTTTTATTTTTTCATTTGTAGAAAGTGTCCGGGGCTATAGAATACAGGGGCTGGCTCACGTGGACTAGCGAAGTGGTCCCACTGCCGTGTGGCTGTGACGTCACCGCGCTGACTCCACGGGTGTAGCTAGCGCGCGACACATATACAAATCGCTCATTTAAATGCTTCCCTAAATGTACACAATTAAATTGTCCGTATAAAACTTATATTGTTGTAATCTGCATTAACTACAGAATCTGATGGTCCAAAAATATTTTAGTTATGATCAATAATATGTATTTTAAAAGGGGAAAATTATAACGATTACAAACTTGTGAACTACAAAAAGTCACTAAGCGGGGATTTTTTTTATTTTTGGGATAAGAACAAACTTTGAGCCAGAAAAATATTCATTAATAGTTCTATTTCAATAATTAGCCTGAAAATTTTCGTTAAAACCAACAGGTCGTTTATTGCTTATCAGGAAGTAAGGCTTTATAAACTTGGCGATCACATTACATCGTTCCGCACATGTCCGCATCGTGCTGTTTATAACATGATAGTAAAAAAATGTTATGATCCTAAAACAATTGCACTGTTTCTATTAGTGAAACAAGTAATTAGTGCTAAAACTGAATTTTAAGAATTGTGTAGACTTAAGGCTTAGAATGTTATTTTATCTTGTTTGATATTCCGGTGCCCCTTGTCATATAATTCTAATACACTTGGTTGGGCATCTTTAAGGAATGTGTAATGGTTTAGGTAATTTTATATTGTCTGTTGAACAAACTGTTTATCCATAGAAAATAAGTAAAAGAGCGTTTTAATGCGATAGTATTTTTATTATAATAGTTGTATCCTATTTCACTGATTTTAGCCACTTACTCATCTTCTGATCATTTTTCTTATATCTTCTTCAGAAACAAACGGAAGACGCGAATAACAATGAAAGAGCGAAGTTGTTTTTACGCGTATTGATGCAGTGTTGCCATAAAAACACCTAAAATTTGTGAGGCGAACGGCAAAATTACCCGCCAGCGCTCAGTTATAACAATCGTCTTTTGAGACGATTTATTAATGAACTGTTAGGGGTATTTAAGAATTGTTAAGTAATTACTAAGGAAGAACTGATTGACTACAGTTTTCTCGCTGAAAGTTTGTGCCTAACCCGAAAATTAAAATGTTCCTCGCTTAGTGACTTTTTCAAGTTTCATTATTGTAGTTTCTCTACGTTTGTTGGTTTAAAACCAATTTACTTGTGGTAAACTAAAAACTGTTTGGATATTTGGATTCTACAGTTAATGCAGAATAAAACGATATAAGTATCATATGAGAAATATGTTCGTACAACGGTAGGGGAGCGTGTAAAAGAGTGAGATTTTCACTGGCCGCGTAATGGAAACAGGCCCGACTGTCAGCCCGGTGATGTCACAGGAGGTGGGGGAGCGGGGCGGTGTCGGCAAGTGCTACATCAAAGACGTGAGCTAGCCCCTGTATTCTATAGCCCCGGAAAGTGTCTACAAAGATAAGTGATCGGAAATAATTGATTTTTCTGTGATCCAGTGGCGTAACAGAAGGGCCCGCAGGGCCTGCAATGCAGGGGGGCCCGGGAGCTGAGGGGGCCCGCGAACCGGTGAGCGGGAAACGGTGAGCAGAGAGGCCCGTGAGACGAGTGGGGCCGAAAAATTGGAGTTCATTCTTGTCTAATAATAATAATAATAATAATAATAATCTTTATTGTCATTCAGCAACATAAAATTACAATAGACAACGTCAGAAATCAGGACACAAATATGACATCAAGCTTAAATCTATATCACCTTAAGAAGCATTGAACATTTTGTTGCATAAACTGTACATACAGGCCTAATATTTAAATTTAAAATTCTAAGATTGAATGCTCTATCACGAATTTATAAAAAACTTAAGTAAATAATGCTTCAAAACTAAACAATTTGTAAATATTCAGAAAATTTGTAAAAAGATTTTTGGTCATGCAGGCTGCCTCCTAGTGGCCAATAGTGTTAAGAGGTCAGAGTAATTATTTGTGTTTAAAAAATCGTCTATAGAAAAAAAGGCTTTGCTAATTAGCCATCTTGATAATGTTGATTTGAAAAGGTTTATGTTATCAATTTCTCTAAATGGAATGGGAAGTTTATTGAAAAGTTGTAATTGTAAATATTTATGGCTTTTTGTGAATTTTGAAAAAATTCATGTATTATCAATCATTCAATAATTTTATTAAACAAGTAATGACATTGATTTTATTAATAATATGTTGTTATCAGTTGTTAGGCCTCTTCATTGATAACAAACTAGTGTAACAAATTTAACGTGTTGTAATGTGGGTCTTTGATTATTATACAATCTTACTTTCGTCACGAAGAAATATTTTACTTCTCGGTGATTTCGTACACTGCTTATGTCGTCTGCAAACATTTTGAAACATTAAGTTACTTTGGAGCCTGAAGTCATGAACGTTGGCTAGGGATTTTAATATTGTATTATTTTATATTTTAGTTTTTCCCTGATATTGATTGTATTTTGTTGAATACAATATACTTATACTGCTACTCTACTGACTATGTTTGTTAGCCCATATATTATTTTACCTCACAATTAACCAATACTAAAGACTATCACGTCCTTAATTTATATAATAACAAGATACAAGGAACTGTACAACCCATTTTATTCAACCATTTTAACTGAATGAAAAATATATAAACATAAACATTAAAAACAATAACATAAACCATGTGTGTTAAGAAATCATATGTTGATGACAACTCCTTATTAATCCTCCCCCTCAAATTTACACGGCCGAATGTGGTTAATGTGCCTTCTCCAAACCTGCCCATTGTCCATCTCGATTTGATAATGCACCAATCCTTCTCTCCTTCTTACGTTTCCAAATTTCCACTTTCCGTCTTTTCCGAAATTGCGCACCTGAACTCTGTCCCCCACCCGAAACTCTCTTTTGATTTTAGTACATCCGTCGGGCATTTCTGTGTGATCTTGGGGTCTCTTCATAAGATCCAGCCTTGTCCTTATTCGTCTCCCAAACATAAGTTCATATGCCGAGGACCCTGTAGCATTTGTGGCATTCCTTAGTGACATTAGGATGTGATTTATTTTGAAGTGCAAATCTCCTCCATCATTTTCCATTGCTATTAACTGTTTCTTTACAGTCTGAACAAATCTCTCTGCTTGTCCGTTGGTTGCAGGGTGATAGGGGGCAGAGAATTTGTGTGTAACGCCACAAGCTTGTAGAAATTGGTTGAAAATAGATGATGTGAAGTTAGGGCCATTGTCAGAGACTAACGTGAACGGGTAACCGAAGGTAGAGAAGAGTTTCCTGAGCTGTTGAATGCACCAATTAGATGTTGTAGTTTTGGTTGGTATGACTTCAACCCACTTTGAATAGGCGTCAACGATAACAAAAAGGTATTGCCCATAAATTGGACCTGCGAAGTCGATGTGTATTCGTTGCCAAGGTCCTGATGGAACCAGCCAAGGATGGACATCTACTTTTTCAGGAAGATTCTGCTTCAAACAGCATGGACGACAAGACTTTGCTAGATCTTCTATGTTACGGTCAATGTGTTTCCAGTAACAAAAACTTCTTGCAAGATTTTTCATTTTCACAACTCCTAAGTGTCCTAAATGAAGTTCATTGAGTACTTTTCCTTGTAGTTTTTCAGGAATTACTACTCTGGAACCACGAAAAATGCAGCCATCATGAAGTGAATACTCATTATTCTTCAAGCCAATATGTTCTAAATCCGTGCCATCTTGAAGTGCTTTCAAAAGAGGTTTTAGGTCATTGTCGTTAGATGTTTCATTTGCAATATTTTCATGTGTTACAGGCATTGATTCAATTTGATTAATGAAAAAGGCTTCGTGTTGATCGATTTGATTTGTCGGTGGATGCTCATTAGGAAAGCGAGACATGTAGTCTGCATTACCATGTGATTTGGTGTTCCTATATTCAATAGTATAATCGAAGCCAGAGAGGAAGTGAGCGTAATTGAAAATACGTGTGGCAGTCATAGTAGGTAAGGTTCTGTATGGGTCAAAGATTGAAACAAGTGGCTTATGATCTGTTACAAGGATAAACTTTCTGCCATAACAATACTGGTAGAACTTTTTCAATCCCCAGTAAATTGCCAGTGCCTCTTTGTCTATCTGACTGTACTTTTTCTCACTTGCAGTGAGAGATCGAGAAGCGAATGAAATTGGCCGTTCAGTACCATCTTTGTAGCGGTGAGAAAGAACAATTCCTAATCCGACTGGAGAAGCGTCCGTGGCTAGCACTAAGGTTTCATTTTCATCAAAATGAGCAAGGACCCGGTCACTAGCTATCTCAGCCTTAACTTTTTCAACGCATTTATCACATTCTCTGGTCCAAACGAACTTAGTGTGCGCCTTTAATAGATTGTGTAGTGGATTCAAGATTGTGTTCAAATTGGGGATAAATTTCTGGTAGTAATTAGTCAAGCCCAGGAATGTTCGTAGCTCTGACACATTTGACGGTTTTGGTGATTTCAAGATTGCTTCCACTTTGTCCTTGTTCTTGTGTAGACCATTTTGATCTATAGTATGTCCAAGGTAATCGATTTGTGTTTGAAAAAACTTACATTTGTCTTTATTTAGTTTGAGGTTGTGTCTCCTGATGACTTTCAAAACACTTTCTAGCCTTGTTAGGGCCTCAGACTCAGTCGAACCTTGAATAATAATATCGTCAAAAAAACACTGAACGCCATCAATTCCAGAAAGTATTTTGTCCATAAACCCTTGCCATAGAGCCGGAGCAGTCTTGATTCCGAACATGAGTCGATTTACCCTATATTGTCCTTTATGTGTACTGATTGTTTGAAGTAGCGCACTTTCTAACCCAACATCTTCTATGCATCTTTCTATGGGGGGAACTGTACAACCCATTTTATTCAACCATTTTAACTGAATGAAAAATATATAAACATAAACATTAAAAACAATAACATAAACCATGTGTGTTAAGAAATCATATGTTGATGACAACTCCTTATTAAAGACATTATTTGTTGTAAGTTAAACGCTTTAAATCCATACAAAGATAAAATAAAATAAATCAATAGGCTTAGCCTGTGATAAAAGTACATCAATCTATTAAATTAAATAGCTTTTAGTGTATGAGTTAATTATAACCAAAGATTAAACTAACTTAATAAATTAATACTTTAATTACTTTACTTTGAAATGGCGACCATACCAATGTAGGCATTTTAAGCCAAGAATTAATGGAGATGAGTGTAGGATGAGTGGCCCAACCTTTTAGTTTTGAAAGGGACTGAGGCCGACATATTCCTTAGTCACAGCTGTTAATTAATAGCCAATACAGCCAAAGACAACTAAGGGGCCTAATTCGAACCACGTAGTTTTTGCCTTGTAATTAATTAACTAGTCTAATTATCAGGGTAATAAAAATGGATAGCATGTGTGATAAAATAAATGTAAAACCTCCTTGATATAAACATTGTGATACCTACAAATGGAAAATATGCTTTTTTATTTGATTTCAAAACTATTTACAAACACTGATATTGATATAATGATGTAACATTTTCATCAAACCACGACTGAAATACTTAACACACCCTTTTATGGAACATAACCCATAATTTATTTACCACTCTTTTTATGATTTATCTTTTTGATCATGGTATCGGTGGTCTAAAAATAACTCTGGGTGGAGGGGGAGGGCGTTTGATTATGTTGTATTGGTGGTCTAAAAATTACTCATGAGAGGGGCCCAAAAAATAAGTTTGCAGGGGGGCCCCTAAAAATTTGTTACGCCACTGCTGTGATCGCTGGTGATATTCACAGATTTGCCGTGATCAAGGAGACTATGATGGTCATCATAACTGCAGAAAATGTTTATGATCTTGCTAGGATTATGGGGGATGATCAAAGCCTAAGTGTCTGGCCAGTTTTGCCATGATTTCGGCAGATTATATCTTTTGGTGTGACTGCGGAAGATGCTAACAATGGAAAGGCTTAAAGCAATTTCATAAATTTAAGTCTCCACGGGGCACATCGGTATTTTTGACCGAATCAACATTTTTACTTAGAAAATAACTTTAGTTTATAAAAGGTATAATGTTACCTGGATCTGCCAAAGTAATCCAAATTGCTGTCTAACGACTACGCGTTTCGAAGCAGTATAAGCTTCATCTTCAGGTCGTCAAGAACAACTTTAGTTGATGATTGAAAATTAAAGAAACTAAGTACATGATATGATACCTAGATTAAGTGCTTTTGTGTGTACGAGCTGAAAGTAAAGCTTGTGTTTTCAGGTTCAAGACTGAGATATCCAGTGAAGAGGACATCCCGGAGATTCATTTCCCAGGAACAGGAGAGGGAGATGAACTCCAGTCCCAGCTGGAACCTGGATATCAGATGCTTCACTCACTTGAGCAAGAGGTCCAGTAAGTTCCTTACAGGAGCACTTGTAGATGAGCACTAGAGCATTGGACAGGCACTTATAGCACATGTAGCCTAACAAACACCCATAGTCTTGTACTTTTAGATCATTGAAACATAGATGTAAGCAGGACAATAGTTATGAGGGACAATATATGACACAAATTTATCCTCGTTATTGTGAGCAAAAATATTTTAAATAGGGATTAACAGTTCAATGGAAGACCATAGAATCAAGTTGTCCTTACTTTATGATTGTTCCTTTTTATTTTTTTCTCCATCATGATTTTTGCGAGGTTAGGTACTTTCAGTCATCTAACATAGCATTCACTGTCCACCTTTTCAATAGAATATCCTGTAACATAGAAAACTCATGGTTTAGAAGAACTAACTGCAATCACTCCTTGGATAATATAAAAAACAGATTATCAACCAGTGTTAGAAGATTACCAAGGGCAGTCCTGAACTACTGTGAGGGCAACATACCACCCAGTGTGCCTTAATGTCAACTTTCTCCCATTATGTATTATGCAATTCAGATAGTTTTTAATACGGTAAAGAGTAGATTGTACCATTGTACCTAAATTTTCATGGTTTATCTAAAATTTCTATTTTGCTTGTGTGTATTGTATAAAATATTCTTTTGAAGTCATGAATTCGGTTGGACATTTCTTTGAGCATTACTTTCTACTTGATATAATATTAGAACTACAGTTTTTTTTACTATGACGTTGGTTCTGAAATGTTACTAATTATTTGGACTTTCCCAACGTTTCTTGTGTTTCAATTTAAATAAGTAATTTCACTTGAAAACAGTATGAGTTGATTCACCTCCAGAAACATTGTGTAGTTGTAAACACAAGAAACGTTGGAAAAGCCCAAATAATAATAGTAACATTAGATCTTCAACAAGTTTCCGGTCCAGCAGTCACACTTCTCTTTCTATATATGAGGATAGAGAGGATAGGTGGTAGGGAATGTGTTAATTAGTTCCAGCCTCGGTCACATTCACATTTGCTAAATACCCCCGCCGCAGCAAACCTGCCGTCTTAGCGAATTTCCATTTGTCCGAATTGATTTTCAATTGATCTATTTAAATAACATTAGGTTAAACGAGTACCTAGGTTTGCTGCTACAAGGAAACTAATAAAGTAGTGTGTTTTTAGTAAAATATTGATAGCTTACTATAAAATAAATAAATTTGCCAAGTTTGATCAAAATATATCCATAAAGAAGCAAACTACAACATTTTACAATATTCTCCATAAGAATAACATGGGAATTTTAAATTTACCATTTTTTAGTTTTCTCCGTAACCAATAACCGTACAAAAACACTTTGATATACTGAATTGTTTGTTTTTTTAAGCTCTTTAAGAAGGTTTAGAGAAAAATTGGGAAATTTCGTGTTTTGAGGGTAAGAAGTGAGAAAAACCAATTTTTACCCCATAAAACCCCCCATAAAACCCTGTTACCATGGTCCGATCATGCTGGATCGCGAACTCATTCAAGTTTATCCCGCCTTACACCTTCAAACCAAATTTCATCAAAATCGGATAAAAACTACTCAAGTTATCGTGTTCACGGACACATATATATATATATATATAAATCTATATATATATATATACCTATATATATATACATATATAAAAATTTGAACGAATGGTGTTTTTGGCCTCTGGGGACATTAAAATGAAAAAGTAAATCGGTCCCGGGCCTAAGTCTTACCATGAGACCTACGGTAATAGCTACTTCCCTATAGGGAAATTCGCTAAAAACACATTTGTGTGAAATACACTTTGGATTTTGCAGACAAAAAAATCAAATTAGTTTTCAAATTAAGTTAGTTGGAGTTTTTACTTTTGGTTTTTGAACTTTGACAGTTTAAATACCATACAATTTATCAGCACTGTCTTTTGTAGATAGGTGAATTCAAGGTTATATGAGGCTAGGAAAATGCTTGTAATTAAGGTTTAAACATCAAACTCTTGTGAAATTAGCCCATTTTGAACCATTATTCAGACGTAATCCATTGATAACTTTCCAACAGATTGCAATCAAGTATGGCTCAGGATGATGTGGATATGATGAATGGATCGCCACAAAGTGTCGAGTCTACAGTACCTGGGTCAGAGGCGTGGTTTGCTGCAATCAAGGCCAAGACTCGGAAAAGAAAACTACAGCTTTAATGTCTTTTTTTACTTTTTTATTAAAAAAAAATGTTTTAAAACATGTGTTTTTAATAGCCATTACCATCCATTACCCTCTAATATGTACAACACAAGGAAATATTAAGATGGTTTACATTATTTGACTACCTGCTGTACAGGTTGGGTAGATCCACAGCCACCTCTAATACAAGGTTGCGACGTTCGAACTGGCAACACGGCACTCACCCGCCGCCTGGGTCCGGCACTCGTACTAGGCTATAAACATCAATGAGAGCATTGCTGCTCTGTATCAATGGATGAAAGTATTTAAATTACATATTTTAGTGGATTTTAGGGTATGTTAAAATAGAGAAATTAGAATCCAGGGTTTTTTATTTAGTGAAAAATTGCAACATACCACAATATGTCTAAAGTCTAAAACTAAAAATACAAACATAATGTTTTTGGTTGCATTTATCGCATTGTAAGTGATGAATGTGGAAATAGATGGACTTTACATATTTCCTTTGTTAATTTGATAATCTATACTATTATATAACAATTTCATGGTGTCTATATATGTGTGTTATTCAACACAGTAAAAACTACTAGACAGACTGGGCTTAAATTTTACAAAATATAGCAACTATACCAAGAATAGTAATACAGTAGCACTCAAGGCTTTCATACACCTTGAGTAGGACTAACCTATTGTCACTTCAATATTTGTAGAGACTAACATTCAACAATTTGTTCAAATAAAATTAATTTTCAATAGGAATATTATGTCTTAGTCTACCTGAGGAAACCTAGTTAGTGACAACAAAATTTAAAGTTTACATTTTGAAGGCATACTGACTAAATAATGTGTATTTTCTTTGAATAATTACTAAGCAAAACGTTTTTCATTTTGTAAACGATTTCAGAAGCTAGCCTCCATATGGCTTTCCACAATATTAATAGAATTGTTTTATCACATCAACATTCAGACTGGAGTCGGAGACTATGATGCTTTTATTGTTAGATGGCTTCTTGGTCTATATTTACATGAATCATTGTCTTAATCTTACATTTTTTACAAATCTAAGTTCATATTCGTGAAAATGTTTCACACAAAAACGAGAATTGTTTTAAGGTTTCTAATATTTGACCGAAGAAAGAATAGCAGGAAGCCATTGTTGCTTACGCGGATCACTTAATTAGAATCTTAGAACACTGTAGGTAGCCTATTATTCATTTTAAATTGAGCTTTCGTAATTATTCTTTCATCCAGGCACATCACATCTATCTGGTATGCTGTAGTAACAAGTTCAATGTCATTGCTAATGATTAAGGGTAGTAGAAACGTGATTATGTACGTCGGTACGCGACTCTTCCATTCACTGTAATGGTAAGGAAAGCGCACCAAGACACGGTTGCACCGTTGCCACTTTTCGCTCGCCACGGCTTTGTATTAGAGGTGGCTGCGGTAGATCTCTCTATGTTAAGCACAAGCCCTACTACCCCCAACTGGGTCGATGTCTAGTTGTACCTTGTACCTGCTGCATTTTGGTACAGGCGTCTTCGTCCAAAACTGTAGGTACAAGTTGACGGTGGTGCGGACGTCTAGTTGTACCTACGTCTAGTTGTATTTTACCTCTTTAAAATGTGCAGGTACAACTTGTTGGGTACGCCACCGTCTACTTGTACCTCATACGTCTGCGTCTAGTTGTACCTACTACTAGTTGTACCTACTACTAGTTGTACCTACGACTAGTTGTACCTACGACTAGTTTTATCTACGACCAGTTGTACCTACGGCTGGTTGTATCTCCCCTTCAATTTGTCACTAGTTTAAGGGGTTACTTTTAGAGTTTACAAAAACAACTTATTGAGAATTGAGTATATTGAAGTGTTTTTGTAGGGTGTTAGGCACGGGAAAGTTACAAAAAACTGCAAATTAAAAATGTCCTTATGGAGAATACGTAAACTGGCGTAGTTTGCTTGTTCCTGCATATACTTTGACAAATCTGTTACACACTACTTAATTACCTGTATTTATCTGTAATTACCTGTAATCTGTAATTACCTGTAATTATCTGTAAAACACTACTTAATTACCTTCAATGCAAACGTAATAAAACCTCAATATTAAAAAACCGATGAAAGATAACCCTGATATGACTTTTTTATGCGCGCTTATAAGTTCTTAATAAAACTAATATCGGTTTATTTGCAGGCTATAGCCAGCGTACACTGATCAACCTAGCTCAGTATACAATTTAATTTATATAGTTTAAATAGAACGAAGAAATATAGAAAATGAACAAGGATCCTCAATTGACTCGGAACACAGCAGTTTCTGATTATAATTATAAGGGTATCATCAAAAAGTACTCGTGCAGTAAACAATTAAACAGGGTAACGAATTAAGGACGCCAAATAATACGCGTAGGTACAACCATAGACTAACCAACAGTATGTTTTATCTATGGTACAACTAGACGTATGGACAGCTGGTCGCATCCGTACAAACCAGGTGACACTACTATTGTCGGTGGCATACACGTCTAGTTGTACCACTTGTACCTACGTCTAGTTGTACCTCTTAAAAATCTGCAGGTGCAACTAGTCGGGTGTGCCACCGTCTACTTGTACCTACGTCTAGTTGTACCTACGACTAGCTGTCCCTAGATCTATGAGGTACAAGTAGACGTAGGTACAACTAGACGGCGGTACAACGAGACGCGGTCCCGCCCCACTTTGTATATGGGTTGACTGGGCTAATAGCCCAATGCGCCAAATTTCTAAGAAAACATTTGTTGGAAAATTGAATAAAACAACTAGTCGGCCACTTTCGAGGTTATTGCCCATAATAATGGCAATGGGGTGAGGGAATTTGATATTTCGCGGGGTAGGGGTTATTATTGTTAAATGTCACTTTTCAAAAAGGGTGCAAGACCTACAATCGTGCCAAATTTCAATCTCCAGCTAATCTAGAAGTGGGTAAACGTGATTTAGACCAATGCACGTGTAATAATAAAATTTTGGGGGGGAATCCAATTCAATACTTCAGGGGGGGGGGTTATTGTTGTAAAATGTCACTTTTCAAAAAGGGCGCAAGACCTACAATCGTGCCAAATTAAAATCTCCTGCTAATCTAGAAGTGGGTAAACGTAATTTAGACCGATGCACCTCTAGGAATAACATTGCGGAAGTCGATATTTCGGGAAGGGGGGTTATTATTGATAAATATCACTTTTCGAAAAGGGCGCAAGACCTACAGTTGCACCAAATTTCAGATCTCCAGTTAATCTAGAAATTGGTAAACGTGATTTAGACCGATGCACCTGTGGTGGCTATAGAAAAGATATAAGGGGGGAAATCGATTTTGAAGGGGGGGATTTTTATAAGGCCCTTTTTATATTATACCTCGGTGTTAGTTCTAATACAGTAAATGTATTAATCTAATACAGTAAACTGAGTATAGTTTCAATACTCTTGCGCTCATAGAATATGTAAAAGAGTCTTTTAAAACATTGTAAAAGTAGTAAAATATTTCAAATTTTGTCATTAAACCTAAGGTTAAGGGTTTAAGGAGTAAGTTACGAAAAAAATGTTAAACGAGTAAAATTAAGATAAACTAAGAATGGTTTAAAAATTATTGCAGCTTTTGTGATTTTAATTCTTCTTTAGAGATCTATGTTGATTAGCTGTTCGAGAAAATGTTTTGGATGTGGTGGTGGTGGAGGGTGGGATCCCGGAACATAAGAACGGTAATTATATGAATCAAACATTAGCAAATTAGTAAAAACAATTAATTATATATTTGCTTTTTGTAACTTAAAATTTATTATTACATTAATTACATAAGCAAATTAATCACTGGCCCAAACGTTTACAATAATAATTAGCCGTAACAGGTTTATGACTATTCCAATAAAAGCAGGTTAACTTTTGGGCCAATGATGTAATGTTCCAGTGTTTTCAGTGGATATATTCGTTTTGGGTCCCTCCGGACCCAAAAAAGTGTTTTTTGAAGTGATGTGTGTGTGTGTGTGGATGTGTACAGAGCTAAAGACTACACCTGTGGTCCGATTTTGATGAAATTTTGTATGTAGATCCTAATCCATGGCATCTCCAGGCGTTCTTTTCACCTTTTTTTAAATTTAGATTTTCGAAGATGATTTCCCCATAAAACCCATTAAATAACGAAAAAATCAGGCTTTCTTGAAAATGGCCCGAACTATTTTGATAAAGTTTTAAATGTTTTATCCCTTTAAATTCTTAACAAAATGTATAACTCCCATTCCTGCAAAAATTACGGTTTAAAGGTTATTGTACATCATGTTATTTTCCCATTAAACCCATGAACAAACGGAAAATTTGATTTGTTTTTAACCCGACTCTGGTCGAAAATTTGTCCTTTATAATTATTAACAAAATAGTTCAACCCCTCATTCCTGTAAAAATTAAGAAGGTTCAAAAGTTAATGCAACTTTTGTGATTTCTATCTAAAAGCGAATTTCCCATAAAGGGAATAAGCTACTACCGTAGTGCTCATGGTAAGACCTGGACCCGGGACCGATTTACTTTTTCGTTTTGAGGTCCCCCAGAGACCAAAAAACCCATCCGTTCAAATTCACATGTATATATGTGTCTGTTAGCATAATAACTCGAGCAAAAATGATCCGATTTTGATGAAATGTAGTATAAACGTGTAAACCTAAATTTATTCGAACGAGTTCGCGAACCAGCATGATAGGACCAGAACGGGGGTTTATGCTGGGTTGGGGTGAAAATAGGTTTTTCCCATTTTGACCCTAAAAACACAAAATTTTACAATTTCTTTCCAAACCATTTTGTAGAGTAAAAAAAAATACAAATAATTTAGTTTATTGAAGCGTGTGTTATTGTGCACCTACCCAGACAGCACACTTTCTCCTCAGGACATCCCACGGATATTGCGACAGGATATGCAAGATATCCCATAGTGGTCCTATGGTCAACCTGGGATATCACAGGATATCCACAGGAATGCGTAATGTCCCCGCCCGGGGATGTCCTACGGATAAGCTCACACGCATATCCGTGGGACATCCGAGGTCATCCCAGGGTAGTCCTCAGGACATTCTCAGGACATATGGGACTACTATGGGATGTCCCTGGGATAAAGTGTGGTCTGGGCCTGAACATAAAAAACACAAAATAATATAGATTTAGTATGAAAAGCTTAATTATAAGTTTAGTAAATTGATTAAATAGTTAATAAACACAAATTTTGAAGAAAAAAATTAGAAAAAAGTTTTTGGCCCAGACGGGTTTCGAACCTGGTACCTTCGCCTTATGAGCCTCTTACCTTACCTCCTGAGCTATCTGCGCTTGATGATTATGGGTGTTTTCAAGTGGTGAAAGAGTAGCCGACAGTTGCAATGGTCGCAATACTTAAAATATTTTTGATACTACAGTATAGGCTATGTATGCTTCTGTTAATCTGTTTAGGCCTCAAGTAGTTGAATTGTTTTTCTGGTAGTTGGAGAGGATACTGGTATTTGAATATAGATTATTTAATCACCATTAGATTAGCACTGATATAATTGATTGTTATATGATTAAAATTAGTTTTTGGATGTTTTATTAATTTAAAGTTAGAATTAAATTCACATTTCCCACAATTATGATAGAACTCTAGTTTTCCTGAACTCGGTGGTAGTAATATGTCAGTAAAGTAAAGTCAACCCTTGCTAGCCATAGTATTAACAAGACATATTTTCAATCTGGGAAACCTTAAACTTTTAAAATAAATTATAAAACCTCAACATCTTAATGCGTGGGAATCTTATTAAAAAAAAAAAAAAACAGACCAAAATTATTTGTTAAATAATGAAGACGGCCCAATTATAAATTCGGAATTACTGAAAATAATTACATCAAGAACAACACTGTAACATATCCAAAATTCAAAAGATTAATTTTTCTTATATTATTTTTCCAATATCCTTTAAATCATCTGTTTTAACTTTGTTTAAAATTAATTTATTAAGTAAATATTTACTTTTTGTACTAGTGTAAACACAGCCTGAAGATGGAAACCAAGTTTCTGAAAGCACTAGTGAAAAAAACAAATTATTATATATTGGCCTTGTTGAACATTTAAATTTAGATATACATTTCATCAGTGGTAGTATTTTTTTTCTTCATTTTGTTACCGGGACATTACGGGACATTACAGGATATCCAGTGGATTTTGTACATGTCCCGGGATGTCATGGGACATTCTGGGATATCCTATGGCATTCGTACATATCCCGGGACTTTACAGGATATCCTGAGGTTAACTTACAAATCCCGGGACATTACGGTATATTGTAGGATATCCTGTGGATTTCGTACTCGTCCCGGGATTTTGCGGGGTATCCTGAGGATAGCGTACATATCCCGAGACATTCTCAGGACATATGGGACTACTATGGGATGTCCCTGGGATAAAGTGTGCTGTCTGGGTAATGGTTACGGAGAATATTTAAAAAATTGTAAATTTAAAATTCCCATGTTATTCTTATGGAGAATGAATCAATTGTTGTAGCTTGTTTAGTAGCATATTTTGATCAAATTTGGAAAATACAATCATTTCTTACTAAACTATTACATAAAAAAAACACTTTTTTATCCTCCAAGGGCCACATTGAAAATCTTTGGAGGAAAGGACCGTCAACATTTCATTGTAGAAAGGTAGCGTCCTCCGAATAATCAAAAAGATATAGTTTTCTAATTAAGAGTTTAGCGATAAAGTTTGAACATTTCTTGCTGATTTTTTGTAGCTAGATAAAACCATAGATAAAACATACTCCCTTAGTAGATTTCTCATCCTTATGGAACAGCTGAAGACAATTTTATTGTTAGTTCATGTACGGTTTATGTAGAGGTCGTGTTTTGTTTACAATTTGTTTCCCGTTATTACAGCCATTTAAAACCTCGTTTAACCAAATAATACGATATAATCATAAACAATAACTTGTCCCCTAGCTATATAACCAAACAGTAAAGCACAAATCAAGAAATTAACCCTAAAATAATGGAAACAAAGTTTCATCGACACTAGCGCCTTTGTGTCACGCACATGAACTAGACACGAAAAACGTGCTTCAAAATTTACAATGGGATGAGAAGTCTACTTGTGTTGGTTAGTCTATGATAAAACGTACTCCTGTAAGTTTTGTACGTTTTTGTACGAATGATATTGTGACCAAACAAAATAAATTGATTTACCTCACATATTATAATTATTATGGGTATATAAACTGTGTTTGTCATATTTTCATGACAGGGGGGCCCCTGAGGCGGCCGTGATGTATCCCTGAGGATGTTATCTGAGTTGTGGGATCGAATTGGACCAGCACGCGGATCTAATTAATGGAATCGAATCGGAGTCAGATCTCAATCTCAGATCTGAATCTGATTGGAATATAATATTTCTGGTGCTTCATGGTTAAATTTAAGTTCGCATAGCACAAAAAAATATATGTTAGGTTAGGTTACGGGTAAAGTGGTATGGATGGACTTGGACTGGTCGGACGTTGTTGTTGTAATGTAAAATGTAATGTAGTAGTAGGAAGGAGTTCATCGTTCATCAAATCAAGTACACTTGTATTAATATTGAGGAGATACAGTAAACTTAACTTAAGTCTTAGTCAAGTCAGTCTTTTAGTGACTCACAGTGTGAAAGTCAATTAGTGCAACCGCAACATGATTTACCTCTTTTCTAGAACATTTTATGTGATTTTAAGCTTATAAATACTTTTTAATGTTTGACTTCAGTTTATAGTTAACATGGTGTCCAATTTTAAGTTTAACGTATCGCACTCCTACTAAGGGTTAAGTGGTAAGTAGAAAAGGGTTAGTATCCTAGCTTGCACAGCTAAGTTATAAGAAGATTGTAACGTAACAGTAGGCTAACTCATTTTATCATAGCGAATCGTGTAACTAAGTTTGGGTAGGCCTAACTTAGGGAATTGGGCTGTAGGCCTATTGAATTTCTACGTCTAGCCTAGGCCTAATTTAGGCCTAGGCCCAACTAAATAAGAAAAACACATGCATGGCCCAAACTCTTTCCATTGATCCTGTAATGATATAATTGACAAATAGGCTACCGGTACTGTAAGTTATTGGAAATGAATGTGAATTCAACTAAGTTAAGTAAAACTGGACTATGGCCACACTTAACCCAAGTCTTAGAACTGATGACAGCCAACTATGAGGACCATGTATTAAGTTATAAAATAAGTACAGTAACTCATTCTTTCAGGAGGCAAAGTCCTGGGTTAACCACCCTAATTTATATTCAGGGGTTAACCCGGAAGAGAGGTAGCCTAGCATAACTTAGCTGTCTAAATGACCCCCTGGGCTGCACTTTACTTGACGTCCTACACTCATTCGATTGTTTTTTCGATTCGATATTTTCATTCGATTGTTTCATTCGATATATCGTTTGGTTAGTTAGGTTAGGTTAACCTTACCTAACTAACCAAACGATATATCGAATGAAGCAATCGATTAATCGATATTTTCATTCAAATGAGTGTAGGACGTCAAGTAAAGTGCAGCCACCCCCTGCACTTAACTTAACCCTCCGAGTGTCACGCGTCATAAAAATGACGCACAACACACTTTGTGTAGGGTCACGCGTCACTTTTATGACGCACAAACATCGTTTACGGCGAAGGCTCTATGACTGACTGAATCGGATTGAACTGGATCGAGTTAGGTATCGTTCTTTCCGTAATATTCTAAGCTTTCTCCAGAGGTCTGTCTCTAAGCGCTATTCATTTTAGTTCCGAAAATATTGTAGCAGACAGCTGACGTGCGTGTATTTGTAAACAGCTAGGTTCCCCCGGACCGATGGGCGATGACTGATGTGTTTTATTACGTTTATCATTGTTTTAGTGTTAAAAATCAAAAGTAGTGATATACGTGGTGCATTATAAGAAGATTTAAGTGGTTTTGAAGTGCTGGTTGATGATCCTGAAGAAGTAGGTAGTGATATTGATGTAAATTATCAGCCAGATTCCTAGCTATGGTTAGGCTATGCATTCTTAGCTAAACGCTATGTACTGAAATCCGTTTTTCGCTCATAACTTATTTATTTGATAACTTACCTCGCTATATGATTATATATTTGTAATCCTCATTAAATTTAGAACAAAGTGGCGATTTTCAAATATTTATAGGCCTATAATTTATACAATTTCATTGAGCGCGAACTTATTTTTTTTTTGAAAATTTTCGAAATTATATTTTTTTTTACCTAAAATTTTTTTTTTTGAAAAAATGTTCCTTATGTTTTATATATAATATTGAAGCCCATGATTTTCCAAACAAAATGGTATATAGAACATTAGAATTAACATTGTTTTAAGCTTCTCAGATCCGTTTTAATAAAACCTTGCAAAGGGGCCAAAAATAGGTGGACATTAAGGCCTAAACTATGGACACTCGGAGGGTTAAGGTCCTACACTCATTCGAATGAAAATATCGATCGATATATCGATTTGCAAATTTAAGTTAAATCGCTTGGTTAGTTAGGTAAGGTTAATCGATATTTTCATTCGAATGAGTGTAGGATCTAAAGTAAAGTGCAGCCATGACCGGGTTTGTCCTTTTTTGCCCAAAAATTATATTTATTTGTCGTCGGTAGGCCTATTGTTAGCCTTTATTGTAGGCCTATAGGCTATCACACCACAAATTTCAGGAACACGGTGACCTAAGTTAACTTAAGTTATTATTTGCCATCCTTCACCTCCTCATTTCAGTCTAGTCAGCTCTTTGTCATGTAAGTTAGGCCTAATGGTCGATTCCACCGTGTGCGACTTCTCGTGGTTTGTGCTTAAGAACTTACCTACAGTAAAACCTCGCTAACTTAAATCTGACCTCCGATGGTCCGACTCCTCTCTTGGTCCGACCGTGCTGCCAACACAATAGGCTTCCGCTAACATAACCTCATCGTCAAAAAAAAAAAAAAATAGGTACCTCAAAAAACCTTAACTTATATAACTTAGGCTTAATTATTTGTTTACTTAAATTTGACAACAATAAAATGGAAGCAAAGCAAAGGAATGTCGATCAAAGCTTCAAGGTTAAACTATCCATTTGCACTGACAATCGTCTGCTCCTTAGGCCTACACATGACTCATATGTCTGCTGTGCGCTTGCTATGTCACAACACACAACTTTAGTAGCCTGTGATTGGGTGATTAGTAAAAGTAACTATGGAACCTTGTTGCGAATGAAGAGAAACTCAAGAAAGAATAGAAGAAGCGATGTATTTATGTCGTTATATTCATTGGTGTATTTTACGACTGTTGTTATGCTATGAGTGGGCTATTACTATCCTATTAGGCTATTTTATACTTTTTTTTATGCGTTAGCCTATCTAATGTTTTTATTGACATTCTTCTGTCCTGAAACAGTGTAGCAGTAGCCTATGACTAGCAGTAGCTTACTAGACTTCTATTGTTCTGTACCTTATTTTGCTGTGTTTGGCAATTTGTTGTGATTTTAAACGTTACAGTTTTTATTACTGTACCAAGGTTAATGACATACCGGTAACATAATTATCATGATTGTGCAATAGCCTACTAAGTTAATTGTATTTTAATGATGTGATATGCAAATCATCACATTAAAGTCCATTTATACAGTAATTTAAGTATTAGGTGTTGTTTATAAGTTGGAAATAACTGTTTTATGTCATGTTGGATTGTGGTTAAATCAGTTATTTTTGGTCTTTTTAAATTACAATTATACCATCAAAAATACCATCAATAAACACGGTCCTCTGATAATCCGACCTTTTTGTTGTTCCGACCATGGTCCTGGTCCCGTAGTTGACGGATTAGCTAGGTTCTACTGTATTTTTCTTTTAATGTTTGATTGGCTAAGTTACAGTTTAAATTTTTTGGTAACTTATTAGGTAGGTAGCCTACCATTAAATTATGTGCATTAAATTCCGTGTCAATGATTTCCTATTCAGTTAAAATATTGACGAGGCCGATTCTATTATCACGGCGGACTACCGGCACACTTGGTCCGACCTTTGCACTGACTGATTTTGGGTCACTTTGTTTGGACTGTCCACAGTCGAATTTACTACTCTCCACTCCACTCATTCATTACTCACACACACACACACTCTCTCTTTCTCTCTCTCTCTCCTGGACACCACCAAAATCTATAAAGCGCTAGCTTACCAGCACTGTGTTCATGGAAATACATAACTTATATCACTATTCACTAATAATAATAACGACCTAGGCCTATTGTTTTTTTTTTAATTGCCATTCTAAAAATTCAATAATTTTTCTTTTTTCCTATTTGACAGCAACTTAGCAGACGCACAGGTAGCACTGCCTATGTCTGCTAGTTCCTTTGTTTTATTGTTAAATATTTTTGCTTATTAAAACTCTTATGTATTTTTAGTGACAAAAGTCTCTGTCTAATATACTAGGCTATATTTTATTTTATAATCACGGTTTGTAGCCAATGTTTTTTGGAATAAACTATCATATTCATTCATTCATTCACTTAAAAGGAATTTTATCTTTACAAGACAATGATCACTTATAATTAGGCCTAACTTATTTATAGGCCTAACTGAACTTTTGCTTGTTATATGTTTGCTTCATATGTAGGCCTATTTGTCATTTATAGATAGGCCCTACATAAAACTGGTACCGGTGGCGTCGTCCTGTAATTCAGCTACTAGGAGGTTACGAGTTATATGGATATTTATAGGCATGCATTGTGCATGCGATACTCCCTGGTGTGGATTAACGTCCGCACGAGTGAGTACTACGACTATCCCCAGTACTATCCTGGAAATTAGACCAATTAGTTTATACCAAGGCAAAAATGGATTCCACTATAAACTGTAGGTCCCTTAGTTGCCATTAGCTGTATAGGCTATTAAAACAGCTGTGTCTAATAAATAAGGAATAAGTCGGCCTTAGTCACTAACAAGACTAAGATCGCGCCACTCATCTCCATTCATACTTGGCTTAAACTACCTACTTTGTATGGTCGCCATTTCATTGAAAAGTAAAGTAAGTAAGTAGGCCTATTGACAAAAAAACTTTTGAGGCATTTTTCAGCTAGACTTACTTACCTTAGGCTATATGAAATGGTTTACACAAAACCAACAATGCAAGGTGTACGATTTTATTACAACTGCCCATGTTATGTTTCATCATCTAAATCATAATTAGAAGGTTTAAACTTGAATGTTTTGCTCTATTTTTACGATTTTGAGTAATTAACACTTAAATTCTTACCGTGAAATACGTCTTTTTAACTGTACCCGGTCAAAAAGACTGTTTGTGTCTCCTCACGTTTTCAATTCAGTGCGACCTCTGCTGGGTTAAACTTAGAATCTTTCACTAAGTAACTTTTAGAAATTTACGATGCTAGATGGCAAATCTGTGCGTGCATACCTTCAATTCGAGACCTCAATCATGAAAATCGGTCGGGTAGAAGAGCCTAACGAACTCGGAAAAGAAAAACCAAATTTTTTTTTATACAGGGTGTTCATTTGAAAACTTTCCATATCTGTTGTGTGCAAAGGTAAGGCTTTTAACACTTGTTTGTTCTCATTTCCCCCTAATTTGGACATGCCAAATCCAATAAAATTATTTTCAATTTCGAAAAATGCCCCAAAAGGGCCCAATTTGGGGGGTAGGGGTGCTTTTTGAGAAATTTTCAAATGTAAACATGGGTTGTGTGATACATCAATTTAAAGGTCTAATCACCCCGACTATTTTGGTGCAATAAAAATGTAATTATCTTTAACCGTATTTACAGGGTGGGTCAAAACGTTTTTAAAAAGGACTTTGAAGTTAAGTGCCGTATTACCCGAACTACTGAACGGAACAGCGCCAAATTTCTTTCCAAGCTTATTCTTGATCTACTCTTTAAGATAACTTGTAATAAGGGCATTTTCCATGTTATCTTCTAATTTTTTAAAAATCTCAAATTTTAAGAATAAAAGAAAGGTGAAAACTCAAAATTCTTAAATAGCAAGGTATAACAAATTTCATACCTTGTGAAAGGTCCTTTTTTAACAAACATTTTACGTATTTAAGTTTTCTTTCTATCTCTTACAGTTTAAAAATTGCAGTAGAAAAACTGAATTTTCTATGGTAAAATTATAACTAGTTTTCTAACAAAACACATTGCACTTTGCTCAACGATGTATTATGATTAATTACAAATTGATCAACTACTTTTACTTGTGTCAGTTCATCTTGGACCCTTCATCCTGTTTTTTTCTCATTGGGAACTGAGCCAGTTTCAGAAATTTCTTAACCAAATCATTTACAGCTTTATGACTTAAGGTCTTACCTGGATATTTATTGTTAAACACTTTGCAGTTATCCTGAAACACTTTTGTTCTGTCCAATAAGTAAAAATAAATTCTTTTTTTTAATTGTACACCATATTCGATTAGATACTACAGAAAATAGTACTTTTTGAAATTAGTACTACCGTTGACTAGTCAATGGTACTACAGAAAGCAGCCCACATGTAGGTTGTCCTCATCAGCTATAAGACTTGTTTTTCACAAATTAAAACGTAACGACTTGTTTGTCAATCAGGGTATCAATAATTATGAATTGTTTCCTTCAGTTAATGCACCATTAAATGTGTCTAGAGACAAATTTTGGCTGTTTTATTAGAAAACTAGTTACAATATTACTATGGAAAATTCAGTTTTTCTACTGCAATTTTTAAACGGTAAGAGATAGAAAGAAAACTTAAATACGTAAAATGTTTGTTAAAAAAGGACCTTTCACGTGGTATGAAATTTGTCATACCTTGCTATTTAAGAATTTTGAGTTTTCACCTTTCTTTTATTCTTAAAATTTGAGATTTTTTAAAAATTAGAAGATAACATGGAAAATGCCCTTATTACAAGTTATCTTAAAGAGTAGATCAAGAATAAGCTTGGAAAGAAATTTGGCGCTGTTCCGTTCAGTAGTTTGGGTAATACGGTACTTAACTTCAAAGTCATTTTTAAAAACGTTTTGACCCACCCTGTAAATACGGTTAAAGATAATTACATTTTTATTGCACCAAAATAGTCGGGGTGATTAGACCTTTAAATTGATGTATCACACAACCCATGTTTACATTTGAAAATTTCTCAAAAAGCACCCCTACCCCCCAAATTGGGCCCTTTTGGGGCATTTTTCGAAATTGAAAATAATTTTATTGGATTTGGCATGTCCAAATTAGGGGGAAATGAGAACAAACAAGTGTTAAAAGCCTTACCTTTGCACACAACAGAAATGGAAAGTTTTCAAATGAACACCCTGTATATAAGATATTTAAATGATAGTCACTTTAGTGTTTGAAAAAATATTTTTGACTATAAATAACTCTTCAGCAGCTGTTTGGAATTTTTCAAGATGGCCGCTAACCTCAAAAGACTCTTAACCCGTAGGCTACATCCGGCCCACCAGAAGATTTCTTCTGGCCCGCAGAAAGCCAGACATCTATTTTATTATCTTAATTTATCTTGCTATTGCATAGAATAAAGACTCTTTATTCTGTGTTTTTAGCAAACTCCGATAATCTTCTCTTGCGATCGCGTAAATACCTTGTGTTCTGCTGTTGATACCCTGATTGTCTCCCTAATTCGTGGCAACACTTGTGAGCGTATTTTGCCTAGTTTGTAGTCCATGCTACTCTGTGATTGCTTCCTGCTATCTTCTTCCACTTTGAGGCAACACTTTTCACCGTATCTTGCAGTCTCGGTGATACTGCAATCATCTCCACGATTGCAGAAACGCTCATTACCAGTCAATGAACACCGTCAATGAATGAAGGCCTGGCCATAGGATATTGATGGTACTTACAGCCAAAACCATATTGTAGTGCAATTCACTGTCTTTTTCCTGGCCAACAAAGTTCACGTACAATTCCGGGTAAACTGGTCAGAGACATCTGTTTTTAAATATGAGTAGCCTACATGTCTCACACTTGCCAATTATTTCTCAATGGGGGAAAATTAGCTTTGAAAATGTAATGAAAACTTTTTAAAACTAAAAGTATTTAATTCTGTTGCAGGTAATCTATGTTCAGAACAAGAAGGAGAAACGGAGAAGCTCTGAGGAACAATATTGGAGATGACCAAACGCAGCCCAGGCCAGGAAACATGGACCAAAGCTTAGCTCAGCACTCACAAGAAGATATAACTAACAGCAGTCGTTCATCTCTTCCTAGAACCTGTAAACAGAAGAACCACAGTTCCGAACTATCTTCAAGCAGTGGAAGTGATGATGATGAGTTCCTCCAATCAGCAAAGTTCAGACGCAGGAATCATTTTAGTGACTACGAGACGGGTGAGAGCTCTGATATGACACCGCGGAGAACAAGAGCTGGCTTGACAAAGAGAAACGTTCAGAAACATGATGAAATGTCTAATCAAAATTGTGTTGATTATGACTCATCAAGTGTTGATATGGATTTTACTAAAAAAAAGGTCAAAAGACCATTGACCTATACTTCAAGTGATAATGACTCATCAGACAGTGGTGCACCCATTGGCTACAAAAGATGTAATAAACGGATGAGAGTTCTCTCCAGTAGTGAGAGTGCCAGCTCTAGAAATTCGGGCGATGAAAATGCTCTAACTACAGCCTCTAACGTGGACAATCGATTGCAAAGTAATGATTCGGAGAGTGACAGCGAAATCGATGTTGTGAGCCCATTTCATACTGTGAGAGGAAGAAATTATCCTGTCATTGAAAGTGATGATGATACAAGCTTATACATTCAAGACTTATTGCAGGAAAGTGATTCTGAACAAAACAATATTTTTGCTTCATTGATTGCAGATGAGCTTAGTTTTCTTCGTGTTAGAAGGAGACTGCAACGACGACGTAGAGGACCAGTTGTGCAGAGGAACATTACTATTCCTGAATCAGATGGTCATAATATGTGGTGGGTTACTACCCAAGGAGAAGAAATAGAAGGCGTTAGTGATGTAATTTCACATCATCGTAGAGTAAGGGGAAGGAGAACTCCAGTTGTTGAAGAAAGTGAAGATGATATGGAATTAAATGCTTCTCAAAATAATGAAGTATTAGTTTCAGAAAGAGAAACTGTCAACAACCACTCTGGCAGTTTGGCTGGAATCAGTGACAGCGATACAGACAATGTTAGAAGAAGAAGAATTTCTGCACTTAATAATGAAAATCAGGTTGCTACTAGATCCAATGCAAGAAGGAGAATTATGTCTTACAGGAACAGAAATGTTTCTCAAAGAGGTGATTCATCAAGTTCATCAAGATCTTCTTCAGACTCTGATGATAGTGTTCCAGAAAGAAATACAAGACTTCGTGGTAGAGTAACTGCCGATTCAGTTGAGGATGTGAATGATGTAAACATCAGTTTGTCAGTAGCTCAAGAGATACTTGCCAGTCGTAATATTAAACAAGAAGAAAGTATTTCAGATTCTGGGGAAGAAGAGTCAGAAAAGTGTCCAATCTGTTTAACAGCTTTTAAATTACAACAAATTGGAAAACCTACATCCTGTAACCACATGTTTTGCTGCAAGTGTATTAAGGAATGGGCAACGAAAAGTAATACTTGTCCAGTGGATCGTAAGGAGTTCAATAAACTTGCTGTGTTCAACAAATATGAGGGGAAATTTATTTGCGAAGTAGATGTTGAAAAACCTGAACCAGAAGATGATTATCCTTTAAGTGATGATAATATTGTGAGCCTTTATGAGGTGGTTGCTGGTGCCGATGCACTTGATATTGCCCTCTCTTTCAATCAAATTGCAGCCCTCTCTTTCAGTGAAAGTCTTGAAGATGGACCAGAAGAGGTTTGTTACACATGTGGTAGCAGTGAACATCCCGATCGAATGATAAGTTGTGACAGTTGCAACACTGTCTTTCATCTAGACTGTGTTGATCCTCCACTTGAAGATATACCTGCTATGAATTGGTATTGCTCTGATTGTGATATGCATTCTGACTCTTCTGATTATGATTGAAAAAAAGACTTTTGTTTGTCGTTAAAAAGTTAAACTATAATATACCATTTCAAGAATTCAATAAATATTTTATTAATAATTGTTCCATAACATTGAAGTCACATGTCATTACTAAAACTACCTACTGTCGGGGAAATAAATACAGTATGTGCACTCAAGTTTGAGCCTAAATATCTCTGAGATTAATTATCCGATTTTGTTAAAAGAAAAAATTAAATGTAAGCTAGTTAAGATACATTTTACTTGGTAACAATTTAAAAAAATTTCCGTTTAACAGAAATATTTATATACTTGAAAGAATGTACACATTAGCTCCCCCCTTTCTTGAACTATGGTCGCTATGAGAGATTACTAACCAAGCTAACCAGGTCGTCTTAGATTTTTACACTGGTAACATCTATTCGAAAATGAGTGAATACCGATGCAATGTCAGTGTGGTGGCCAGGTACACATCGGCAACGTCGCAGATTCGCACGCGCTCCCGCCCGGCTGGGAAATATCGTACAAACACCAGGCGACCCGCTGCCAGTCGCGGGAGAAATTTTTGTTTACAAATATAAATCTGTTTTAAAAAACACCTCTGTTTGCATTACAAATCTGTCATATTGGTGTTATTTCTTGTGTCACGACAAACACGACGGTATTTTGAACGAAATCTTTAGCGTCTTATTAACGATTTTAGCATACATTTTAAAAATTAACAGCAGCATAAAAACTATTTTGAGTAAAATTTTTAAAATGCATGGAAATTTTAACAATAAACCTACCAATTAGCCATAAAAATTTCAGAAAGATTGGCTCAGTGGTTTGTTTACAATTAAATTTTAAACTTCAGTGTTAGTGCAGAGTTTCTTAAAAACCGGTACTCTTTTTAGGATCTTTCAACTATATAAATTTTTCTGGTAAACGGGAATTTTTCTTAAATTGTTACCACGTAAAATGTATTAAACCAGCTTATATTTAATTTTTGTTTCAACAAAATCGGATAATTCATCTCAGAGATATTTAGGCTCAAACTCGAGTGCACATATTTATTTCCCCGACAGTAGGCTACATTTGACTATACTTTTACTATCTATTGAAGAATTAAGAACTGTGCCATATGCACTTGAACCTTTTGGGTGATGATATCATCTATTACTGCACTACAGTCATGGTTATTACAGATTAAATAACTTTTTGATCAGCATTGTAGGTGTTATTAAATTTACGGAAAGTAAATAAAAGAAGTTTCACAACACTTAAAACATATATTTACCCTTGTACTGTTATACTCACAATACAAAAAAATATTGTAAATATACAAAAAAGATGGTATGTGGTGATCGATTTCGATTGGACTCTATAGATTCGCCTATTGGGTCTGATGATGATTGGAGTGTCCAATCGAAATCGATCACCACTTACCATCTTTTTTGTATGTTTACTGTCTTGTGAGTAACAGTATAAGCGTAAATATAATGTTTTAAGTGTTATAAGATGTTTCTTTTATTTACTTTCCGATTACAGATTAAACAAAATATTGTTTATTTATAAAACATTTAACAGAATAATTCCAAATTCCATAACATTGTTAATATATTTTCTGTACTGGAAAAATCCCTGTAGATGAAGATAGACAGTGAACAATATAATTAAATACTTTTATACTACTTGCCACACTTATAAATACACCAATGTACTTGTTGACATTTGTAGTTAAAATGTGTAACATATAACTAATAAAGAGTCTCTACAGTGTTTGTTTTGTTTGAATTATAAATTTAAATTTCAAATACACTAACATTGTTCTTCTTGTAGGAAGTAGTACCCTATAACTATATTCTGGCTTTTAGCACTTCTGATTAGACCTATATCCTTTTTCTCAAAAACGGATATATATTTTATACTTTCGAGCTATAGTTTTGTGTGGAAATTATACCTGTTTTGGTTGCCCCTGAACCTAAAAAAAGTTGTTTTGAAAACTTGATTCTGCATGTGGGTGTGTATTTGGATGTGTACAGAGCTACAGAATACACCTGTGGTCTGATTTTAATGAAATTTGGTATGTGGAACTGGAAACTAATTTATGATATTTTCAGGAGTTCCTTAATTTTTTTTAAATTTTGATATTGAAACTAATTTTCTCATAAAATAACAGAAAAAACTGGTTTCCGAATGATTTTGATAAAATCGTGTATAGGCTATTATATGGTGAATTAAAATGGTATACAATATTATTACCATTTAAATTTTAACAGGCTAATAATGCAAAATACCAAATTGTAGTTTATTTGTATTATAAGTTTTACCAACCTTAAATATTGATTGAAAGTATGGTGTTACTTTGAAACATAGGCCTATATATTTCAGAAACATAAATTCAATGCTTTGTGTCTGTGACATACGTCTCCATGTAACCATAATGCTGTGACACAACTTGTAAACCTAATTAACGTTTAAGATTTTCTGAAATAGCATAAAGTATCTTGAAACAAAATAAGATATTGTCTCTGTAAGCTATTTGTAGGAGACGTCGGTGAATGTTGTATTTAGATTGGAAACCACATCTTGCTTTGCTTTTATTGCAGAGAACTTCCTGTATAAAATTTAGACACAAAATACACGGATGGACAAACATCTAGATGTTTGCTTGAAATAACACCATTGTTTGTTTTTAGAAAACGATCCTTGAAACATCCTAAGGCAGGTAAAGAATCATTTTTACCTTCCTGTTAGAGATGTGCGAGCACAGGTTTTTCAGGTCGAGTCGAGTTCGAGTCGAGTAATTGGCAAAAGATTCGAGTCTCGAGTTCGAGTCGAGTTTAAACCCAAAAGATCGAAGAATGTGTAAGTTTAAGTAACTCCTTAGGCCTAGAGCATGTAACTGTTAAAACAACCTTGTTACAAGCTGAAATATGATTATAAATAAATAAATTATTAATATTTGTGCAGTAACATATCAATATAATGCATAGAAAATAATTTTAAAACAACAACAATAGAGCTCATAAATGAACTTCTACTTCTGTAAAAAAAGGTAAGTGAGCATACATTTTTTTATCCAAAAATAAAATACAATAATCCCTATTGATAAGTAATATTGCATAATACTTGGCTAAAATTACTTAATACTTGCATCTATTAGTTATTAAGGTTGCAATTACAATAGCCTAATAAGTTTAATAAAGAGATTTATTCTAAAACTTGAAATGTTATTTCCTACCTTTTCACCTTTAGTTTTGTAAGTTTATTACCATTATTCTTTTAGTTGGTGTGGTTTTTGTAACAGTAGGCCTACAAAATTTCCAATGGTTTGACAGTGGGTAAAGTAAAAATAAATTTTGAAATAAAGAAAATTAAATTTTTTAATCTTGTATGTTAATTGTAAACAAACATTCTGTCAAAATACTCAAAATATGTTAAAAATGAAGTACAAATAGGCCTACAAGTAGTCTACCTTACTGATAAACAAAACAATTGTAGATTGAAAATTGTACTGAATAATGTAATAAGCTCATACAATAGTAGTTATAGAAATCAAATGAAACCTAGACTTAGGCCTAACTCACTATAATCAATTGTATTCCATGCACATTAACCACATTAATGCAAGTTGTCATGAAGGAAAACAAACTATGTAATCTAGAAGGCCAAGTGCTAGCACTTAATTATTTTGAGATATTTGTAAGCTTTTTTTAGGAGTGCTACTATTGTCCTCATGAATGATTTCATACTTATTTATGAGTTATCTAATGTTTTACAAGTTTACAGAATAATTATTTTCAACCACGGTAGCATCAATTTATAATTATCAACTTCTGTTAAGAAGGCCAATGACCCAAAACATCATGATTGTGCAATGTTGTATTTTGACATAAAAATGTAAATCATGGTATTAACTCTAATTTGAATATTTCTCCTGGTCCCTTGCAGATTGTATTTTCAATGCTAAATAATTAATTGTGGTCAATTCAAATTATATTTTTGATGATTCAAATCTCCTATACAAAAAGACAAAAGTCAAACCAGACAAGGAAAAAACCTGCTATTGTAATCCCCCTGCCCCTACCCAGCCATTTCGGAAGTGGTGAAAGTCTAGTCTGGTCTAAATATAGCTCCAAGGTTTTACCCTCCCCTTCCCCCCAACCCCCTACACCATTCACTGTTGCCGACTTGCCGGCTGCCGGGCTGCCGGCTCAGTTCGAGGTCATTGCACAACCCCTCCCTCCTTCTATTGTTTTGCCTTTTGTAGTGTTTCTATTCTTTTTAAAACTTAACTGACTTTTTTAAACATAGATTTATTGCTTGTAACAGTTCAGTAGTGGAATTTTCTATTGTGAACAGTACTGAATGAAACAGTACTATTGTGAAACAAAATCACTACCGATCATGTCATTCAGTGTCAAGTCCAGATTATGCCATTGCCAGTCAGTCCGGCGACTGCTTTGAGTTGACCTATTCTGTTGTGACAGCTATAAAAATAGGTTAGGACAACTACCTCTTGCTTATTTCTACACTGTAGAAATATTTGTATTACTGTAGAATCTATAGTAATACAAATTATAAAGCATTTTATGTAAACACAACTTACATTTTAACAAATATTGATTTTTTACAATTTTAAACCAAACTCTACTCGAATCTGCCGAGTTCAAAGATAAGCTCGAGTTTCAAGGCCGTACTCGACTCGAACTCGTAATCTCGAGTACTCGCACATCTCTACTTCCTGTAGATGCTAGCCTCCGGATTACCAAAGGTAAAGGTAAGACAAGTAATAATCAGAATTTGCAGGTAATGCAACTAGGTTCAACTCTAACAATGCTCTTGTCAAAAGTACTGTAGGCCTACGATACATTCCATTTTTATCTTCCATTAGAGGGGTACCGGGGCACTAGGTGACCAACTGTGTAAGCCAACGAAAGCACACAAACATACAAAAATATCTTCAAAGTCAGGTACAAAATAAATACCAGTGTCTTGTAGTCTAGACTCAAACTCTGCTAGGTTCGTATTATTATTTTATTTTTCAGATGATAAGTATTTAGTAACCATGTTTTATGTTTGTGTTTAGATCAGTGGTGTAGTGGGGTGGGAAGGCACTCCTGCTACCAGGAATCCTATATGTTAGTCATTTATTGGACAAACCTGAGCATTTTCATACTGAAAATTTTACGACTACCACTGGCATAAATATTTTTGAAAAACCTTTCCAATTTGTAATATGAAGATACAAATCGAGCTCCCTTGTGCTACCTGTAAGTCTTACAGGTGTAAGAGCTGAAAGTAGATTCGCTATCTGCAATTTTTTTAACTGACTATTAACTGGTATTTTATTATTTCCAAAAACCAGTTTTATATATTAGACTAGGTGAAACCCGTCAAAATCGACGGTTGCTTTAAAGGCTTACGACAATTTCTTCTAACTTTGACAAAAATAGTGAAATTATGAAAAATGTAAGCATTTAGCATTGTTTGATGAGTAATAAATAGGTGTAGAAACAATAATGACTATTGCATTAGTAACAAAATATAGTTGATCATTCAATGAATAACATATTTCTTATACCGTCCGTCATAAGAGTTATTGTTCCTATATGTTTACCGGTTTATCTTTTTAATGGATATAATATAAAGAATCTTTAAATAGTATTAAAATCGTATTGGTGGATCTTTTGTGGTACACACTTCTGCGATTTCATCAGTGTTATCACAGATAATATAACCCCTACTATAGGGGTTATATTATCTGTGGTGTTATGCAAATTAAATCTGTGTTTTTTCTTAAATAAATATCTATTTGTTGAAAAAGCACATTCCTAAAGGGAGGCCCACCCTAAAGCTGTGCAAGTTTTATTTTTCCTTCGTCACGTCGGTCATTATACCATATTTCTGTGTCAATGAATAACCCTCTAAATTTAGCAATATTTTTGTTAGCATACCTTTGATTCCATGACATGCGGATGTCAGCTGTCTCAGCCTTATTAATTACATTTCATTATATCTTCAGAATGTTAGGTGTATTGGAATATACTTGTAGTGAAGCTGGCTTTTATTCTTGAAATGAGGGACCCCGTTCATATGGTCATGCGGCTTCATTGGCAACAAATAATGCAAATGGCAAAGCAATGCTGCATTTGCATTTCCAAAAAGCAAATACTGTTAATTGTTACGTTTACATGCATTGTTGTTAATCAACGTATCTTAGAAAGGATGAGGATATCTAGTTCAAAAAGAACACGACCTTTCTGTCAAGACAGTAAATGCTTGAATGGTAATTACTTTTTGTGAAATTTGTGTTACAGTCAAAGTGTAGTGTTATTTTCACAAATCTCACTTAAGGCCAACCAAGTGGTCATATGGACATGGCTCATATGGGTAACGTGCCCTTCTGCACTTGTATTACACAATCAAAATCTTTTCCAATAATTGAAAACATGTATGAAAACAATCTCATGAACCTATGATGATCTGTCTTGAATAATATGACAAAACATTGGCTGGGGCAGAGCCCTAAGAGAATTTATTTCATTTCTTTTTTGAGTGCTCATCTACAGACCTTTCTTCGGACATCCCTACCAAGTTTCTACGCCCAGCCGTTCTCTCAAATTAGTGGAGACAAAGTTTCCAATCAAATATTTAGATTCTCCCATGCTAATCTTATGGGAGAAAACCCAACTTTGATGGAAGATCCTGCCCAAACTAATAGAGATTTAAAATACCCCGCCGCAGCAAACCTGCAGACTAAGCGAATTCCAACTTGTCTGACTACATTTTTACAAAAATATTTCCATAATAAAGGCATATTTATTCCCAATTTTAATAACATTAGATTTAATGAGTGCTTAGGTTTGCTGCTACCGGGAAGGTAAAAAGTGTTTTTGGACCATAAGTCAATAGTATAGGATGAAATAAATAAATTGGCCAAATTTTATCAATATATACCCATAGACAAGTAAACTACAACAGTTTTCATTTTCTCCATAAGAATAACATGGGAATTTTAAATTACACTATTTTTGAATTTTCTCCGTAACCGTTGGGCATATAACAGCGCTTCAATATACTAAATTAGTTCCTTTTAAGCTCTAAAAAACGGTTTAAAAATAAATTGAATTTTTTTTTGTTTTTAGGGTAAAAAATGGGAAACCCCATTTTTACCCCATAAACCCCCGTTCCCATGGTCCAATTATGCTGGTTCGCAAACTCGTTTGAATAAATGTAGGTTTACACGTTTGTACCAAATTTCATCAAAATCGGATCATTTTTGCTTGAGTTATCGCGCTAACGGACATATATGTATATGAATTTGAACGGATGATGTTTTTGGCTTCTAGGGACCTCAAAACGAAAAATTAAATCGGTCCCAGGTCCAGGTCTTACCACGAGTACCACCATTGACATAGTCAATGGTACTACGGTAATAGCTTATTCCCTATATGGAAAATTCGCTAAAATTGATAATTTTTTTGACACTTTAATCATCAAAATCGGTCCAAAAATGAGGGAGGAGTTCTGTTCACAAAAATCGGCTTAGCGTATTACATATATAGATAGATTGTTAGAAATTGGTAGTCTAGTTATGTAATGGGGTGAAAAATAACAGCTATGTCAATGCAATGCAAAGTAGTTTTTGTATTTACAATTTGTACAAAACAAAATATTTGATAGCGTAGCTAAAACTTAATTAACTTTATGACACTCATCCATTGAGAATGGTTCAATGTTTACACAGGAATGTTTAAATGAGACAACTACTCAAACAATAGTCTAATTTTAGTTTAGATAGGTACTGATTTACAACATGATTCAAACCCGTCGTCAACAACAAAATTTGAAGATTAAATGATAGTTTATTCAAATAAGAAAAAAATTAATTTCCTTATAAGTGAACTGAAAGGTAACGTTCATTGAGTAATATATGGTAATATCTTGTTTGTTACCTCAGTATTGAAGCATAATGTCAAATGATCTCTGTGGCAAAAAAAATCATGCATTTTGGTTGATTTAGAAATGTATTGTGTTCAACAATAATAATAATACTTTCCTGTAACTAAAAATAACAGTTTCTTTCATTGAAACAAAATTAAGATAGAAGCTAGGCTACAATTAATTAAGTAATTAACGTTCAAGATAACTAAACATAATTTAATGGCTTGCTCGATAAAATATAATAAATTTTACTGTAAAACTTTAAAATTAAATTTGTTGTGTATTAAAGTTAAAAGAATTTTTATAATTGTAATGTCCTAACTAGGCCTACACATTTAATACAGCCGCAAGTCATTAAATTGAGTCCTGCATAGTAAAATGGCCTACTTAACCTAATATACAATTTTAAATAATATTGATTCTTATGTTGCTTATAAATTCCATCCCCAGAGAATTTGTAAAAATTTAAACATTTATGAAGCTGACGGTCTTGCATTTTCCTCATTGAGCTGTTTTCTGGCTTCTCGATTGGACTTCAATAGCTCAAAAAGTTGTGCTTGTATGTCATCATTCTTCTTTTCCAAAACATCCAACACAGAATTTAACTGATCTATTTGGGAGTTCAGTGATTCAAATTCTAAAAAAAATAACAATATTAGTAAATACTAAACTACTTTTATACTGGGTGGTCCAATAAAGGAAACCCAAAAATAAATAATTAATAGTTTACTAAAACAAAGCTTACAATTACTTAACTAAACAAAACATATTCCATGTGTTGTCCTTCGTTAGTAACAGCATATTCCATTCGGCCCATGATCTTGCTGGCCATCTCAGAGCACTGCTGGGCAGAAATGTCTCTGAACACCCGTTATGTATAAAAGTATTACGTATACTTAACTTAGTTACATTTTCTTTGCAACACCTTTTTTTGGTAGGTTTATTCGGATTAAAATTGCATAACTAGAATAGGCTGATTGATCCAACAGAACATTTGTGCAATCTTTGTATTAATGTCCCCACATACAATCTCAAATTTTAAATCACAGCCCTATGAATTTCTGATAAGCTTAATTATTAAACACAAACGTGTTGTTGGTCTCAGCTGAAACACTGTTAAGCCGGTTTTCCTAGACGCTGAAGAAGAGGGCGGAGGGTGGAAAAGCAATTAACATGGCGTTCCGCTCCGCTTCTAGGAAAACAGTAACATTTAATTGCCTAAGACAAGAGGAGTCCGCTCTCCGCGTTCCTCTCTCCGCGCTCCGCTTCCGCGCCTAAGAAAACCCAGCTTTAGGTGAAGCAGCTAACACTCCTTTCACATTATACATTTTTAAAACTTTTAGTACAGTAGAGTAAAGAGATTTCACACTATATGGTTATGGCAACGGCAGCAAACCGGTGCCCTCTTTCAGCCTTCCACTGCCAGTGGCCTGGCCGTACATCAGTGGCACAAGTAGTTTGAAGCAAGATTTCATATTAAGTTAGGCTTCTAATTGAAGAGGAACCCAACAGCCAGTGCAAATAGATCAGCTGTTGCAATGTTTTTGTTTATAATCTGACCTGTAAATTGGACACTTTTGATGTTTATTGTGATGTTGTTAACACATTTATCTCGCTGTACGGTCAGAAACCATGTAATGTGAAAGAATGATAGACACAACGTAAAATCGTACTGTTTTGGCCGGACGAGGAAAACTAGTGTGTAAGAGGAGCACAAGTCCCTAAACCAAATAAACATAGTGAATAATTAACTTAAATTAGTTAGCTTCTCCTTACTTCTGAACACCAACTTTCTACAGTTTCCCTTCCTTTAAGTTAAGTTAATTCTGGGCTAACCATGTAATAAAGATTTGTTGGTAAGGGCAAAATTCATTGTCAAAATAATTGAATTGTCTAGCAATAAGCATACAAAATTCAGTTATGTTGTCCACCTTTTTCTGGCTGTTAAAGTCCTGCTAACTATTTCCTTAAGAGGTTCAACTCCGTTTTTCCCTTCATATAGTTTATTTAAAACATTTTATTTAGCCTATGGTTTGCACCCTTGAAACTAAATCTAGGTATTATTTCAGGGGTTTTAAACACATGAGGCCTATCCTATGTCATTAGCTTAGAAGAGATTATCTGATTTTGTTATAATAAATGCTCGGCATCTATCTCCGGAATTTTAGAAAATCGAGTCTTGAGAAATTTACGTGGAAATTAAAATCTATCCTGGGACCTGGTCACCATTAGTCAAGTTTATATCTAATTTCACACTACCGATTGTGATTGTGGCAAAGCTATAAGCTAACTTACTATGCACTAATCGGCAATGATGTAATGTATGTTTCTGTAGGTAATAAGTAAAACATAAATTTGACAGGTAAGTGTTGGAAAGGTTATAGGGCGTTAATTTCGTGATTATTTAAATTCAGTTTAAGTTTGTTCCATAGTGACATTGCAGTTAACTTGTAAGCTATTATGGGTTAAAGGCATCAACCTCTTAAGGCAATGAGTATTTTCAAACCTTGTTCTGGATCATTTTCTACGTCCTCTTCCATAGGTTCTTCAGTAGATTTGCCATCAGCCTGAGCGTTGGGTTTCGTGTTATCACTCCGCATGTTCAGGCGTTTGTTTAGTGTCGTTATTTTGTCAGTAGTAAAGTGATTACTTAGCTGTTAATAATATTATGAATATGATGGTTTGACAGTACTGAATAGTGAATACTGACTGATGATATCAGAATCAGCCGACAGGCCAAACTAATTTTGACGAAACCATCACATGATCCAAAGAGTAAGATATTTTAGTAAAGAAAAACTTTTTGTTTTAGAATGTATATACCGATGACAATTATAAATGACATAGTTTTACCATAGATAAAACATACTCCCTTGGTTTTACTATACTTTTCATGTCAATCATGATTTATTTAAGATACAGTCATTTACTGTCACAGTTTAAACCAAACTTATCCTCCCTTATTAGATTTCTCATCCGTATGAATCAGCTGAAGTCTGAAGACAATTTTATTGTTAGTTCCGACCGGTGCACTGTAGCAGGGGTCGTGTTGTCTTTACAATATGTTTATGGTTATTTCAATAATTTAAAATCTCGTTTATCTTAATCAAATGAAACGATATAATTATAAACAATATCGCGCCTTATAGTCATATAATCAATCAGAAAAGCACAAATCATAAAATTACCCTACAATAATGGGGGAGCGAGCGGGTCTAGTGGTTAGAGTGCGGGACTTCAGTCCAAGAGGTCCCGGGCTCAAATCACGCCATATCACCAATGGATTTCATCTACAAGTAAGTGATAATGCCGCAACCCCATAGGTCTAGCCTGAAGTAATGTGAAAAACAATCCCGGGCTCGTGTCTAGCGTCCTACGACAAAAATCCTACAACAATAGAAACAATTTGCGTCGAAACTAGCAATCGTTGTTTGTCACCAACATGAATAGGACACGAAAAATTTGCTTCAACATTTACAATGGGATAAGACGTCTTCTTGTGTTGGTAAGTTGAAGTAAAATAACTCTGTGATATACTACCCATTAATATAAAGAACTCATTCAACAGGTTTTTAGTTAGAATTTGAAATAAAAACATTACCAATATTTAAATAAATAAAAATGTCTTTATTAGCCTTAGCAGCGTCTCTCTGATACGTATACAGTATCAGTTTTTCAGAACAACTTTTGTCATTAAACTACTGTTTACAACTAAACATTTTTTAAATTTATTTTATTTTACAATCTGTTCAGTACTGTGAACAATTAGTAAAAGATATAATATAATTAAGTGACTTGACCAAGAATCTCCCCAGTGAAAGATCTTGGAGGGAGTGAATCAAAGAAGCAAGGTATCGTACATTTGGAGGCCTGTCTCTCGGCTTTTTAGCCTTATGACAACAGAAAGTGTTTCTATACCAGGTGGAAGGTTGGTTGGAAAATATATGTTGGTCATACATAATACCTTCCCTGATGTATAAAGCTAATGCCCCACACCGCCTTCCTCCTTCTCCTCCTCCCCAACTAAGCCAGAAATGTGGTGGCGACCAGGGGCCCGTTTCATAATACTGCTAATAATATTAGTTAGTAATTTATTATGAAACGGGCCCCAGAGCGCAACAAACTGTATACTGTAATATTGTAGTTATCTGAGGGAGTGTCAGGGTGAAGCCAGGTCTCTACACCAAAAAATGTCAAAATTTGAATGAAGAACAAGTTCACACATTTCAATGAATCCGGTGTTCAAAGAGCATGTTTAAGTGACCAATTCTGAACTAGTCCAACTAGTTTTCCGACACAGTGACAACACTCTGACTGCCGCCATGGCCACCAGGCCACAGTCTGTTGCAGCCACTGCATCATGGCCCAGTACAGGAGAAAGCAGGGGAGGCAGGGTTGACATCACCCTGAGCAGAGACTTGTGGGTCATTCTAAGACTGCAAAAGGGACCCAATCACATTAATCAGAAAATGCTCGAGGCGAGAAACAGCTCGTCGGCTGAAGTGCACTCCATCACGGGCTAAGTCCCCTCTGCCAACACATGCGTTAGCCTCCACGAATTTAATTTTATGAGGCCTTTCACCAGCTATGACATCATCATGGCATCAGACACATCCCAAAACTGTCTGATGATGCCAGATGGCTGGCGAAAGGCCTCATAAAATTATAAATTCATTGAATATTGGGCATGTTTTATTTTAAATTGTATTCATTCCAATATGATCAATTCTTCTTGAAGGTTTTTAATTTATTCGTAAAAAAGGAAGTAATTAGGAACCCTTGACTGTAAACACTCAGTTAGTGTGTATCATAATCAATGACAGAAGTGTATTCTGCAATTACATTTTGATAACTAAGTTACTCAACTAACCTGCCTCTAGTAAACTATAAACAAAACGTACATATTGTTTTTTTCAGTATGTTTATGTTATGTTTTATGTTGTCCTTTTGTTGTGTGTTGTGTTGTGACTTGTGTTGTGATGAATTTTCTAAAATTCTAACCTATACAATCATTCTTTCAATGCTTTCAATACAGTTTTGGGGTTAACTTATAACACATTAAAAATCTTCATTTATTGTAACTGTTAAAAATTTGACAACTGGGAACTGGCGTTATAAAAAACCTCAGAATGGCTGAAGCAGCAGAGTAAGTTAAGTTGGTTAAAACAGTGCCTTTTTACGTTAAGATGAATAGGTATCAATTGTATATATCAATATCAATATTGCCTACCGTATCAAATACAGAAAGATGGCAATAGCATTTACTACTTTTGAACAATTAATATTAATGCAGTAGAGTATTTATAGATTAAAAACTAAGTTAACAATTCATTTACATTTAACCCGACTTTTATCCTATGCATGCATTCATTTATTCAAACGCGAAACCTATTATAGGCCTAAATTGCATAGGCTAGCTTTTCTCTGCGGAACTTTACCCGGCCTAAGTTAGTTTTTTTTTATTTATACACAAATTTAAAAAATAATTTGTCTCCGCGGACACCAAAATGAAATTTAGCTTGTATAAATCGGTCCTGTGTCACCTACGGTAACTTAAGTTATTCTCTTAGTAAAGTAGGCCTATGTGAAGTAGGCCTACCGTAACTATAACCGCAACTATAACCTCAACTATAACCTAACGGTCTGATAGGCCTAATAGGCCTAACTTAATCACCATAAGAGCCGTTGGAACCTGTCTATGTAGAAACCAAGATTGGAAAGACTTGCGACTCCTGCAATGTAGTGAATCAAACTACACTATTGTCAAGACATCGGCCGCTTAAGTTTACTCATACAGTATATGTCACTAAAGGTTTAACTTACCAAATGATTTGGTCTATTAAGTAGGTATCAGATTACAAAGTACCAATTGTTAGGCTACTTTTTAGAGCTGTAGGTCAAATAAATATTTGACTGTAGACTACTGTAAACCTTTGGCATATTCTAGTAAAAGTTCTTTAACATAGTTCTGTAGGCTAACTTGCATCCTTTTTACATTTCTAGGAAAACAGAAGACAAGAAGTTGGATTGGATGTACAGAGATGCATCTCAAATTGTTGACAGAGAAGAATATTTACTTGGAAGAAAAGTTGATAAACAGTTTGAAGCCAGTGTGTTACCTCCAGATAGGGAGCAAGGTGATGCAAGTTTACATAAGGTTTTGGTGGACCATCACTGTTCTTCTAGTCGAACTTGATGTAGCCTATACTCATCATCAGGTTACCAATAAAAATAGTGGTTAAAAAGTAAAACAATAAAAGTTTTAGTAAAGCTGTATATGAATGACACCATACACAAACTCAGATTTATTTTGGGACCAATAGACATGGTTTAGCCCTTGATCTGACTAGATGACTAATATAATATATATAAATACCTCGTCACAGCTCTGAAGTTGCTGTATATTACAGCTGTTTCGGCATCAAAATGCCATCATCAGATACACATATATCCACCTAAATAGGCGTCGTTAATCTGTACACACACACGAACACGATAAAAACACGTAAAACAAGAGGCAGGCCTGTCGCGCACATGATTGCTACGAGTACGGAAGCTGACTGCAGCAATCCGTACGCAATCATGTAGCAATCATGTACGCGACAGGCCTGCCTCTTGTTTTACGTGTTTTTATGTTTTTATCGTGTTCGTGTGTGTGTACAGATTAACGACGCCAATTTAGGTGGATATATGTGTATCTGATGATGGCATTTTGATGCCGAAACAGCTGTAATATACAGCAACTTCAGAGCTGTGACGAGGTATTTATATATATTATATTAGTTATTTTGGGAGCTACCCGGAGGATAGCTGTCTTAATTTTATAATTGGTGTTTATTAACTAGCGAGCAATTTTTTGTGCTAGACAACTAACTTAGACCTCCTACATTTTTAACCATAGAAAAAAAAGTTGCCATAGGTGCTTTGTTCATTAGTAATTTGATAACACCCCCGCCGCAGCAAACCTGCAGACTAAGCTTTGCTAAAAATAACTGTCCGAGTCATATGCTTGCCTCTCCTATAAGTAAAGAACTGGTTAAGTTTGTATTTTAAACAAATCATTGGCTCAATAAAAGGTTGTAATAGTGAGGGTTCTCAATGAATTCAGTAGACCCTATTAAAATATTAAGTTTTTGAATTATTTCATAAAATATCCAATTAACTAAACCTAATACAATTCCGACCTGGTTATGGTAAATTGATTGTGAGAATTACACTACTCTGTCATTGGTATTATTAACCCTTTTGCTGCCGACGAGCGCAAATGCGCACGTCGGGGTTTGTGCTAAAATGGCCGACGTGCGCAATAACGCTCGTTGGCTATCGGGCGAAAATTGCCGACGTGCGTTATAAAGCACGTCAATGTTTTCTAACTTACTGGCCTTATATGCTTTCCAAACCCCTCCAAATTCGACTCGGATTATTTGCAGACTATAACGAAGCTGTTTGCAGACGATTTTATACGGTATGAGACTATAACCAACGAAGTTACATAGTTTGAGTTTGCTCTTGGTCTGTGCGTTGCTGATTACTTCTCTACTGTGTCTAGATCGTTTGTCATCTGTGTTTAGTTGAGTTTTGCGAATGGAAAGGTGTTTGTTATTGTTTGTGTTTACTAGTGGACTAATGCTATAAAAGTAATGTTGTGATGAAGGTAAGGGCATGAAAGTTTGTTTGTGTAATAACTTATGCATGCTCTACAAACTAAAATAATAACATTTATGCATGTGTTTGGTTAGTTTGAGTTTTAGTAAAAATGAGTAATAGATGAGTTAGGTCACCGGTGAGTGAAAATACAATAATAAACAACCTATTGGGTGACGGTGTGAATGTTGACGATGGTGATGTGAGTGATAGTTTTGTAGACAATATTTCTGAGTCGAGCTCAGAACCCAGTTCAGATTCTGAAAGTGAAGGATTAGGTCCAGAATTTGAGGACGATACGGACGAAGACCCAGATTACATAGTAAATTCAGACCCCTCTGACGACTCAGAAGATGAAATCCCCCAACCTAGACATAGGCCTAGGCCTACTCCCACTGCTGATGTCCACAGTACAGTCGACGAAGTTATTGACGATGTTGTAAACAACTTCACAATTCCAGAAGGTGATGTAATGGAAATGGAAGATGTACTTTATGCTAATCTAAATGACCCTGACGCTGATGAACATCTTGGATGGGATCCCCTTGATGAAGGTAACGATCCTGGTTTTGACCACACTTTTCCTTTTGACGAATTGCCTGGGCCAAAACATTGTCCCCCACATGATGCACCTCCAATATCGTACTTTAATTTATTTTTTACTGTAAATCTCCTGAATTCTTTTGTGCTAAGAACCAACCAGTATGCCAGGGACTACATCACTGCACATATACATAACTTGACTCCAAATTCACGTGCCAGGGATTGGAAAAATGTCACCCTGCCGGAAATGAAGGCCTTCATTGCCACAATTTTGAATATGGGTCTTGTAAGAAAGCCAACTATTCAAAGCTATTGGTCGACAAAATCATCACTTCAAACACCTTGGTTTGGAAAAATGTTTAGTAGGAACAGGTTTGAGTGTCTATTGCAATTTTTTCACATAGTCGACAATAGCACTTTGGCTAAACCAGGTGATCCAAATTATGACCCCTGTGCTAAATTTAACCCCCTATTGGATCATGCAAACAGGATTTTTAGGACTTATTACACCCCTCATCGTGAGATATCAATTGACGAAAGCCTGGTTGGCACTAAGAGTCATTCACAAATTATGCAATACCTGCCCAACAAGCACCACCATCGTTGGGGCATCAAAATGTGGATGTTGTGTGACTCTGTCTCCAGGTATTGTTTGGCTTTTTTTGCTACAAAGGAAATAAGAACAAGAGAAAATCAACTGGCCTTGCATTCAAAGTTGTCACCAAGCTTTTAGAGATAGGTCAGTATTTGCGAAAAGGCTACCATCTCTTCCTTGACAATTTTTTTACGAGCATCCCTCTGGCGAACCACCTTTACGAAAACCAAACCTACATGACTGGCACAATTAGGAAAAATAGAAAAGGAATACCTCCACAGCTGAAAGAAAAGTTTGCTGTTGGCCAGAAGACGTATTTGCGGAAGGAGAACACGCTTTTTTTGGGATATCGAGAAAAAGCTTCTCAAAAGAAACCAGTGCTTTTACTCTCTACAAAAGCATCTGCAAAGTCAGTGGAAGTAAGAAGAAGGAAAAGACATGAAGAAAACCCAAAAGTGAGACCTGAAATTATAGATACTTACAATATGTATATGGGGGGGATTGATGGCTCAGACCAAATGCTCTACTGTTATTTAGATGAGCGCAGAACTGTCAAGTACTGGAAGAAGGTTGTGTTTAATATATTTGGCAGGATGATTCTCAACTCGTATATCATTTACAAGGAAAATTGTTCTGGTAAATTACTGTCAAGATTTAACTATACCAACTCCATAATTGAAGAGCTCTCTACTGATTGGCTAATGCTGAAGAACCAGCCACATGTTGCTGAGGTGGGCGGTGGCGGAGACGCTGGAGAAGCTTCTGGATTCGGCCTAGAATCTCTACCCGGAAGAATGTTAAGAAATTTTGTTCTGTGTGTAGCCTACAAAGTACAAGTGCAGGAGGGACCAGGAAGAGGAGCAGGACTGTTTGCAAGAGATGCAAGAAAGGGGTTCATCCTACGTGTTTCGGTGAACACAAATGCCAATGATCGGAACTTTTTCATTTGTAAATATTGTAAATATTCTTTTAAATTTATTTGTAGGCTACATAAGTTTTTTTCCATTATTTCAGCTCTCTAGCAATGTAGGCTACATTATTGTGAATTACAAAACATTTAGGCCACTTGTGTATATATGATCATGAACAAACTCTTGGTAAAGTGTTTTCACCTAAACGTGTAAACTTTTTATTTGACGAAATTTCAAAAAAAAAATCACAACTTCTACAATTTTCAAGGTAAGGGCATGAAAGTTTGTTTATGTAATAACCTATGCATGCTCTACAAACTAAAATAATTACATTTATGCATGTGTTTGTTTTAGGTATAGTTTTTATACGCCAAATCTAAAAAATAAAATATAAAAAAAATGTTGACTATATAAATTTATGTTCAAAAAAAATTTTTTTTCCTATAATATTTATTATATGTTTTTATGAAGACTGGTTGTTTATTAGAAACAAAACAAGGTCTTATTTATCAAATTCTGATGGAAAATATAAAAAATACACAAGTTTTTGTGAAATACTGAATTTTCCTCAAATCAGGCCTGGCAGTCTTCGCATATTAGCCTTACCTTAGACCCGGCATTTTTCAAGTAACATATAAAAAACCGGTTGGCAGTAAAAGAGTTAAACTCTTGCACTTGAATTAAATCGATAATTTAGCTAAACCAAATAACTAGACCAGGGCCATATTTTCGATTAGGCGGACTAGGCACCGGCAAATTTGAGGGGCGGAAAAATTTGGGGGATAAAAAATAAACAAGGGGGTTTATCCAAAAATATACACGTTTAGCTTAGCATATAATTAATTCTGAGAACGCCAAAATGAGAACTCACCTGCGGCTTGTGCGTAAACATTTCTCTGGTGTGCAGCAAAGTGCCACTTCACACACTAATTTACACAAATTGAATTTCAATTTACACGTATTGGCCATTGAGGTTATATTAGTAAGGTTGGGGAGCGTGGTGATTAGTGGGGGGGGGGGGGGGGGGAGGGGCAAACTTCGTTGCCTAGGGCGACAGATACTTAAATACCTCCCTGAACTAGACTGTAGTTGACAGTAACTAACTTGAAAACTTTTTTGCAGAATGTCTACCCCCATCAATTTTCTCTTGTGGTGCAAGAGAAAGCCAAGTTGATATTGCCCGAAAGCTCCAAGAAGATCCATTATATCTCATAAAGAAAAAAGAAATAGAATTCAGAGAACAACTTATGAAAAACCCAAGGAAAATGAAGCAACTTCAGGAGATGGTAAGTTGCTTAGTTTTGGCCTATAGTTTAGCTTAGTTCACAATCACAACCTAGATGTATAAAAGTATATGTATTCGGACAGTAGACTATTTTGGCCATCTCAGAGCCACTGGTCGGACTACAAAATGGCTGGACAAATTGGATGTATTTTCAAAGGTCGAAATAACCATATTAAATTAATTGTACCAACACTTAAACATCTATAAATAGGGTAACATTACTTGTATATTCTTTTACAACATTACTTACCAAATTTAAGCTTTTGATATCTTTTCCTTGAATTGTGTTGCTGTTTCCACTTATAGATATGTTGAACACTTACCCTAAAACAAATGAGACGATATTATTGTCACTGATATCCACGACTGTGGTACAATCGTGAACATCTGACGCGAGCCGCAATCACGGGTACATCATCATTGATACTGGCGACTACATCATAATCGGGGATATCTCCCACAAGGCCACAATTGCTGGACATTATCATCGTCACGATTGTGGAGAAATCCTGAACATTTATCCTAAATCAAGGGAATATCGTCACCGACACCCGCGACCATCAAAATCATGAACATCTCCCGTGGGCCGCAATCACGGGGACATCATTATCAACAACCGCGTCCGTGGCAAAGTCTTGAACATCTCCCGCGGACCGCAATCACGGGGACATCAGTATCGACACCCGCGGTCGCGGAAAAGTCATGAACATATCCTTCCGGCAGGGACGCAGCAAACTGATGGTCAAAAAATTAAAATTTGTGTGGAAAAAATATTTTTGTCAATCCTCTGCGGCCCCCTTTTGTTTGCGGCCCTAGGCCCTGGCCTAATCGGCACTGAGTAGTTGTAGTTCTCGTCTAACCTATTGTTATTCGAATCAAATCAAATCAAAAATTCCTTTATTCATTATGTACAAAATATACATGAATAGTGTCAATTCCTAAGAAAACCAACATAAAAATAATATAAATAAATAAGCCGTACAACACTCATCGGAAAAAGTCATTGAGCTTATAGCAACACTTGTTACATAAAAACTTAAATAAACTTTTTTTAAATGACCTGAGGGAAGATGCAGACTTAATGCAATCAGGCAGGTTGTTATAAAATTTAATACCAGAGTAGTGGGGCGAAAGTTCAAAGGTAGAAGATTTGTGTTTGGGATATGTAAGGCAGCCTTTGTTTCTTGTGTCATAATTGTGGTTGTCTGAACTAACAGAAAATTTAGAGAGGTTTTGTTTCATAAAAATTAGTAAATTATAGATGTAAAGGCTAGGAAAAGTAAGAATGTTATTGATTTTAAATATATCTTCACATGAATCTCTACTTTTGAGAGAATAAATTATTCTAATGATTCGTTTTTGCAATTTAAATACCTTTTTCTTTTTGTCAGAATTGCCCCAAAAAATGATTCCAAATGATTGATATTATAGGTGACGTTTGATTAGCTCCTCAAACCAACTTAAATAGTTTAATGAAACACGATCGGGGATTATTGACTTTAATTTGGTCAATGATGATGACCATTGGTTGATTGAGTGAATGATAAAATCGTATGGTCTGAGCCCAGCCAAGTGACAAATCAAATTGAACCCTGGACACACCCGACTTGTAGCATATCCAAGGCTTATAAGGTGTAGATTTTACCCTCCTCGGAATTAACACGTTACAACGCAACCCACATGACAGCTTAAAAATGTTTTTGAACTATGCTTGTAGCGATCGCTCAAGTGCCAGCTTACCTGTCACAAGCTGTAAATGGAAATTCACTTAGTCTGCAGGTTGGCTGCGGCTGGGGTATGTTTTACAATGTTTACTGTTCTTTTATCTGGAACATCTGAGGATTTCATATTGGGTACACTAGGCCTACTCATTTAAATTCTACTTTGGTGCATTAGTTCATCCAGGCACTTATTGTATCAATGAAAGCAGCTATAACAGTGTCTAAAATATGTTATTAGGGTTTTTACTTTTTCAGATAGCATTGCAGCAAGCCAAAGCTGAGAAGCTTAAAAGAAAAACTATAAAGAAACAGAAAAAGAAGGAATTAGATACACTTTTACTAAAAAAGTGTCATAAATTATTTGGCGGGGATGGTACTAAAAGACTGGCAATGTTAGACAATAGTAACAGTGACTCCACCACCAGCAGTAGTAGCAGTAACAGTAGTGTTTCAACAAAAAGAAAAAAGAAAAAGGAAAGAAAAAACCTTGATAAGATACTGGCTTTGAAATTGAAAAAAGTTAAAGGGAATTTAGATGTGAAGCACATTGCAGAAATGGACTCGAGTAGCGAAAGTAGTAGCGAAGATGAAAATAATACTAAATCAAAAAGGGAAAAAGAAAAGTCTTTCCAAACTTCCAAGCATAAGAGGCAAAATCGGGAAATAAAGAAAAGTGTTAAAACCAAAAGCAAAAGGGATAGAAACAATAGCAATAGCAGTGAAGATGAAAGCAAAGAAAGGAAGAGGTATAAGAAAAAAGGTAAAAACGACAATCATAATTTACCTAAAAGATATGCAGAAAGTAAGAGAGGGAATAAAAACAATGAAGCTACCGATAGTGAATCCTCAAGCGAAGATACAGATAATACTTGTGAAAAAGGACGATTGAAGAGGTACCCTGAGAAAAAGTCTTGCCACAGAAAAAGGTATGAAGTGGATAGTAAGCAAATACATGAACGAAACATATCTGAAAAAAGATACAGGAGGGATGGAGAGGGAACCACACTTAAGCAAAAGAGTATTAAAAGTAACAAAGACCAACCTCAAAAAGAAAACAAAAATTCTAAGAAAAGAAAAAAATCCTCAAGATCATCATCTGAGAGTAGTAGTTGCAGCAGCAGCAGCAAAAATGAAGAATCACATAAACCTCATAAAAAACATGTTAAGGGTCAGCCAGCCCAAGTAAGCTCATCTGAAAGTAGTTCTGAGTCAACAGAAAGCAGGAAAAAATCTACCAAAGGCAAACAGAGCCATAGAAGAGATAGTTCAAATACTCCTTCTGAAAGCTCTTCTGATGAAATAAAACGACCACCAAAGAAACAATATGGACTTGTGGTAAGTAGATATTTAAACATATGAGGGTTGTTTTTTTAAGTAAGGGCTGTTTTTGCGTTTAGCTCAATAGATTAGTGTACAACACTACAAGGCCATTCACTGTTTATTGGCATCATTGGTGAACAGAATGGCACGCTTTGCACCAGCTCTGAATCTGACAAGTACCTACCACTGTGTGTCTAAAAAAAATTTTTAATTATTTAATTTTCCGCCGCACTTAGGATAATAAGGTCAGTGAGTTTTTTTTTACGATTAGACACATATTGTCTGAGGCCGACATTAATCACCATTTGACTGAAGTTTTTTTACCCTAATTCAATGAGTGAGGGTAAAGTGCAGAAAATGGTTAGGGAGTGTAAAAATGGCTATGAAAATGTTCATGATGAAAACGCTCAAGCTGGCATTGATGGGCTTTGAAATTAAGTGCTGGGTGATTCAGGTGATATGAGATACACATGTTTTGTCTCCTGTGACAATTCAAATCAACATGTCATCCCCTTCTACATCATAACGCACAAAAACACTTGCTAACTTTTATTCTTTGTGATTTGTGAGAAGTCTAGGGGTTGCAAAAACCACATTTCCTTCTGAAATGGCCATTTTAATTTTCTTAGTCATTTTTAAATAGTTCCCTAACCCATTTCGTCACTTAACCCTTCTCATTGCATTAATGCCATGAACTTCAGTCATCTGGCAATGAATATCTGCAGACGATATTTTTCTTGCAGTCAAAAAACATTACACTGACCTTTTCTCACATGCAAAGGGAGATTCAATCATTATTTCAAAATTTTAGACACACAGCAAAGCGTACTTCGTCAGCTTTTACCATATTTTTTGTTCACTGGCCCGGTACAAAATTTAGTCTTGGGGTGATTAAAGTAGATTAAGTAACATACCAATTGAATAATTGATTTAGGCTATTGAAGTATAAAACTAAAAACTAAACATCCTAACAGAACAAGACTGTCCACAACAAGTCTCAGTAGTCGAAGGGTTTACCCACGCTACTTTACATTTTTGAACTGTTATCAACTGACTCATCGCTCCTACCCTGGTTTACTTTTGTTTTTCCCTACATGTTTTTGTTCATATACCTATGTACCATGGGTTTCCGTGGTTATCTATCACGTTAAAATACAGTAAATGGTTGGGTGGGAAATTATATAAAATAATAATACAAATTAAATATGATACAAGCTACAGAGTTGTAGATGGCACCATTGTGTTCACCAATGATGGGAGTAAACAGCGATCTGCCTTGTAACGTACACTTGTAGGCCTACTACAAAACTACGCAAAATGGCTCATACTTTAAAAACAACCCTCACATTTGTACAAAATAGGGATGGTATGTAAATTTTCTGTCTGAGAAATAAGGAGAACATTAGTTTGTTTTGTTTTAAAAATCTTAAGTAAATATTCTTGCAAATGACAACCGTGATAAATATAATTCATTCCCAGTATTTAATGCACTGTTATATACAATAAACAACAATGAGTAAAAGTACATAGGTAATAAAAACATTTCTGGGTTATCAATAAAGGTTTGCAAAATCATTGATAAGAGTATAGCTTTTGAAAATCCTCATCATCTCCTGCAATGGTTGACACATCATCATCGTCACCCGCTATACTAGCACGATTGATGACATCTCCTACGGTTCCAGAGAGATCATTGTCGTTTTCTGCAACATTGGAAAACATATAGACGTGTCCCGCTATCGAGTAGACGCCACAAATTTGCTCACAGCTGGAATCAATCCCACTCTTGAATAAAATAACTAACCCCATCCGAATATTAGTTATATTTTCCCCAAAAATTCCTTGAACCAGACCTGTCCAACCGTCCATCCCTAATCTGAAATAATGTATTCACACAAAATTGTTACTTAATTTTATTTTGAGCTAGCCATTGTAGCCTACTTGCCATACTCGCCAATGCATCAATTTTAACACACTGGTTAAAGCATTTTGCAAACATTATCCAACTCACATTATTTATAGAGTCTAACCATATAGGGTGTCTTGTAAGTAAACAGGCAAACTCTGGGAAATTTTTCCTTTGGTCAAAATAAGAGAAAAATCAGGAATGAAATTTTTTCACAAAAAGGAAGCCTAACGAAATATCCACCTTTATTTTTCATGAAAAATGTTTTTCTTTGAATTTTTCCAATCGATCTTTATGAAACTCTGTATTTTTTTAATGTAGGAAATACCTCTTTTGGAAAATAAATTAAGTTGGTCCAATTTAAAATTTATTAGCGGCTGTTTTAATTTTTATAACATACATTACTAAATAATGGGCCAATGTCCTAGAAAAATGTCAAGAACATACATTTATTTAGCATTTAAAATTTCCTAGTTAATCACACCAAGTTCAAAAAGATTATAGTTTAAAATTGGTTTACAGTTACCAGCGAACTATGTTCCAAAACAAAAACCAAAAGATGACAAGAAACCAGCATTGAAGAAAGAAGAAGAATCAAACAAGCCAATAAAAAAAGAAGAAAAAGTGAAACTAACAGCTGAAGAAAAAGAAAGAAAGTTGAAAGAAATGATGGACAATGCAAAATGGAGAGATGAGCAGCGAGATAGAAATATCAAAGCATTCAGAGAAAAAGAGAAGGCTGAAAAAGACGATTATGTCTACAATGAAAATTTTCTAAGGTACGGTGGTTTTATGATTGTAGAACAATTATTATGTAAGGAGGCAAATGCTACTCATTCACTGATCACTTTAACTCAAGAACTATAAAATAGATTATTATGAAATTTGGTTAATTCTACTTCTACATGAGCTCTAGGTGTGCTATAAGAAGGGGGTTTTTGAATTGTTGTTTTAGATCTATGACAATGAAATATAGAAAAGAATCAATATTCAAGTTCACTTATTTTTTAAACAGCTATTAATTATAGTTATAACTTATAACTACCTCTTAAGTTTAAAAAGAAGCTTCTTTGGTATGCAAAGAATGTAATTGCCTCTCAAAGTTGGGCTGAGTTGATTACAACTGCGTAATGTGATGAAAACTTGATTTTCATACTTTGCCCCAAATCTTAGTATGTCCTGACTCAGTTTAGTCATAAAAACCTCTTTTTCACCACACTATCATGTTTTTGGCTGGATTACATACGTTAATTGGTGGCCGAAAGTTACGTTTTGCTGGCGATGCCAGCTGTCCATAATTTGGGGACCGAGCAGGTTTTTACAGGCCGGGGCCGCAAAATCAGCTGTCCGCTTACTTACTTAAAACATGAATGCATTTTAAATACATAATCAAAATCCATAGCATTTCAATAGAATTGTGTTATTGTCACCGTTGCCTAGCAACTATATATTTTTATTTTTGCTGATTCCTCAAATTATTTCTTCACATAACCTTAAAGTTGTAGTTGTGTTGACTATCAGTGTGCATTATTATTGTGGTGAATAGTGGTAATAGGGTATAGTGTGGTGAAAAATAGCGTTCGTACCACGGACCGAAATGGTTTTGCGGCTCTCGATCGATTTAAGTTCTCGACTTCGTCTCGAACTTAAAAACTATCTCGAGCCGGCAAAACCTCATTTTCGGCCCTAGGTACGAAATATACTATTTTTTTTTTTACATTATCTTTCATTATTCACATTGTTTTACCATATGGTGTAGACAATGTTTTCGTCCTACAACCTTAAAGTGATTGTAATTACTAAGCATCTGTATACAAGATGAACGTACAACATAGAACGTTTAGATTTGAGTGGCAAGTGTATTGCGCATCGCACAAGAACTCTTCCTTCGCCCCCCACAAACTTTTGTTACTTTACCCACTACTTTAGTTATTTTGCACTCGACCATTATTTTTGCTGTTGGATTAATCTAATACCAAACAAAGTAGCTAATGCTGTGCCTCTCAGTGCTGTTGGGAGCTTTTTCAAATCTTTGTAAAATTAGGTCACAAACAGATTAACTATTTTGATCTCTGCTTTTATTTTGAACCTCATTTGTTCAATTCAATATATTTTTTAAGGAAAGTTAATGTTATTCGATTTTTGTCTGTGTAGTCTGACGGATTATGTTTGGCTGGTATTAAGTTTGATCATAGACTAAGCAACACAAGTAGACTCCTCATCCCATTGTAAATTTTGAAGCTTGTTTTTCATGTCTAGTTCATGTACGTCCACACTGATCGCTGGGGTAGACCACATTTTGTTTCTATTATTTTAGGGTTATTTTCACGATTTGTGCTTTACTATTTGGTTATATAACTAGGGGACCAGTTATTCTTTATGATTAAATCGTTTTATATGATTAAATTAGGTTTTAAATGACTAAAATAACAAGAAACAAATTGTAAACAAAACATAACCTCTACAGTTGGACGTACAGAACAAACAATAAAATTGGCTTCAGCTGTTCCATAAGGATGACAAATCTACTAAGGGAGTATGATTTTTTATCTATGGTTTGATTTCCATCTCTGTGTCATGATTCAGTGGAAGTATAACAGTGGTTTTTGCTGTCCCACAGAAAGCAAATGGCGATCGCCGTCTCCCAAGGCACAGTCGAGTCTCGAGTCAAAGCCAACATCAACACTATACAGAGAAGTGGAGCCTCTATGAGTGAACACTTTGCCAGGAGAAAGTAACTTCTACATTTATAGTTCTTTGAAAACAGTCATTTGAGTGAAGTAGCCTAGTGATTTTGCATCACAAGTGATATTTTTGACAGTCAATAGTGCTTGTGATTTTTAGACAAAAGTATGATTTTTTAAATGTATATTTTGTAAATATATATTTTATATTTTTATAAAATTGTTGTACTTACTCCTTTATACCGAAGTACAACCAGTAAATTGTGATGATTACTTTGCAATGAGCAAAATATAAATACACTTGTGAAAACGTAGGAAAAGATGAGCTAGTTAACCATAGTTAATAACCATAATTTTCAAAAATGTCGTAAAGGCCCCTTACACGGAACTAAAATATACAATATAGGGCTGTCTTTGACAAAAAAATATTTTGGAGAGCCTTTACTAAATAGTAAAAATGCTCTACCTAGAATGCAAAAATCCTGTAGAGATCAGGTCTAACGCCTTATCTTGGTTTGAAACCAAACAACTGTGACGCTGGGGTGTTAAGATTGTTTTTCTTTAGAATGTGAAGACTAAAGTTAGGCTTAACGTTTTAAGTTTTGATTTAGAGACTCGACAATGCGTTTTTCTAAACATTCAATCTTGTAGTTGTAGATGCAAATTATACCAATACAGTTTTGCTAATCTAGTCTCTGATGTACCAGATGTCTTTTAAACTCAGACAAAAGTATAACCCAAACGACCTTAAAACTAAAACCTTGTCAGCCTGGTTTAGTATCTGACTGCATCTGCTAATCTCTCTATTCATCTAAAAAGGGAAACCTTATTCTTTTTTTTCTTGCCAAATGTCTGCTAGGTAACATCATTTACCGGTATCAGTTGCTACATTGGCTGAAATTGTTTAGTTATTTTTCTGTCTCGTACAGTTTTTACGGAAAATAGGGGTCGAGAATTTACTACATTCTCTTAATGAACATTGTTAAAATAACATCCATGCAGTAATCATTGTACTTTTTTGATGAAACTTACAGTTAAACTTTGTGTTATCCCCAGCAATAAAGTGTTCAATCCTTAAACAAATTAAACAATTGATAATTCATGTCTTATCTGTTCAGGTTCAAATTTTGTAGGCTAAAGAGGCTATAGAATATCATGTATTTATTACCAAAAACATTGATTCTTTCAATAAATATTATTTTTCTATTATATTATTATTATAAATATATATATATATATATGTATTATTCTTTCTATAAAAATTCAATAAACTATAAATAAGCTTCCCTTCAAAACATATTTTAATGCATTTTGTTGGCGATTACGGTTTAATCCAGACTTTCACTGTTTCACACCGTCTGGTTCCATATCATGTTTGGATCAACAAGACTGTTTTGTATACTGAAAACTTTTAAACGTTTTTGAAAAAGATATTTTGGCTTTTAAATAGCGTAAAACCAGGGCCGGTTTAACCCATACGCGAACTACGCGGCCGCATATGGCGCCACGAAAAAGTGGCGCCATCGGAACAACTTTTTTTTACGTGAACAACGTAATTTTGTTTATTTTTGCTCAGAGTTCAAGTATTCAAAGTACCACAATAAAGGCATTTATTCTGTAAGCACCAACAGCACTTGAAAAATGTGTATATTTGTACATTACTACAACTCAATGACTCAATGCCATTTGCAGTTTCAATTTGTAGTGAGCTGACGCTCAGCAGCGTATACGGCGCGGCGCCTGTGGGTTTCATTTCACAACTCACTCATGCGCTCGAGATAAGCAAGCACGCAGCGCCACTTGTCACAACAAGAAACTTCCCCCTCCCTTCCCTCCCTTCTGCTTCTGATCCTAGAGCAGAGCATTTTAGGGCGAGTCCAGTCCGCCCAAAGAAGTCACGATAGAAGACGGCAATGACGTAGGTATTTATTTATTTACTTTCCAAGGAAAGATTAAAACAAGCAGCTGATCACAAACGGGAAACATTACGTCATTGCCGTCTTCTATCGTGACGTCATGCTTGACGAGCATTACAACCTGTTTTTTTAGTGTGGCCTTGGTTTTGCTAAAGTTTATATGATGAGTAAAAGTGTAAAAATGTTAAATTTCTGCGAATAATAAACAGTCTTTTATTGCAAGTATTCTTCTAACCTAAACTTATAAAAAAGTTCTTCCGAAAATTATTGGGAAAAAATTTACAAATACGGTTAAGTTATGTTCGTGGGTGGGGGGGGGGGGGGGAATTCTTAGTGGCACTGATTCGGGTGTTCGCTTAACTCTGAAAAATTCCTAGAACCGGCCCTGCGTAAAACACGTTCTTAACTTAGTTTCTGACCTAGGCCTCCTTACTTTTGAGGATCTTCCATACGCTCAAACACCTGATTATTAAAATAAACAAAGATATCTGTAACAAGATACTGATTTGTCCGCCTCACTTGCAAAAAGATTCCTGCAGGCGTCCTTATAATAAATACTAACAAAGTAAAAAGTGTCATGAATAGAATATTTGTTTCAGTAATGGTTCATATCTATGTGGTATGATTAAACTATTTAGAAAATCTTAATTTTGTCAATGATAACATCAAACTTGTGCAAGCAAGAGTTATAACCTTCGTAATTTCCAACTGTATCAAATAGATAAGAAGAATAAGTGCTTCAAATAAGTGGCAAGTCACACAAGTAAAGAGGCGTCCAAGTTTTTCAATCACTGTTTATTGCATAACTGCAAAATGATGTAAGTAGTTATACCATTCTTCTGTTTCGTAGATTCTAAACCAAAAGAGGATAATTTATTATGCCTTAAAAAGCACATTCCATTATAAAGCGAAATTTGCATTGCTGGGTATTTTGTACTGTATTGGAGTTCTATCCTAAAGTCACTGGTTATGTATCACTCTTATCTCTAAAAACCAACAACAAATTTTCTGTAATATTTTTTAGGGTTTTTTGTATATTTCTTTTGCTTGAATTATGTATTAGGGATTAAAGATGCACCCTAAAAAGGAAAACTCAATTTGTAATTTCCACTTGGCAAGTTACAACAATTCCAATCTTTGCCGACTTTTTTACTCAATTATGATTAGTTGAGTGTTTTATGTTTTCAATGATTCTGTTGTCACAATTAAATAAAACTGGCCAAGTATATAATTTGTGGCAGTTAAACACCTTTTAACTTTTAACATAACTTAAGTTTAGGATACTTAAAATTTAGTAATTACTACAGCCTTACATTTTTTATACAAATTATTTATGACAGTTTATACAATATTCTAGTACGGTAAGAATATGTTCTGTATGATATATTGTTGAAGTCTGCATTATTTACTCATAAAAACTTATATTGATAAAGATTTTCAGCTATTAGCCTGGCAGTGTTGTGTGGGGGTTTCCTGGATGCAGCTCATGGATGGCATCTGCCCAAATTTGGTCGCTGCCCTCAGCTTCATGTAAAACAAAATTTTAATCTGGAGAAGGTAAATAAAAATATGAAAAATTAGTTTAAACAAAAGGTTATTGGGACTTTCCTTTGAGTTTTCAAGGTTGAAATTAAGTTGCAAGGTTAAGTGGTGATAAAATGACCAAAAAACTTTATATAAATTTGGCTGGGTTATAAAATCATAGTAACATGATTGACAGTCTAAGTTGTTATTTTCAACTGCATAGCTGCCCTTCGCCCCCAAGGTCATGATGGCAAATCCCTCTGATTTCATACTGACTTTTTCTACACCCCCCCCAGTAATATAGCAACCTGCCTCCTTCCCATACAAAAAAAATTCAAGAATTATATAAGTAAAAAAACCTAACTTTCTTTCTTGAATAAATAAAAATTTTCATATCAGCTTAAGTAATTAATTATAAACTAGGGGCCCATATCAGCAATTGGTGCCCTTCACATCCATTGTAATTTGTCCTTAACCATTCCCTATACTGAGCACTATTCCTAATATGCAATGTTTACATCAGCTAGTATATTTAAAACAGCTTATAGAAACACTGTAGCAGTACTTCCATTAGGAAATGACTGGATCTTTGACGGCCCGTGGGGCAGAGCAGGGGCAATGTTGGACACTTCTGATATTTTTCCCACCGTCCATGGACCCTAAATTTTAAAATGAATCCACAAAAGCCACGCTAACTTTTTCCTAGCTCGAGAAATTTAGTGGGGACCGATTCGCTTACGAAATTAAATATATGGATTTAGTGTCGTATGCATTTATCATACTGTCCTCATGACAAAACTCTGTGATAGCGGCCCTGTCCAGATCATCTCCCACCATTGCGGCAAAATTGTTCATCATCTCCTATGATCGTAGCGATATTGAGAGCATCTCCCACTAGCACGAACGGTAAGACATAATCATCATCTCCCGTGTTTGTGGCAATGCTTTGACAATCCCCTGTGGCCGTTAAGACATAATTATCATCTTCCGTGATCGTGAATATCGTCTCTCATAATTTTGGCTATATCATGAAAAATGTTACACATTTATAGATGAATCAATCAATCTATCAATCAAGAAATTTATTTACACAATAATTTAACAATACATAGGTTACAAAAGTGCAAAAATCACAAATGGTTTGTCTGCACTAAAAATTACATTGAAACACAATTCTGCCTTAAATAATGAAAATAGGGCTGTCACTACAAAATTTTTGGATCTTCATATTGATAATCAACTATCCTGGAATGATCATATAAATTATTTGTCCACTATACTATCTCGAGTAATTTTTCTTCTTGGTCGCCTCAAAGATGTAATTCCAAAGAATTATTTGAGATCGGCTTATTTTGCATATTTTCAGTCGTAATGAGATATGGATTGATATTCTGGGGTGGGTGTGGAAGAATTAATGAAATTTTAATCCTACAGAAGGGGGCTATCAGAGCTATGAATGGATCGGAGCCAGATGAGCACTGCAAGCCTCTTTTTAAGGATTTTAAGATTCAAACTGTAATAAATTTGTTTATGTCCAGTACATGGGTGTATGGTATCAGCAAGCCAGTGCTCACACTGAGTTTGAAGGGAAGGGTCGCTGTATCACAGCTATTTACACATACAACAATGACACAGAAATCATCAATGTCACCAACACCAAGATTGAACCGTGAGTATTGTTGTAGCCATTTCCTGACCATCGTTTATTCCTCTTTTGGATAGTGCTAAATCACAGTCCATTATGGTCTCACATGCAGTATATTTTCTTGTTCTCAAAAATTTCAAATGTATTCACTGTATTTGCTTACACCCTCTTTTCTGTCCTATTCTTCTTCTTCACAAAGATGGACTATACTACCAACAAATTTGTCAATTTGTAAACGTCAGTATTGTCTAATGCATTACAATGTTCTTGGGTGGCCTAACAGTACCCCATGAAAAATCATCCTCTGATGCTTTCTTTTCTGTGACCGTTGTCCGTTATACTTTCTTTTGGCCTTGGTTCCTACTGTGTCAGGGGTGTGAATTGTTTTAGTGTACTGTGAATGTTTTCCTTTTCACTTTAGTTCATACTGTGACCAATTATTTTAAAAGTAATATCATGTCCTACTTGAAAAGTCTAAGACCAGTAATGCAATGTATAATGTTTTTACAGTCAAAACTATTGCTTAAACACTCAATTTTATAAATGAATATTCTAGTTTTTAAAAATCTTTTAAAGGTAGATAACCTGAAAGAATGTTGATATTTTAAACAAATTAACTTATGGAAATGAGTATAATGCATTTAATTGGTTCAAAAGTAAACTCCTCACTAATATTGTATCCCATATCATTTGAAGTATGCTAAAAAAAACATAATAAATTAGAGAGTAAAGTACCTATTAAAATTAATTTCTAAAGTATCAGTTATTTTTTTTATTTCTTCTTTACTTAGATCAAACAAGTTCTTCTCAATGGAAGGAACTGCAGTTTTACAAGATCCGGATAAAAAGGAGGGAAAACTAGAGGTTACATTTCCATTACACTGTAAGTATTGTCACACATTGAATTAATAATTCTCATTACATTTTTTAATGAATGTTATGTTGCCTGTTTCTATGTTTGTCAGTGGTTATGTTCAGTAAGTCAAAAGGTGATTACTAATGTTGTCTCTTATTTGGGAGTAAACTTTAGAGTGTCTAAATTGGTCAAAATTTCGTTTATGAAACAGCATAATCATAACGGTGTGAAATACGGTTCTTACGGCACCTTTTAGGAACATATTTTTATATTTCCTTCAGCTTGTCCATACGATTGACAAATCTATAAGGTAAATCATTAAAATTATTAGTGATCATAAAAATTATATAAATTAGTTTGATACTATAGATTAAGTTAAATCTAGTAAGTTGATTAACGGATTATTTCAATTAATTTTTAAATAGCTTTGAGAGAGCTGTGATATAATTTACCATAAGATTATCATTATTTTTCCTACAGTTACCTAACAATGTACATGTTCTCTCACTGATTTGAGAAAGCAAAGTGGCCAATTCGCTCATCAGTGAGACAATGTTAACATTGTCTCACTCTAATTACTTTGTCTCACTCCAGATTTGCAACGTGAAGGCACGAAATAGTGAGCGCGTAACACGCAGGCAACGTCATATGCGCGCTAAATGCGTTGGCAGCACTGGCTGTAAATCAGCTGGTCAGCTGTTGTACTGTTGTATTTGTCTCTTCACATTAAATGTTTTATTAAAAGTTCACTTCTGTGTAAAAATAGGTTATGTTTCTTCACAAATTTATTTGTTTTATGGTAACTGTAGGAAAAGTATAATGTGCAACTCGAGTTCAAAGTACAATTGCCTCACTCGATAAACCATTCCTCACTCGCCTACGGCTCGTGAGTAAGGATTTCTCTCGAGTGAGTCAATTGCTCACTTTTCTCACTAGTTGCACAAATAACTATTACCTTATTTTTTTACACTAATTTATGTATGTATATAAAAGATAAATAAATAAACTAAAACTATGACTATGACAATAACTTTAAAATGGTTTTCCATTTTATAAAAGGTAATATTGTTTTCTATTTATAGACGATTTTTGCATTCTTTCAGTTTTGAACTTCAAGTTCACTGGTCCTTATTGGATTCTGGACACAGATTACGAGTTGTATGCGGTAGTCTATGGTTGTAAAGAGTTCTTCTGGTTCTTTCATGATTGTAAGTAAGATTTTGTTCATTATAGATCTTATAAATAACCATCACAAATTTAGTTGCCATTGGCTGTATGGGCTATTAATTAACAGCTGTGTCTAAGCATAGACAAAAAGAATTAAATATAGACCGTCAGCTGTGCTGCGGTTACCATAGGTTCTATAGGTTCTTCTATGGTCTAAGGAATATAACCTTAGTCACTAACAAGACTACAAGGTCGCGCCACTCATCTTACTATTATCTTCATTCACACTTGTCTTAAAATACCTACATTCGTATGGTCGTCATTTCAAAAGAAAGTATAAAAGGATCGATGGTAAAATATTATTCTGTTCTGAAAAAATAATAAAGATTATTGTTGGGATATTATTAAAACTGTGGAGTAAACCTAATAAATTATGAAAAATAATAGTATTTGGACAGGATTGTATTCCATATCAATAGAATATTTACCCCCAACAACTATCTCTGAAAAAAAAACTTAATTAATCCTTATTGTTACATTTCAGATAGTAGCGTCTTGTTTAGCAGAATCCAAGACTTGAGTGCTAAGAAAAAACTTGAAGAAAAGTTTGTTAATAAAACAAACAAGGTTTTACAAGCACGTGGCATCAATTTGAAGGATTTCTCAGTTTCTAACAATTTAAATTGCAATACATAAACTCGAGTGAGTAATTTTCTTAGAAAATACATTTTTGTATTGACACTGGTCTAGATTGTGTAAAAATATATTGTTTTTTACATTTTAATCGTTTTATTTATAGTTGTTGACCCTCCATACTCTCAAAGTAATGATTAGACATATAACAATGATTATATGATGTGAATATTACCATACAATGGATATTTCCTAAACATTTCTCTTACTTTTTTAGTTCATTATGCTATTGATGGCAATTTCTAGGTACTTCTCAACAATCGATTTTCTGTAAAAAATCAATTACTCATGGATAAATGTCATTGGAAATAGATAGTGTTTCAACTAACATTAATACGTCTTCATTTTTTTCTCATTATCATTAGAAGATGTAAGTTAAAAAACATTATACAGTAGTATTATTAAATTACATAAGTATTACAATAGTGGTAATAAAAAACAATTAAGATAAGTTTATAGTATTATTCTTAGTAAAAGTGTTCTGCAAATCACAATTTTATCATACTAATTCATATTCCTACTTGGAAGTAAAATAGCTCAGCAGATATGTTTTGTAGTGTATATTGTTGCTGTAAATTCTTATTAGGGGAGTGTGAACCTGTCTCGCCAATGTTAAATTTGCCATCTTTAGGCTTACTTATCTTCAAAAGGTGTAAAGCTAAGGCTTTCAAAATTGTAGGCTATAATTATCAACTCTTTGTGAGTAAACAGACCCAATTGCAGAATTTTTGATTAAGTATCTATATTATTAAAAGAATTTGTTAGATTTTTGTGTGCAGTACATTGCCCCCTAAATATTTACTTTTATAGGCATATTGGGTATCAATTTAAAGCTCTTAGCCTCTAGATGTGCCTTTTGTGGGTTTGGAAGATATCCAGCGAAAGCCCTCCGTCCTATAGGCTTTTAAAATTTCATAGTTTGTGCTGAATTCTGTTATCAATCATCTGAACTTTTTCAAGTTTACATTTGTAAACATGAAAACCGATGGCCATGATAAACATCCATGATCCATGATTACATCCATACGAAAATGGGGTTGCTTCTGTAGTTGGTGACGATTTAGTGAATTCAAGTAAAAAATTGTAATGAATGTGATGTATAAAATGTAAAGAAGAAAATGACTTAATTAGATTTTGCGTCTTCATTGTTGTATGTTTCATTAGTAGGCCTATTTGTTTTTGTAATTTCTCTAAGAAGCGTCGATGAGATAGCGCACACAATGAAAATAATAGGAATATGATGAGACATACATAGTTTTTGTAATAGTTTTCACCTTTATATAAAATATATCAAGGATTTTTTAAAACATAAAGTTAAATCCGTAAATGTTAATCTTAAATGTTAAATGTTAAATCTTAAATGTTAAATGTTAATCTGTAAACATAAAGTTAATCTGTTTAGATACATTTGTAAAAATGTAGTCTTTCAAATTAGCTTTCACTCACCTTATGGTTGCAAATTAGCTGTTGTCATAAATAAAAAAAAAATAATAGTACTGCACCCTGTTGGTAATATACCGTATTGATAGTATAGTCCAGGAGCAAACTGCACATATCCAGCTTCCGTGGGATTTTTTGTGAAGCAAATGTGTGACTATGTGGAATCTCTTTATTATATGTCACATAATGGTGTAGTACCGGGTGTTTACCCTCAAATTGCGGGGTTTGGTTTTTATGACGTCGTAAATCCAAGATGGCCGCCATGTGTGACATCTATTCACTAAATTCATAGTAACTCTTTTCAGTTTCAGAGTAAAATAATCGAATTTTAATTTACACCATTGAATTCAGCTCAAAAAATCAAACAATTTGGTGTTTTGAATCATTGCTCTATGACCATTGGTTACCGAGATATTGAAGGCGGAAAACACAGAACATTGTCGCCATGTTATCCTTATAGGGAAAAAAATAAAATTGTATATCTAGCTTATTACTCAGCATATCTTAATAATAATTGGTATGTGGCTTCATTTAGTAGAGATCTACTTGAATATGGCCTAAAATCCCCCATTTTTACATTTCCGTGGCAGCAAACCTGCATACTAACTTCCAATGTTATTCTTATGGACAATTTTTTGCATGCTTGTTCATGAACATACTTTGAGAAATGATGATGTGTGGCTCCATTTTAATTATTTATTGAAGCATTTGTAATTCGTTGAGTATACAGGTCTGCTGCTACGGGTAGGTCTGCTATAAACAAATTATAGGTATTAGAAAATAAAATAAATTAGACTATAGTTGTGAGGCATATGTAATTTTGTAGGATTTTGAATTAAGCAATTGTATGATTGTTGGCGATTGATAGGTAATGACATGTAGAACCGTGTACTACCGAGTATTTTGTCTGAAAATGTGGCCAAGCTGGTGTTTTCGGTCGCCATCTTGGATTCGCCATATTGGATGTTAATAACTTTTTTATACAATGCTAGTGTTGTGACACATCATTATGAACTAAATTTTCACGCTGATTTCAATGCTGAAATATGTTTTTAAATATATTTTTTCGTTTTGAATATTCAAATAAAAACTATGATTGGTGGTGATAGATAGGTACTGTAGTGACATAGAATCGTGTACTACCGGGTGTTTTGTCTGAAAGTGTGGCTAAGCTGGTGTTTTTGGCCCGCCGTCTTGGATCTACCATATTGGACATTAATATAATTTTTTAAATGTAATGCTGGTGTTGTGACTCATCATTATAAACTATAGATGTTTACGCTAATTTCAATTCCGAAAACCGTTTGTAAATATCGTCTTTCATTTCGAAAATATATTGAAATGAAAACTCCCCCCCCCCATACACCTTTTACGGACGTTTCGTACTTTGATTATTTTTCTCATATATCCAGTTCTTATTATCGCTTGCAATTCGTTATAGTATTCAGTGATGTAAGGGCTTTTATTTAAGCTATCGATCATTAAAATCGGACGAGTTAGAGTTGAGCTATGAACCACAACACAATATTAAATCTAACTTTTTCCAAATCAGTTTTATGAAAAGATTTATATCTCGGTTTGTTAATACGACAAAAGGTTCATTCTAGTCTTAAATTACTCAGTAAATGTCTGGTTTAAAATGTTATTAAACACTAAATGAAATCTGACTAATTGAAAATGAGTCATGGGCCTTTATTTAACATTAATAATTATTTTTATTTAGAAATTTTTCTTTGGTTAAAGCAATTAAAGACATACAGGGCTGGTCATCAGGGTTACAACATTTGTTTGGTGTAAGTACAAAGTAAATGATGTGTGATGAGGCATATAAGACTAAAAGGTGCCACGTCTAAAAATTGTAACACTGATGACTAGCCCTGTATGTCTTTAACCAAAGAAAGTTTTGGACATAAAAATAATTTAATGTTAAATGATGGTTAATGACTCATCTATAAATATAAAAGGCAAAGCCCTCACTGACTCACTGACTGACTGACTCACTCACTCACTCATCACTAATTCTCTTACTTCCCATTTACCTAGGAGGCTAAAATTTGGTACACTGATTCTTTAGGCATTAAATAGGAAAACTAAGCTGTTTTTATTCTGATCGGACTCTCGGGCTCCGCCCCAGTGGCTCAGGAGTTTCCCATGTTAACCTTAAATGGAATTAATGAATCTTAACAGCTGTTTCAATTAAACAAGTTGGTTCTGTTCTATGATGTTCAATAGCATTAAAGTTACAAGGATCACCAACAGGGTGCAGCACTATTATTTCTTTTACATTTATGACAATAGCTAATTTGCAACCAAAAGGTGAGTGAGCGTAGCGAACGAACTTCAACCTGGAGGCAAGTTAGCGTAGCGAACGAGCTAACCTGAAGGCAAGTGAGGGCAGCGAACGCTCACTCACTTCAACCAGGACGTGATTGAGCCATGCGAACGAGCTCACTTATAAAGTTAAACGGGGCAAAGCCCGCGGGTACAGCTAGTTTTAAAATAACTTAGTCAGATTTCATTTAGTGATTAATAAAATGTTAAATCAAACATTAACCAAGTAATTTGAGACCAGGAAGAACTTAGTGACGTACTAATAACCCGAGATATACATCTTTTAATAACAACAGAACTTTTTTTCTTTTTTTTCTGAACTCCTGCATCAATCTTTGCATATTTCCAAACTTTCTATTTATTGCATTGTTATTTATTTTTGTTAATATAGTATATCCTGTTGTTATTGCATTGTTATATCTTGTTCTTGTACGGAGTTATCATATTGTTATTTTTCTGCAAGTTTTATCTGTGTTTTATGAAGTATGTTCTGCTTCTTTACTGAAGTTTCACTCGGCTACTGGCATCATTGTTATTGTTCCTATACTGGTTTTGTTTTTCGAATATCTCGTTTTGTCAACTTGTTCAGATAGTTTGTTATTTATAGTTGTTACTTATAGTTTGTTATTCATAGTTTGTTATTTATAGTTGTTACTTATAGTTTGTTATTCATAGTTTGTTATTTATAGTTGTTATTTATCTTTTTATGTCTTGTATTGAAGTCTTGTTTTCCAGTTTTTTTTCCACTACTTTTGTACTGGCCTGTGATTTTTTCTGCTTCTTCCGTATGTAAGATTATTGTATTATTCATGTAAAAATGGTGCAACTGTTAACAAATAAATAAATAAAATAAAATAAACAGATTTGTAATAAGTTAAATTTAATATTGTGTTAGGGTTCGTAGCTCGACTCTAACGCTCTAACTCAACCGAATTTAAAGATCAATAGCTCAAATGAAAGCTCATACATCACTGAATATCTTAAGACTAGAACGATCTGCAAGCGTTAATAGGAACTGGAGATATAAGAAAAATAATCTTAAAAATGTTCAAAGTACGAAACGTCCGTAAGAAATGTAAGGGGGAGATTTTTTATTTGAATATATCTTCCAAACGAAAAAATATATTTAAAAACATATTTCAGCATTGAAATCAGCGTGAAAATTTAGTTCATAATGATGTGTCACAACACTAGCATTGTATAAAAAAGTGATTAACATCCAATATGGCGAATCCAAGATGGCGACCGAAAACACCAAATTGGCCACACTTTCAGACAAAATACTCGGTAGTACACGGTTCTACATGTCATTACCTATCAATCGCCAACAATCATACAATTGCTTAATTCAAAATCCTACAAAATTACATATGCCTCACAACTATAGTCTAATTTATTTTATTTTCTAATACCTATAATTTGTTTATAGCAGACCTACCCGTGGCAGCAGACCTGTATACTCAACGAATTACAAATGCTTCAATAAATAATTAAAATGGAGCCACACATCATCATTTCTCAAAGTATGTTCATGAACAAGCATGCAAAAAATTGTCCATAAGAATAACATTGGAAGTTAGTATGCAGGTTTGCTGCCACGGAAATGTAAAAATGGGGTATTTTAGGCCATATTCAAGTAGATCTCTACTAAATGAAGCCACATACCAATTATTATTAAGATATGCTGAGTAATAAGCTAGATATACAATTTTATTTTTTTCCCCATAAGGATAACATGGCGACAATGTTCTGTGTTTTCCGCCTTCAATATCTCGGTAACCAATGGTCATAGAGCAATGATTCAAAACACCAAATTGTTTGATTTTTTGAGCTGAATTCAATGGTGTAAATTAAAATTCGGTTATTTTACTCTGAAAAGAGTTATTATGAATTTAGTGAATAGATGTCACACATGGCGGCCATCTTGGATTTACGACGTCATAAAAACCAAACCCCGCAATTTGAGGGTAAACACCCGGTACTACACCATTATGTGACATATAATAAAGAGATTCCACATAGTCAAACATTTGCTTCACAAAAAATCCCACGGAATACAGTTTGCCCCAAGACTAGTATTGTTTAGTTGGAATACTATGGTATGCATCAAAAATATAAAAAATACCCCCGCCGCAGCAAACCTGCAGACTAAGCGAATTTCCATTTGACTGATTGGATTTACACTGAAATGTCTACTTAAAAATTTAACATTTATTCCCGATTTAAATAGAATTAGTTTAACAAGTACTTAGGTTTGCTGCATATGGGAGGGTAAAATTGTTTTTTTTTTTGTAAAATGTTAATAGTTAGTAAGAAATAAAAACATTTTCCAAATTTGATCAAAATATGATCATAAACAAGCAAACTACAACAGTTTACTTATTCTCCATAAGAATAACATGGGAATTTTAAATTTACAATTTTTTGGAATTTTCTCCGTAACCGTTAGGCGCATAATAACGCTTCAATATACTAAATTATTTGTTTTTTTAAGCTCTACAAAATGGTTTGGAAATAAATTGCAAAATTTTAAGTTTTTTGGGTCAAAAATGGGAAAAACCTATTTTTACCCCATAAAACCCCCCGTAAACACCCGTTCCCATGGTCCGATCATGCTGGATCGCGAACTCGTTCGAATAAACTTAGGTTTACACGTTTGTACCAAATTTCATCAAAATCGGATCATTTTTGCTTGAGTTATCGTGCTGACGGACACATATATATATATATATATAAATATATATATATATATATATATATGAATTTGAACGGATGGTGTTTTTGGCCTCTAGGGACCTCAAAACGAAAAAAAAAATCGGTCCCGCGTCCAGGTCTTACCATGAGTACTACGGTAATAGCTTATTCCCTATATGGGAAATTCGCTAAAATGTGGCAAAAGTAAGTAAATGCCAGCAATTAGCAACTTTCTGTTCTATAATCAGTGCAAGAAAGGTGACTGTAGGTGTGTATTTTTGTTTTCTAACTTAGTTTGTTAATAACGTTGCAATATGACAAAAAATTTGGTTCATCACATATGCAAAAAGTATCTTTTCAACCCTTGCTCTCTTTCCGTGAAATGTGAGCAAGGGTCAAAATGAGTCACTTTACTTACACCTAACTTTACTCCTACAAATCAAATGTAAATTATAAAACTATCTATATCCCAAACACATTTTCATAAGTATTCCGGCTCTCTAAAGAGTCCACTCTTAGTACAGTATGTCATATGACAACAAAGGAAAGTAACAATTTATTACAAAACTCCATTTAGAAAAGCAATGTCCTGTGGTCAGCTGGATTTCTATCTTAAATAACTCTACTTATCTAGATTGCCAATCTCTAAAAACATTTGTCTCAAGCCTTGTGTTAAATTGACTCTTACTTTTACAAACAATAATCCACATCAAGGGTACCTACTGCCAGACTTTAAATTGTTTCTTATTAAACAAATTATAATCTATACTATTATAAAGAAGAGGTGGTGTCTGTGTGTGTGTTTGTATGAGCTAATCTCAAAAACTACTGGTCGGATCGGGCTGAAATTTGGCATGATGATAGCTCACATTCCCGATTAACATATAGGCATATTTTTATCCCAAAAATCCTTCGGGGCTCCGCCCCAGTGGCTCTGGAGTTTCCCATGTTAACCTTATGAGAAATGGAATTAATGAATCTTAACAGCTGTTTCAATTAAACAAGTTGGTTCTGTTCTATGATGTTCAATAGCTTTAAAAGTTACAAGGATTACCAACAGGGTGCAGCACTAGCACTATTATTTCTTTTACATTTATGACAACAGCAAAAGGTGAGTGAGCGTAGCGAACGAACTTCAACCTGGAGGCGAGTGAGCGTAGCGAACGAGCTAACCTGAAGGCAAGTGAGCGTAGCGAACGAGCTAACCTGAAGGAAAGTGAGCGCAGCGAACGAGCTCCAACCTAAAGGTGAGTGAGCGTAGCGAACGAACTTCAAAAAGAACCGAAATTTCTTAAACCATGTCCTCACTCATAACTGCTATAAGCATTTGATACTTATATGCCAACCCCGTACGAAGGACGGGTACTCTGCTAGTCTTTAATAATCTCAAGGAACAAACTGCATACTGTATGTGTTTGATTAATGTTCAAACAAATTTAATAAAGGAAAATAACTGCTTATAATCTTAGAATAATTTAAAAATATAATAGGTTTTAGAGTCAAATTTTTTGACATATAAAATATGGAAATACGGTAATAGTTTTTTAAATTTGTAACACAGAATACGTTTGGCCAGGAATTGATATTTACGTGGCCTATTTCAGTTTAAGCGTTTTGCTTGAGTAATTGTCATACAATTTAGAAACGAATGTTCATTACTGATTTAAACTAAACGATTTCTAATTAGTCAACCACTAATATATCATTGTAATAGTATCCACTGAAAGTAATTCTGAAAGTAATTTATTTCGGGGAAGATAGTGGTTTACGAGCAAGGTGAAGCAGAGCGCAAACACCTATCGAGGGCTGTAATGGATATTTCGTGATGAGTAGTAAACGATATACTTTTCATCACCATGCAAAGAATCACACGAAGATTCTTAAAATAACAAAATACCATCCCATAGTCTATAGTCATTCGGTTTAAAGTTGTCATAGCATAGGTTTGAAATTGATTTAAAAGTCAGCTATTTGAAAAATATTTCCTGTAATATGATAATGCATACATTAGTGCTTCTCCTAAACGGAACCTTCATTTGTTTAACTATAGAAAAAGTTTATTTATGTTAGGAAAAGTAATGTTTAGGAGAGGCAAAATCATATGATTGGTAATTGACGATTTTGTGATAGTTCAGCTTTACATAAATTAGCTATTCGTATACAGCGTGATGAAAATGTCATATTTTATTTGAATGATTAAATCATCACAATATGACACCTTGGTACTTTCTTGCCTTGTAGATAGATAGAGATGCTTTATAACACAAAATTAAAACTTTTATTGGCATACCTTTGACTTGTATATTGATGTTACTATATTCTCTCTCACCATATTAAAATAGTCACCAGTTTAAGAATCAAAATGGACATTGCTTAATTGAGCCACTGACAGTGCTTTCATGTATGGTGTATTTCTTATTCCAGTCGAACGAACAAACTTGTAAATCAAATTAAACTAATACGATGACTCATTAAACTTAAGTATATTTTACACCCCATCAACTACCGAATCTCAGTAACAACAACTATGGGGGAAATAAGAATCTTACATCGATGAAGACCGGGAAGATAAGATCGGGAAATCGATGTGAGTAGTACATTGAACTATGTAATTCCCGGTAAAAAATACGCTACGGATGCTCCATGTAAATGGGATCAGTCAATGGATGGTCAATGCAATGATTTAGCCAAAGAAAAAACTGAAATCATATAAAGCTAAGTACCGCAGTTTAATCGAGTAATCTTAGTAAGATGAGACATGCCAACATTAAACGCTGCACCTTCTTATTATTTCAATTTGCACTTGGTACTAAGGTGTTTGACTTAGATCTCAACAACAACAAAATAATTATTTTTAGACTCCCAAGTCTCCCTGTACATTACTTTATAGTTCACAGTGACGTAGATTATGCATAAATAAATGAAATCAGTGGAATTTAACTATTGATATTATCGTGTATCATGAGTTTATGACTGTACTAACTCACTCTATATTTTTCTTATTTTCGTGGAAATAAATGTTGCCTAATCAAATGTCAACAAAGATTGACAGGTATGAGTCTGAAATGATGTGTAAATTGTGATAAACTATAATGGATATTTGTAATCTCACTGAAATGTTGAGGGTAGATAGCAATTATAAGGTTATCTCATCACCTTCTAGTGTTTGTGATTTGTAAGAGTCATCACACTTGAAATTTATCCTTCTGATAGATAGTTTAAAACCTCTGTAAAATTGTTTCCTAATATTGTTTGTTTCCAGAATGAGGTAAGGATCATTGTTGTATTTTTTTAAACCTGTAATTTTATAAGTTGTTTGGTATAAAGTAAATATTCTTTAGACATCTTTAAATCATCGCAATGGTAGTTTTATTTTTTTGTCGTTTTGTGCTTCAAATACTATTATTTCAATCTAAATCTTCTTTGTACTATACTTAATTAGACCTTAGACCTAGAAGCTACACTTTGTAAACTTTATTTTGCAGTTAATATCTTCCTCATTATTGTTGGATATGTTTTTACAGTATTTTTATTGTTGTATCCACAGGTGTAGTAGAGCGTTCCTATTCTACTTTTCCCAAAAATCCTAAACATCAGTAGGCTGCGACTTGTGTTTTTACCAAAATGGTGGATAGCTTTCCAGCACTGGAAAATGACTATGCTACTGGACTTGTCTCGCAATATTTTGTTTGATAAATGAAGCAACCTAAACAAGTTTAAACAAATTTAAAATTAAGTAATTACTTTATGCACTCATTTTGTATTCAATGAAATGAAATCTACATTTAACTCAATAAGTTAATTTTTTTAAACCACTATAAATAAATTGGGATGCAAACAAAAACAAGGGCTTAGGGATAACATAACAAAAACTTAAACCTTATCTTGTGAAGCATTTATGATTACCTTCAAGGTTATTTCCAGGTTCCTGTCAAGTGTTTGTGTCGTGTTGGCGGTACTGCTGGTGGGGTCAGAGGCCTTCAGTTTAAGTTGGCCCAAGTTTGGACGATGCCCAGACCTTTCTGTACAACAGGTGTTCCAGCTACAAGATGTGAGTGCAAGATAATTATAAAAAAATATCAAAGAAAAACTTCAATGAAAAGAAAAGGGTTGTGTTGCTAGCCTAGTGGTAGCGTCTCGGACTTTGGTGCGGGAGGGACGGGTTCAATCCCCGATCCACTAAACATTTTATTCTCTCGTGACTCTCTCGTGAAATGCCATTGAGGTAGAAAAAAAACATGTCTTCATTAAATAGACAAAACAACTGACTTGTTTTATCTGCCCCATTTAACAGCTCAAACAATGCACTCAAATAAATATGAGGTTAGAGGATATTTTTTATGTAAGAACTGAATTTGGGATTATTTGATTTATGTGTCCATCTTTGTTAGTGGAAAACAGGAACTCATTTCTTGGATGTAAGACGATAAAGTGTGGTACACACTTTGTTTTTTTTTTACCAACATTCAAAAAATTTGAATCCTAATTGGTTTAGTGAAAATAACTATATTAGCTAGTGATAAATATAATATTTTAGGTAGGTACCTAATATGTGTATGAACAATGGTAGTTTGATGCACTTTGCAACTAATAATTAAACAACAAATATTACAAAGTCAAGCATTTGATAAGAGAACAATTCTAAAGGTAATATAATTAACTAGGTGATTATGTGTTAGTAATAATCTTTGTTGTTGTCTCAAGAATAGTAATTAGTAATAACTCATCTAAAGGTTCATTACAGCTGCCGCTGCCACTGATCTCTAGACTCCTCTTGAATGCTGTCTTCACAGAACAATCACACAATTCTCATTTAACTCAGATCAAAATTAGATTGGAAACAAGTTTATAGTCTAAAAAGGAATACAATTCATTAAATCAAAAGAAATTTAAAAATTAGATCTCCAATTGCTTAACCTTACTATTACATGTAAAAAATATGCCTAAATTACACACCGAATTATGTTCTGTATTGCAGTACATGGGTGTGTGGTACACTCAGAATGGTTACAATCTTGCGATGACCCAGGGCAAGGGCCGTTGTGCATATGCCAACTATACTTTGGACACTGAGCACAACTATGTTAAAGTGAAAAACCAACAGATTTCTGCCAGGTATGTTTCTCAAAATTTCTAGCCACTTAACTATTCCCACATTCTTATCAAGCAACAATTTTTTTGTAACAATGATTTTGTAACAGAAGGCTAAAATCAAAGGTTGTAAGTTTTAAATTCCATTTGCCAAGTTTTTGCAAACTTGGTAACTTACCGATATTTGATCGATGGAAAATCAGAACTATTCATGCTAAGCCATGGATTGAACTCAAAAATGAGTTTTAGCTCAAAACTGATGCCATTCCATCAGACAGACCGTGGATATATCCTTACATTCGTCATTTCCTGCTTAAAAACCCAACTTTTTTGTCAAAAGAAAAACTTTTCTGCACACTAAATACTAAACAAACACGTGGTAGATGTAAAAATACAACTTCTTCCAAAGCACAGTTCTGCTGGAAATAATTAAGTGTTTGTTGTTCCATCTCTGTGTGTGCACATCAATGTACTTTTAGTTGCTTTAATAAATAACTACAGTATTAGCTGCAAAAGATGATAAATGTAAAACAGTTCTAGCACTCCTGACGAGAACACAACTTTTGGACCTGGGTGCAATCTGTGGACTTCCAACAGCTGGCTTTTAAAAACTTTTTCAATCATATGGTAAGCATACATTTTAAGACACTCATTACACTACTTATCTCATAATTTGACGGACTGTGCCTTTTGTTTTCAGCACAAACAAGTGGGAGTCTATCAGTGGCATAGCAGAGCCCGTCGACCCCAGCAAGGACGAGGGGAAGTTCACTGTCAACCTCTACGTGTGGGGTATGATTACACTTACTAAAATACAGCGATAATTACTATGCACTTTGGCAACATTTAAGCGCCAAAGGCAGTCACACTCGATAATTATTATAATGAAATTATTGAATAACAAAACTTTCCCCCTACCCTGTGGCAGTAAGCCTAAGTACCTACTTGTTAAATATAATGATATTTTAAATGAAATGCATCTGACATGTTTAAGGAAATATCTTAGTAAAAACTTAATTAGGAAAAATGGTAATTTGTTTACTCTGCAGGTTTGCTGTGGCTATTTTTCCGTTTTTTTCTTTCATATAAGTTTGGTGCCACAGGGAAAGTATGGCGGGGTAATAGCTTGCAAACCTTTATACCTACAAACCTTTAAGGTTGTAGATAAAACCTGTAAGGATTTTATTTGATTTTAATTCTTAAATCACAGGATTCTGGAAAGTTACTGGTCCTTACTGGGTGCTCGGTACTGACTACAGCACTTACAGCGTGGTCTATGGCTGTGACAACTTCCTCTTCTTCTTCCATTATTGTAAGTCCCAACTGTAATACCGTACTAAAAAAATGGATAAGCAAACATAGGGTGAGGCTATAGCCTTTTTGTGGTGTAGTTAATATATAAAACCAGAACGCCTGTTGGTGGATATATACAGGGTGTACGGTCATAAGTGTTAAATAAAATTTAGCATCAAACTACATGGTAATGGGGACATAATGACGCACATTTGAGGTTCCCAACCTCAACCGTTAGGGAATAACGAATTAATTAAGGTTTTCCAAAAATTATTGTGGTTGTTATGAAAAAGGTTATATTACTCTGTTAAAAATGCATTAATTATTAATTTAAATGCCATTTTCAGAATCCTCACAACATTTTAAATAGATATAACACATAATCGTTGGGGTACTGAAAAATATTCTATTAACATTTCTTTGTTAAACAATTATTTTTAATATCGACGAAAATTTAAATAACATTCAGAAATTTATTTCTCGGTTACCGAGTCCCGCTGAGTTAAACAAATATTACTAAAAACTTCCTTATTTAAAGGGCTTTACAATGATGTACAACTACATTTATCTACTGTTAAATCTATGGTGAATTTGTTCGCACTATTGTGAAAAATCACGGTTAAACCAAAACAGATATTGTAAAAAATAATGAATTTTGCTTACTATTTTATGAGCTGGCCACTGATGATGAGTTTTTGTGTAATTTATGATTGACCAGACTACACTTTCATCAAACTAAAGAGTTTTTGTTTAGACTTTGGAAAATTTGCTATAAAAAAACCACAATACGTTAGTAAAAACACACAATAAAAATCAAATCAATGACATACTTCGTCCGAAGCACAACTTTTATTAAGGTGGAATCACAGTTTAGGTGTAAAGTGCCCTCCGTTTTCCCGCAAGCAGGCACTAGCTCGCTAGTGAATTGCGCCAACTGTGACCTCATACGTCAATTTTTCCCTTACTTTCCCAGCAGACTCAAAGATTCTCTCCCGTAACTCAACTTCAGAGTTTACAACAGTTGAGTAAACTAGACCTTTCATGTAACCCAAAAAAAAATCTGCCGGGCTCAAGTCTGGAGATCGAGGAGGCCATGTCACACTTCCTCCACGTCGACCACGTCTAATCCATTCCGGGTAGTTTTGGTATAGCCACAACCGAACTTCCGCGAGTTAATTGAAATCTTATCTGAAATATGAAAAATATACTATAACCGTAACCTTATCACAAACACATTTTACAACTATATGTTTCTTTTCTTAGCTTAATAGTTATAAAAATAAACGTTGCATGCGAGAAAAAAATACAAATTATTTGTTGCCTGCACTTAAATGTATTAATCTTCACAATAGCTTTTCTTTGCCCTACCATGTTTTTTCACAACAATGATTGAATTACATTAGGAAATTTGAAACTTGGTAAAAACTATTTTACACCATTGTAAAGCCCTTTAAATAAGGAAGTTTTTAGTAATATTTGTTAAACTCAGCGGAACTCGGTAACCGAGAAATAAATTTCTGAATGTTATTTAAATTTTTTTTGATATTACAAATAATTGTTCAACGAAGAAATTTAAGTAGGATATTTTTCCGTACCCCAACGATTATGTGTTATATCTATTTAAAATTTTGTGAGGATTCTGAAAATGACATTTAAATTAACAATTAGTGCATTTTAACAGAGTAATATAACCTTTTTCATAACAACTACAATAATTTTTGGAAAACCTTAATTAATTTGTTATTCGCTAACGGTTGAGGTTGGGAACCTCAAATTTGCGTCATTAGGTCGCCATTACCATGTAGTTTGAGGCAAAATTTTATTTAACACTTATGACCGGACACCCTGTATATTTATTTTATATACTATTTATGATGATAAAGCATAGAAATTATAACCATTGATGGCAAGTTTGAAAATGCACTGTACAATTATTGTTTCTTGTGCCTCTCTAAATTAAAATACATGTCTTATCCTGTTACAGACAGCAGTTGGGTGTTGAGTAGAGCTCAAAACATGAGTCCCAAGGCTGCAAGCAGTTTTTACAGGCGTGTAAACGCTACATTGGTGAAGAACAATCTTGACCTAAGTACCTTTGAGGCGATTGATCAAAGTAACTGCTTTTAAACAGCGTCTGTGGTCTATGTATAGTTGTTACAGTATTACTATACAAATGCTACATAAAAATCTTATGAAATTATTTTGGTGTTATAGTGTGTTAATTCCATCCTTAAAAAAGAATTAATTATGCCTTCTACTGTAGAAAGCTCTGATTTTATGTTTAGCTCTTCAAAATAAATGTTATGTTTGTCATTACCCTTGAATTTGGTTCTGTCGACTTCCCATCTGACTAATGTATTGCTAAAATATCATCCTTAAAATCTTTTTCATACAAATTTAAAATAAAACCCCACCAAATATTTCCTCTCGGACAATTTTAAGCAGCTTTTACAACACATGAGTCAACCTGTTGCTAAAAATTGAACATACAAATACATAAAAGTCCTCACTCAAATGACTGATTGACTTACTAATTTGCCACCAAATCTTCAATATAAAGACTAGCTAGAAACATGAAATTCGGTATACTCAATGAAGGAACGTTTTAAGTTTTCATAATGATTTTACAATAGATTTGTGCTCGAGAAGTCCTAAAGTTCCAATGACATTCAAAATTTCGAAATGATCTTATCCTTGTACCATATTTGTGTAGTTTTTAGTTTTAATTTTAATTATTTATTTTAAAAATTGGGATCTAGATTTTTTATTTTATACACAAAATACCTCCACCTTTTTGGCGGTGTTTGTTTTATTGAGGCATACAACAATCATTCCAATCATTCCTTGAGTATAGGCCTACAAAATTATTTCTGTTTAAGCTACACAAAATGGTCTGGAAAGAAATTGTGAAATTTTATGTTTTTTTTTAGTCAAAAATGGGAAAAACCAATTTTTACCCCATAAAACCACCCATTAATCCCCGTTCCCATAGTCTGATCATGCTGGTTCGCGAATTCGTTAGAATAAACACAGTTTTACACGTTTCTATTGAATTTCATCAAAATCGGATCATTTTGCTCAAGTTAGGTATCGCGCTAAAGGACACACATATATATAAATTGAAACAAAAAAGTAAATCGGTTCCGGGTCCAGGTCTTACCATGAGTACTACGGTAATAGCTTATTCCCTATATGGGAAATTCTCTAAAAACAGCCGAAACATGGCCGAAACTGTCAAAACTAAATAAGATAATTTGTTCTGTCTAAGATAAAACAACCTTCATTGTTGGGCTTTCATATAGCAACACTAATTCATATTCCAATGACATGGCATCTGTTAGAGTTAATCCCAACTGGGTGTATGTCCTAATAATCAAAAATATTTTACATTGAGTAATAATTATAAAGTGTTCTGATGTAATCGTAAATTACTTTAGATCTAGAAATAGATTTTACAAATAAATTTATACGAAACAGGTTTTAGCTTAACAACGAAATATATCTTAGAGAAACGAAAAGCTTAATCAAGAAAATACAAGTGAAAATTTAATTCTAATCCCAAATTGACTCACAGGTAGTTGCGAAAGTAGTGACAATGAGTCGGAGTCAGCCTAAGCGGGTTATCTGCACGGAGCAGTTGTGAATTGTCAAACTTAGACAGTTTGTAGAGCGATCATTCTCAGGTCTAAGTGGATTAAATGTTCCCTCCAATCACAGCCTGGCTGAGCCTTCATTTGATATTCTGCTCAGTAACAATAACATTCAGCCAAGTCTTAGCGCAAACAAGGTGATCCGAGTCTCAGGTAATTAGATCTTCTTGAGATGAATGTGAGGATATCACGTATTGTCTGTAGACACCGTTGGATATGAAGGTGTTGAGAATAGTATCAGGTAGATCTCCTTGACTTCAGTGTGAATAGTATTGTAAGGTGGTACATTTTCAAGACGAAGATAAGAAGAAGACATGATATGAAGTGTTTAAAATAGATATATTTGACTAAAATGTGAATGTTTCTAGAATTAAGGTTATATAGCGGCCCTGGACAAGATATAAAATTAAACGTTATGTTAAATATTTTCTTCTAAGGCATTGGCCATTGGCTATCAAAAAGTAGATGTCCCATCTATAAGGACTAGCTGCAGACAATTTATTAAGCCAAAAATAGGACACACACCTCACCTCCATCAAAAAGTAGTCAAATTGATCAGTAGTTTGCATATTTCGTTGAGAAGACATAATTTTCAAAGCCTGCAACTCTTCAAAAACACAATTTAAACGAAAAAAATACCAACATAAAAACTATTTTTGTCTTAACAAAACACAGTATAAAAAGAAATTCAACAAAAACAGTCGTTTTCGCCTTTTAGCTTTTGTTCCTGTGATACTTCTATTTAAGTTTTTCTTCTTTATTAGTGGTTTTATAAAGTTACATAAGGACCTATTGGCTGACTCAACCACGCTCTATGTTATTCTAAATCTGTCTAAAACTTCAACATCGCGCAATGGAATGTCTAGTTTTATTCATAGTCAAAATAAAAAAAATATCGTTTAAACGTTTTCACCACACTAGGATCTTTTTAGTTGTTTTACAAACGAAAATTGGAGGCTGAAAGTTACTTATAATCGTTTACAAAAATTATCACGAGCCGACAAAACCTAATTTTTGGCTTAAGGTACGAAACATACTATTACAGTTCTACATTTCATCACTAGAGCGTAAATAGACTCTTTTCAACCCGAGCTCAAGTTTCACTTTTAAGTTTCGAAAATGAGCAAGGCTTGAAAAGGCAATTATTTTGCTCGTGCGATGAACTATATCTTTCGTCACAATGATATAATTATCCAAGCAAATAATGTAAAAAAACAAATATACTTTCATTTAAAGTTAACCTCTCAAAACGACTTGTAACTTGTTTACAATTTTTCGCTAATGCAAACAAGCAGCTGCTCAGTTAGTGATTCAATGATTCCGTCTTTACGATTGGGTCTGTGTACATTATGCTTTCGATATGTCAAACTATATTGATAGGAATGCAACAATAAGCTGCAACAGATTAAAACAATAGATAAATATTTTCGAAACATGCGACTTCTAACAATCGAAGTTTACAACAGCTGATTTTTACTCCCTAACGCTTTTTTAATTCTCTGAGGAGAAAAGGGATACATTAGACCAGACCTTAGACCCGCAATGCATATAAATGTTTTTTGCTGCAATATGACAAAAAATGTATCAACAGGCTGGAAGCTTATTATGAGTTTTGTTTTGATTTTATCTCATTGTAGGCCATACGATATGTGTGGTTATTTTTATTGATAATTTGTTTAAGAAAACTTAATTTGGTTGCTTCATGAACAAAAAAATATTATGTTACAAGTCCAGAGGCTTAAAAATTGTATCAAGCCCTTATTAAAAGCCACAGTTTATCACAGTACAAGTCCTGGACATATTGCACCATACCTTTGGTTTTAAAATTCTTTATACAAACAGAAATCCGCAAATTAATCAGTTCAAAAGTATCGTTACTTCTAATTAACACACCGTAGAGCTAACATTATTACAAACAATATAACGATATAGCAGGCCTTGCCCTGATGTTACTGTATAGTTGATTAAACCCCCCCCCCCCTCTCCACCACTACCGTCAGAGACAATTTAGTAACCTGACTGCTGCTGAGGCAAGTTATGACCGGTTTGATTAAATCTTGTGACAGTTGTATGGACCTGTTGTAACACACGTCAGTGTTACCTGCGAAACCATAAACATCTGTCTTAATACTCAATTGATTATACGTACACTTCATCACAAGAGTTTCAATATAATGATTTTCATTCATTAATTTCATGGTGTAGTAGTCTATGAACCAGTAAGTTTAAGCTAAATCGTTTATTTTACCTTTCATTGTCAAGTGATTCTTTGAAGTATTAAAAAGTATTAAAGTATTTGTAGTAGTACACTACTAGTTTCGAGATTCTGGAGTCCATTATCAAGCATGACAAAAGGGTAATCTTTGTTCACTTATTGAAATTACGTCATTGAGTCATAGTTAGGGTCTTCAACCTGCAAATGGTCCAAATATTCTTTCAATTTGGACGAATAAGAATAATGAAGAATGCAGTTGATGATATATGTGGACAAAAACTGACCGTACTACGAACGATGTTGAATAGGCTATTGTTAATTTGAGTATTTGCTTATCGGTATCTTTTCCTGAAAGTGCTCAAAATCGTTCCTTATACAAACGCTAGGCATATAATAAACTAGGATATAATACTAGAATATTTTATCTTTAGTGAACAGACACAAAAGAATGAATCAACCATGAAACTAGCAGTATAATAGGCACTTATAAACAATTTAAACAGAGAAAATGTCTAAGAAACTACCGTATAGTGAAGGATAGGCCTACTTAACATAAAAAAATCTCAGCCTGTAAAATAGCTAATTAACTTTTATACCGAAGCACCAACGCTGAAACATATATTTTACTGAGTTAGTTTTATAAGTTAGACCGTCTTCCACACAATAAAGCAAGACTTTTGAAGACAAGTTGCTCCAGCTCCATTTAGAAAAGGAACACCTCCGAGATGTTTAATTTCCTTTATTTTACTCCAGTGAAGTTAATTATGGCTTATTTTCCTCTAAGGCCATTTAGGTCTTGATGTATTCCATGGTTATTTAACCACAAAACGACTTTAAAATTCCACAAAAGACATTTAGCCAGGATTTACGGATCAAGCATTCATGCAACCAAGAGTATAGTGTTTGTAAGTGTGCTTTGATTTAATTAGATTTTTTATTAAACTACTTAAATTAACCATTCAAATATTTAGCTGAATATATAAAGTAATCAAAGAGAAGCCCTGATGTTTTATAGGTTTTGTAGGTACACGGTAACTAAGTTATAATAAAAAAAAAAAACAAAAACTATTTCTACATTTCACAATAAATTAAGGAAAAAACATTACCAAATTAGGAATCAATTCTTTACTACCAAAGGGTTGTATTTCAAACCACTAACTTCTTAGTGCACTTTCCTCTCTTGATGAACATTCTAGATATATGCTTGGTATTTATCCTGTCTAGTACAGTACTAACTTTAATCTATCGTCACTTCATCAAACCTAGAGTCTTCGTGTTTGGCCGGTCTGTACACCATTCTAGTCGTAAGATTCTTCCTCGGAATTTCTATAACCACTACAAGTCTATCTGGCGTAAACCACCTCGTGGTTACTACTGTTGGTCTATTGTAAGGCCTTCGTTGTATATGGATGAGTTTATCTATATCTTGTATCACGATAGATTTCAAATTCTCCTGACTTAGTGAAACTTCTTCAAACTCCACCCCGATTCGGAACTTAACAATTTTCTTCGCAACAGGAAATCTTCGCACTAAGATGTACTCGCTGTTGTTCTCGGCCAGCATGATCATTTCGTCGGTCAAATGTCCTTGATGAACGTTCATGACATGTGCTAAACATGACGGCGGTCCGGTCGCCTTCAGGACCTTATCGAGGTGTTCATCCTTCTTGGAGAAGAAAAACGCTTTGTTCAACGAACCGTCGAAGAAGTGTCGGTTTCTGTCGGGGAGTGTGTCAGGTTCTTCGAAAAGGATGGACAGATGGCAAAGAAGTACACCTAATACTATTGGGATCGAGGATGTCATCCAAAAAAACGTGTTTGCTAAACGTTTAGCCATAGTGCACTACACTCAAACATCACTGTTAAAGTTTTGTTGGTAAACAAATAGCGCACTGTTTATTGGCATTTCCAGAACATAAAACATGTAATAAATCAGCTGTTTGAAAGAAATATGATTGTCCATGACAAACTCACATTTCAGGGAAATCTTGCCCGAAAACTCTATGTTCATTCTCAAATTATTAATTTGTTCATACTTCCCAAAATGTTAATGGTAATAAGTTTCTAGTTTTGTTATTGTTAAAAATAATTATGAAAAATATTGATATTAAAATCCATCGTATTATTGATTGTATCGGATTTGTGTTTTGGTGGTTTAAGATTGGTTATCTATTGAATCGATACTTTTTCGTTCGACAATTCTGATGGAGTTGGATGTTTAAGTCCCTCCCATAACTATCTCAAAATTTGAAAATAGTTTGAAATAGGAATTAATTGAATAAAAGTTTAAATTTCAAGGGTATTAGTTTGTTCAAAGATATTTTTATCAGTGTAGTTACATTTATATTGTTACAGTTTAGAATTATTACAGTAAAAATTAAGTATGAGAAAAGACAATGGCGTAAGTTTATGAAAGTTATTCTGTCAGTATAATCTGTAAGCTGTTAGTTCAATTTTCGAACTTTTGTCACATCCAAGACAAAGAACTTATACTATATATTTCTAAGGAAGAAGGGAAATGTGATCCACGCCGATAGGCAAGTGGCTACAACGCTCACATTCAAATGTGGAGGTTGTATGTAGGTAGTTATGAGAAAAGAAAAAAAACAGATGGTCATTGTAGTTGCTGTTGGACACTGGAGGTGTGACTACTGACACAGGACAAACTTTTAATCAACTCTAGGCTGAACTTGTAAGATAAAGTTCAGTATAACTTCGTCTAGTGTACAAGTTTACCAGTTCTCACTGACGCCGAGAACATTTTTGAACATCTAACTTTGTTAGTACGACGTTCGTTTAGTTGTTTCCAACACTCCCTTAAAGTAGGTATGCCAATTCTCCACACATTTGCTTACAAATATTTATAAACAAAGTTATAAATGATAGGAATCGCGTTTATAAACTTTTATAGGTAATATGTATGAAATTAGATTCTTTAAGAGTATAACAAAAATTACGTCCCTTCATAAAATGTAATCATTTATCTAATATCACTGATAAATTGTGGAAGTAGACTGCTCGTCCTTTTGTACAATATGAAGCCTATTTCAAATGTGTTTAATCGTACCATGTTGGTTACGTGGGCGCTGATGTTGCCTAATATTCCTCTTATTTTAGGTAGACTTGACGAACTATGATGTTAGTTATAGCATTGACTATTGGATACCGAAGTAGAGATCCATCACATGGCTCACATCAACTATGACTATTTTGATTGAAAAACAGGCAACAACTTAAACATGGAGTTGTAATGTCTATTTCTATCAATAGCCAAAGGTTAAAATACGGTTGTTTACAGTTTGATAGTTTATTTCGTAAAAAATAGTAGTAAAATAAGTTAAATAGCAAAACACAAATTGCAACAACAAAACTTTCTGCACTTAAGCCAAACAAATTAAAATAAAAATTTGCTTTAGCTGATCTAATAAGATGATAAGTTTACAGGAAATTTAATCTATGATATTTACTTTCAATAGACACAAATTAATTTTTCTTCATACTGCAAAGTTTATTTTGCTGCTATGATCAATCATCTGACCAACATAAATAAAAAACTGAAATGCCACACATCTATTGTACACTTTGTTTACAAACAATTTCAAAGTACTAATTACTTCAAAATCTACCACCATAAACAATTTCTAAGCAATTACTCATGCTTGAAGAATGTACCCACCGTGACTGCGAGCAATGAAATGGTGCGTGTGCGTGTTGTCCTTCTTTGCTGCCTCGACCGCAGTGCTCTACTACTTAATTCTGTTAGAGGAGAACCAAAAATCTCCTGTAGAACATTTGAGACCTTCCTTCGACAAGCACTACAGACTTTTCGGGGGCGACGAGAACGTCAACAGAGTTTTGCGTCGTATTGGAGTAAACCCGATGAATGTGCACTTAGGCTACTCGGTACCAGAAGTCGTTGTGTTAAAAGCCGAGGACGATGTGTACTCGTTAACACAATACTACCAATTGACAAAAGTGGAGTTACGGTTCAAACTTGGAGAGGAGTTCGAAGAAACTTGTGTTCACAATGGTGGGTCCTTAAGATCTGTTATAACACAGTTCAAGAACAACCTGACCCATGTTCAGATCAGAGAGGGAAATAGATTCCCTCTAATTACTAGAAGGGTGTTCAAAGCTGAAGAGTTGGTAGTGGAATTGAGAGTTGGAGATTTGGCGAGCTCCTTAGTTTATTTACCTGTTAGAGAAGAGACTTGATGTAAGTTTTGCAGTAAAGAATTTGTAAATACATAACTTTATAGCAGTTTTTTCATGCGGAACTATGTAAGACTGGTTTTAGGGACTTAATATTTGTCTGCCATTGTAGGTTCAGGATTATTTATCATATCAATATTTTCGTCATCTATGGAATAAAGCTCTATATAACATTTTCACGATAGTAGGAACATATTCCCGCTAAAAAAATTGGGAACCTCAAAAGTTTATGTTGCACGATTTTATCTGACCTTATAATATCTACGCACACCAGTGTTTAGTTTATACATTATCCTTGTTTTTAAATTTTACAAACAAAACAAAAAAAAAAACAACTAAAGAAGATTCGACTATAAAAATAAATGATATTAGTCTAATGCCATGTTGAGGATAAATGTATGTCACTGTAAATGTAAAGCGATGAATAAACTTTATATTTAATTTAAGAAATTGGAGATTATCCATGAAAAACACCTTACTACATTCTCTTTACTGTTATTTGCCTCAAGTAGGATATCAATTCGGACCTAACGATTGACATTTAACATGTAAAGATGACCTTGCAGTAAATGTTATTTTAAACAACTGAGTCTGCAAATAGTGAACTAATGTCAGTTATTGTTCTGATGTAATGTAACAATCATTGACTCCTACATGACACTAACAGGCTATTAGTGATAGAAACTTTATGTCACTATAACAAGGGAGGAAACAAAGTCAGCATTTGTCCTCTCCAGCCACCATTCCAATCTAACTGTCATATTAAAAACGTTGTTCTAAAATTTTGAAGATTTTAAATTGTTTTAATGTCACGGCCAATCAAGTTACTGTTAGACTAATCTAATGGGTTTATACGGATATTTAAATGTAGTAGCACCTAATGAAATCCATTATCCTATGGTCAAAATGAATGACTTCTTTGTGAGCTAAGGTAAAATAGTTAATATAGCTTATAGCTACTAAAACTATATATTTAAAAATTACTCGTAGCTCTCAAAGAAGTAGCCTAATTAATTTTGACTACACGACATGGATTTCATAAGGCGCTACTATGTTTGTATGGCTTTTAATACATAAACCCATTAGATAAGCCTACGGTAGGCCTACTGACTGGCATTAAAGCTAATCGGACGAGTTTGTTGGCTTTTTTACCTTGCATAAGACTACTAACTTTAGCCTACAACTTAAACATAAGCGGTACCTACGGGATGTGTTGTGTTCTTGCTAATAAAAACCAATATATAAAATTAAATTCGACAGTTACCTGACAAAGAGGTCTTACTCGCACAGATTATAGCACGCCAAGTAGCTAATTGATGCATTTAACTTACTTTTGTCACATTTATTCTATTTTTGCCACATTCATTTTTTGCCGCACTCCACTATTCCAAACAAACAAGTTGGCAACACTATAAGATATTACGACTACGATCAGCTGGTGCAGAGTTTCCCCATTTCGTTCAAAGTTTGGATTTAACCTAACCTAAAAAGTGTTGTTAGGTGTATGAAAGACTAATTATTTGCATGCTTTATAGTAACTGTAGTAACACGTATAATATTTAACACGAGCGCAAAATTTGCAAACTAGTTACACAAATAACTATTGATGTAAATGTTTTACATTAAGGGGGGGAGTTCAAATAAAAAGTGAAAATCTTTATTTACAAACCAATTTTACTCATACTACACCTTAAGGTGAAGTTAAATAAAACATACAGAAAAAAACTGGAAATTTTTTTTTCCGCTACCCATGGTGGGGGGGGATTTTTGCGTATTGCAAGGGTTTGCGAGAACATAAATTTCTCAGGTTTTAAAAGTGATAGAGAGTTGTTTTTTTTTTAATCTGTTCCTGAGAGTAATACCTACAATCTCTAGCATGGGTTTAAGGAAATTATATAAAATAAAATTACAGTAAATTTTTAAATTTTGAAAAATTTTTTCCCACAAAATAACTGGTAAAAACTATTTTTTAAAATACTTTAATGACATTATTTTTACAAATCCATGCTAGAGATTGTAGATCTTGTCAAACTGAACAAAATAAAAAAGAATTGATCCTTCTATGTAGTATAGAACTTGAGATATTTATGTTCCCATGCGAAAAAAGTAAACTTTTGAAAAACGACCGAATACCAAAACACGGTGCTTTTAGTGATTGACGGAATGCAACTTCAAAGTATTTTTTATGAGAAATAAAAATCGTATAAGGTTGGTTTTAACTGCTTTATGTTCAGAATTTAATATATAATAAAAAAAATAAAAATTAAAAAATTGTAAAAATTCATATTTTGGCCATTTTTGGCAACGACCGAATACCAAAACACGGTGCTTTTAGTGATTGACAAAGTGCTACTTCAAAGTATTTTTTTTATGAGAAAAAAAAAATCGTATAAGGGTGGTTTTAACTGTTTTATGTTCAGAATGTAATATATAATAAAAACAAATAAAAAAATAAAAAATTGTAAAAATTCATATTTTGGCCATTTTTGGCGTGAACTCCCCCCTTAAGACCTTTGATCATTGGGCGAAAACATTAACCTAATCAGACGACGAAAACCTCTGAGGTGCATATTATGATTTTGACCTGTATAGTCAAGTATACTTCTATTCAGTAAAAAAAGAAGTTTGCATTTTCAACAGTTAACGTAACATCAATATAAGTTAAACTATATATCCCTTAAAATTAATACATTTTGCGGGGTCCTTTGAACCAAATTTACAGTCATATAATTTTGACAAAACAAAAGCATGAACTGTAAAGTCTATTTAATTAAATTCAAGTAGTAGGTACACACCTTTAATTGGCCATACTTGTTGATTCAGCGTAATTGATCTCGTATCTTCCAGGGAAAAATATAAGAACCATGCAGTTTTTAATCGAGGACATAAGAAATCAGCACATCAATCAAGAAACAAATCATTCTTCCGGAGCAAAGAAAACTATAAGAAGTCAACCGGTATACACAATATGAAAAATAAACGTTGAAAATAGACACCTACAACAGAAACATTTGTTCAAATATCTCAATTGGCTTCACTTTTTGAAGCTCTTTGTCTGATAAAGCTTTGTAATCAACGACAGTCAGTGAGTTCCGACATAAATTTCTCCGACACCCCAGTGTCTGAGCACCTTATCTCTGTTATGTCTCGTTGGCGGAGACATGAGAGGTGTCGCTTTTGTCAGCGTTATCGCTACAAGTCGACCAACATTTCACCACTTCTCTCATTTCCTCCATTGTCATCGTTTGTGAAAGATCGCGCCGTTTTCCCAAATCGTCAAAACCTTTGGGTTCATTGTTTTATTATGAAATTTCACAGAGGGTGAAATCACCAACACCTTGATGTGAATTGAGTACCTTAGTATAACCTTTATTTGAGGTAGAAATTATACTTTTAGTCTTTAAAAATAGCTGCTCAAGAGCAGCTATTGAATCAAATTTATTCATACTAGTAAATGTGTTTGAAAATTAATTGATTTGCAATATTAATTAGTCACAGTACTTAATGCATTGTTAATTAGAAAGAATGCTTGTTTAGGTAGCCCAAAGGCTTTTAATAGTAGGGATGGCTATTAAAAGCTAATTGGTGGAGCTATTTTCTAGTAACTCCACATAAATCTATAGCCAACCACAATAAGGCAATAACTGTGTACACAGTCTGTAGTAAACTAATACAGGATTCCACAAATAACGCTGTAGGATAACATTTCAAACCATTTAAAACTAGGTGGATCCAAATGGAGCCAACTAAAGCAATATTTTATACACGTAATAACTGAGCCCTATATCTGAGGGATTATCAGTGAAATACTAGTTGGTGTATTAACAGTTAGCTGGAAGAGCTTGTAATGGTTATTGGGCATTACCGTACTGAGAATAATCCTTAATGAATTGTGGTTGTTTAAACCTTTATAGCAATTATATTCCATAGCGGTTGTTTTAGTTTTATTGTAGCAATTTTATTCATTTTCTGCCTATAAAACATATTTAACACCAGTACCATGTTTTTTAATTCATGATACATTTTAATAGATAGTCATTTAATCGATATGTAGTCAACGATAAGTTGATTTTGATTACCCGAATGTTTATAAGGATGACATCCGGGACAGTTAAATTGCGACTACGTGTCTCAGTTGATTATTCTTAAACGGTTTTATTTTGTGATGTTTTACTTTTAAAAGATGAATGTGCTTTCAGCAATTGAGCACTAGGGTGTCGGAGAAATTTATGTCGGAACTCCTCGTCGACTCAATGATTTTCCTTGTTTAGAATGCTTTATCAGACAACGAGCTTAAAAAAGTGAGGCAACTTGATTTATAGAACAAAATGTTTTCCAAGCTGTAAGTGTATTTCCAAGTTCAGTTTTAATCTTGTTTATATCAGTGTATTTCTTGTAGTTATCATTGTTCCGGAAGAATAATTGTTTGTAGATTGTTGTGCAACTTTTCTTAATACCTTGATTACAAATTGTGTTGCTCTTATAATAATTTTACTGAGAGATAAAATACTCTATCAATTACACCATTAAAGGTTTGTACAAAACCTGTTAATAAAACTTTGTACCTCATTAAAGTTTAGAAAACAAAAACGCAACTGTTCCACCTCAAAATGCCGAGCATGCATTAAACCACACCCAATAATTACACCAGAGAAGATCAAACTGAACAAATTGAATTCACTGTCACAGAAGGAATTTAATTAAATAGACTTTACGGTTCAGGCTTTTGTATCGTGCAAATAATAAGACTGTAAATTTTGATCAAAGGCCGTGAAAAATATGTTGAGTTATTCAAAGGGAGTTATAATTTTACTTATTGGTTTTATGGTTACTCTACTGGATGCTAGTTTTTTTTTTAACTAAATAGTAGTATACTTGATTTAAATCATACATCATGCCATTAAGCACCAGAGGAATTTTTAATGTCTGATTGAATAAAAGTCAAATTAATGTCATCTTGCAACTCAATGCAGTACAGTTCCTATGAACATAATTGTAGGGATTGTTCCATATTAGCAAGAACATAATGCACCCAACATCACATGTTCGAGTTTTAGGCCGATGATAGGAGGCAAATGCAAGGTAAAAGAAAGCCACCAAACTTTCCCCGGAAACTGTAATAGAATAAAATAACATAAAATGAAAAACCCAACAAATAAACAAAACTAAAATTTATTGTTGTATGATAATTTAATTGCAAATCAATGTGACAAAACTCTAGAGCCTAGATGTACGCGTTGAATCGAGAATGTCAAAGTGCATACAAATACTTTATTATCATCCAACCTTTAATGGCATGTGTTTAAGTTAAACTTTCTACATTTTTACGAGCCTGGTGATTATGAGAAGTAAAAAGTAGACGATAATCATTGCTCAAGAAACAGCGTGACTCATTTTACAATTAAGAAACACCAGCAATTTATATTAACCTAGGGCCTTAAATCAAATACACATCAAATGAGCAAAATGAGTAACGGAGTGAGGCGCCTTTTGTATAGTTCTAGACACTGATTAAGATGAGCCATTTTTAAGACGACACTTTTTATTGTAGCACAGTGATTAAGAACAGAAGGTAATTAAGAACAGGGTTACATACCATAAAAAGCTACTGACTTTTCCCAGCACCTGTTTATTACCGGTCTGCGTACAGAAATTTGTATATGTATACATATGTATATATATATAACTAATACAAATAAATCAATCAATTATTGAGATGGGGACGCCACATAGGTGCATATTTTAACCCAAATCTGGGTGAAGGATGAGTTTAGAATGGAGTGAGATGATCTTTGAGCTTTGTTACTGACTAAAATCAGCCGTTTCATTTATCAGGATCCAGGATCATTTATTTAAAGCCCGATGATCAGGAACAGCTGGGTCCAGTTTATATGTTAAATGTTATACTGTTCAAAAATGTAATTCATACACTAAACCAAATGCATAACACGGGAAACACTTTGATTACCCCTGGTTCCATTTTTCACAACAAATGAGAGTTGTTCATATAATATAATCCACGCTAATCCCACCATTGAGCTTCAGTCTAATTAATTCTGAAAATCCTCATGTAATCCTGAAAAACTCATTCAGCGATCAGCTGTATCGTAAAATATCGATGGAAAGTGAACATGTTAATTCCAGTTACGTCATAACTAGATTTAGACCATAATTTACAGATGTTATAATCTACATTCCCTGTTGCATTGCAAAATGTGCCACAAAGTTGTGAGTTTTTCATCTTGAATGACATGCTTTAGTCCAGATTTGTAAGTAAAATTTCCAGGTAGTTTTTCATAAATTAATTGGTTTTAACTAAACAAAGCTATTGATTGACATTAGCTGTTACAAAATAATCAAATCATGATATCGATACGTAAAACTATCGTATATCTTTAAACTTCAGGAGGTCATCAATACAGAGATGGCTATGTTCGCACAAGAGAGGGGGTTTTTGGGTCTCTAAGTAAATACACTAACAGCTGTTAGTATCTAAACCTCCATGGCGTTTTCTTATAGCTGAAGTTATTGGTGATCTTGACCTCTACATTCATGACCCGTGCTTTAAGCATCAGACAAAGCGCGCTCTTAAAGACATTCCTGATAGAATTGTTATAATCTGCAATATACTTTTACGTAGCTACAAACATGTTTATGAATAGTACTATCGATTAAAAGTTGTTTCACAAGAAAGGGAAGGAGATGTGTCCAGAAGGGTTGGGAGGTCGTCTCTGAAGATCGTCAGTCTTGAGAGCTCCGTTCATTCGACGATGCCAGCAACTCCTGTCAAACAAATACCTCAAATCAGTTTATTTATGAGCTATAAACTTTTTATACAGCAGATCTATAGAACATCATTATTTTCTTTAGCGTTCTTTCCCGCAGCGAAGCACGGGTATGGCGGCCGGTGTTTCATAGATGAAGATTAGTCAAAAATGGTACAACTATGGTGGAATTTAGAAAATCGAATTCTGTGAAATTTGTATAGTAAGCTGCAAGGTAGAAAGCTTGAATAAAATTAAAGAATTTAGGCATGCTATCTGTATCATATGTGTCATCACGGAAAGATAAAACACTTCTTTGTGGTGACATCATAAGCAAATAAATAATTTAATTACAACACTATTGTATGTTGTTAGATTCTGATCTAAGTGGATTAAAAGCAATCATCTCCAATAAATTATCTCCCGTTTGTTGAATTAAACCAAGAATTTTTTTGTATCTATGGAAACTAATACCAGCGAGAACTAATATTTTTAATGACAGAAAAACTAAATTGCTCTTGATAAAAATAGGAAAATAAGAATCAAATACATCAAGAAAGGTATGATCAAGATTTTGAACTTAAGAATCATTCCAAAGCATGCCCGTAGACTCACACCCTACAACGAAGCCATAACACCATGATCGGTGAGTTATATGAACTATTTGTTGGGTATGTATTGTAACTCATTTAGTAATTGATTATCTTTATAAATCTTTATATCTCTTGATAAATGGTTAATGGTTTCTGCCGTACAAAGGACGATTAATATTGTTCTAAATATGTTCTACTACCTGTACCCGCGGGCTTCGCCCCGTTTAACTTCATAAGTATTCGCATGGCTCATTCACGTCCTGGTTGAAGTTCGTTCGCTACGCTCACTCACCTTTAGGTTGGAGCTCGTTCGCTGCACTCACTTGCCTTCAGGTTAGCTCGTTCGCTACGCTAACTCGCCTCCAGGTTGAAGTTCGTTCGCTACGCTCACTCACCTTTTGGTAAGAAATTAGCTGTTGTCATAAATAAAAAAAAATTAATAGTGCTGCACCCTGTTGGTAATCCTTGTAACTTTTATGCTATTGCACATCATAGAACAGAACCAACTTGTTTAATTGAAACAGCTGTTAAGATTCATTAATTCCTTTTGAAAAATCATAAGATTAACATGGGGAACTACAGAGCCACTGGGGCGGAGCCCGAAAGGGTTTTTGAGATAAGAATATGCTATAATGTTAATCGGGAATGTGAGCTATCATCATGCCAAATTTCAGCCCAATCCGTCCAGTAGTTTATGCGTGATTGAGCAACAAACACACACACAAACATACACACAAACACACACACAAACTCACAAACTTTCAGATTTATAATATTAGTAAGATAATACTCTGAAAGCTCATCAATATGTTTTCTGATTTAATATTATTTCATGAGAGAAAAAGAGTTTGGATATACTGGATGTAATTATACTTGATGTACAAATTCTAATATTTTTATGAATTTAGGTAGTTTATTGGATACAAATGAAGAGTACTTTGACGACTTTCCACATAAACGATGAAAGGAAGGGAAACTTAATACTCCGAACCTACTAGTAGACATACGTCATAAGGATTACCAAACTCTGCTCAGACCTTACTCATTGATGGAAGCAACAGCTAAAAGATAAGTGAATTTATTTGGTAAATTATTTGGTAGTTAGTAATAAATATAACTTAAATTATAACGAAGTCCACACAGTTGTCTTTAATAACTGGCAATATGGACAGTATCAATATCCAGCGGCGTGTAAAAAAAAATATTGTCCATTTGTCAGTTATCCAGACAATTTATTAATCTCAAATCGTTCGATTCTGGTAGCCAGCAATCTTAAGCAACTTCCAAAAAGAATGCAGCTCCAAATCAGGAGGTTGTGCATTTGTTGGTTACCAGGCTTCCGGCTTCCCTGCATGGGAGACTTAGATATTTTTATTTGTTACGTACATTGACAATGTTTCATACCAAGTGGTATTACAAGTGTACAAACTACTAATCAATGTGTGTTATTTCCAGCCCATGGCAAAGAGAGAAATCAATTCCATTGGATCAAGTGGAAACTCCCAGGAACTCAGTAAAATCCCCGTTGGGGCATCTAGAAGAAGAGACGATAGTTATCGCTGGCCCATCGCAGATGACAAGCAGCTAGCTAAATTAGGAATTCACGCACACATCAGATGAGAATGTATTGGTTTTCCTCTTGACTTGCAGAAGAGGTTTTCTGTGATCTCGTGAAGTTCTTCAGCAATGTACTGGCCTGAAGAATAGGACTTCCGCTGATACTAAACTAAAATCCTGTAAAGAAGTCCCTGGACGCTGGAAGGCTGTACCTTGTCCCCTGATCCCTTGTCATGTACAATTTGTGGTATGCCACACTGAACGGGTTAGCACTCATTGTATCCAATCAAGAATAATAAACCGTAACTAACTGAAAATGAATTATCTTATAGTATTTTTACAACTACGGTTCATTAACTGGAGTTAGATTTGAAATAGTAGAACATTTATATCATTACCATGCCTATCATTTTTTAATTTGTATCAAATTCCCAGTTTTAAGAAGAATTAATTATATTTATTTTGTTTTGAAATATTTTGCAGAACATATTGCACCAGCAACTCTTAGAAAGAAATACAGTATTGGATGGCTCAATTGTTTACTTCTACGCACATGTTGTTTCAAATTCTTGTGATCATTTTAACATAGGGATAGAATATTTAGTTGTATCAATAGTCAACGCTTGTACATGCTAGTAACTGACCTGATATTGTACAGTTTACATGGAGGTGTCGCAGTTTCGTGCATCTGCCAACCGTAATCCCAGCCTGACGTATCTTTGTGGCGGAACTTGTCATACGGGGCCAACTTGTTGCGCAGCGTGAGATACTTGTAGCGGCCCTCCTCGTCATGGCTCACTCCTGTAATTCAAACGCAAACAATCCCGTTGAACCAACAGTTTACTTAGCTAAAACCTTAAAAAAACCAAAAAACAGAGGACCAGGCTTATAAGTAGAGCATGGGATTGCATCGTAGGAAAAATAGCTTATTGTGTACCAATGAGCTGCACCAACAACCTCTAACTTTGTACTGTAAAGTAGAAATACTCTCTATATACACTAGCCGTATCCAATTTTTAATCCAACTCGAATATATTTAAATGAGCGGCTCAGATAGTCCGCTATCTGAAACAACTAATGTGTCAGTTGTTCGATTAAAAAGTCGATGTATCCGACAGAAACTAGTAATTAAAATCGGAACAATGCAACCACATTATTTTTATACTGAACACCCTATTAACACCGTAGTAGCTGGGAATGTTGTAAAGTATGAATGATAAAAATTCGTGTTTATCGTAAAATATATAGTATACCTTTGCCCCAGAACTGGGCTGTTCACGCCCAAACCCAAGTGCAAAATGTATGCCCCAGGTATGCTTTAAACTTTTTAATCATATACATTAATTCATACTTTGCTTAAAATACCTACTTTGTATGGTCGCCATTTCATTGAAAAGTATGAAAAGTAAGTATTAGAAGGTAAAAGTTTGGTTCCGGTTACTGAGGCTGAAGTGGTCTTTAGTCTTAGAAAAGCGACAATAGGCTTACACTCACTGGAATATCACAAAACAACATCAACAATCTATCTTTGATCAATATTAAATAAGTGTTTTATGCAATATTAAGTGTTCTAGGCAATACACAAATAAGAAGTTAACTTCAAAACATTTGCAAACATATTCTGCAAGATTATGTTAAATATTTTTATGTAGAACATATATATACCTAATAACGTTTTACCTACCTTTGTAGAGCGTATCTTTGACTTCTTTTGCGACAGGATACATTGGGTCTAAAATCACTTCCTTTTTCTCCTCTTCAAATTTTGGCTGTGCTAAGCCTTTAGCTCTTATTTCTCTATCTGTTTTAAACCTTTCCTTTCTCCGATTTCTCAGCTCCTCATACAAAATAGCAGCTTTCTTAGGTACTTTCTCAGGTGGTAGTGATGGATTTAAATATACTCTCTCGTAATTCTCTTCGAACCATTTTAACCTCATGAGATTCTGTTTTCTTTCAATTTCCTTTGCAACAGCTTGTGCTCGAATCTCTGCGATAGCGATTGCAGATTTACTCCCCATTTTTATAAAGTGTTGAAATAATCACGAATAATTTAGACTGGAAGTGTAATATGTATGTTGTGATTAGGTTATGTTTGATGTAACGTTTTAAAAATAACAATGTACAATCTCTGTTTATACTTTAAAAACATGTTTTCTGCATAATCATGTGATGGTAATATTATTTACTGTATTATACTACCAACATAGCATCGTCTAAAAAAATTGTGCAAGTTAGGTTCTAAAGCTATTGTAATTCTGAAAACGGTTTTGATTTTTGTTCATAACTGGTGACGTTCGAGCGCGCTGATGTCAAATAAACTATCTTTTCTTATCTGAGGGTATATTTTACGAGTTTAGCTTTACTCTCTGTATTGCATTGCCAGATGTCAAACAAAATTTTACAAAATAGATTGTTGTAGTTGGTTGAAACAGTTGCAAGTTGGTCAAACAAGGAGTAAAACATACAAAAAATACGCCTCCCCATAACCCATACAAAGGTAATCTTAAGACTCTCTTCAGCTGCTGTGACGATATATCTACAAAAGTGAATTAAAAAAATACTATTATACAAAGTCAATAATATAATTTCCACGGTTTGAGATTGTCCAAAAATCTACAAAGTATTCAATCATATATCAATCCATTTTTTAAAATGGGGACGCCACTAAGTGCGTATTTTAACCCAAATATGAGCGAAGGATGAGTGTAGGATGAGTGGCGCGATCTATAGTCTTGTTAGAGACTAAGGATATTATTTATTATTTTTTTCAATGGTATCATAAACTCAATAACTGTAAGCAAATAAGAACGAGTTTTTCAACGAACGACAACAAATCTCCATACACGTATGGCAAAATCTATATTTTTTGCTGAATAAGAAAACGCAGGAAATCCCATTTCATGAGATAGATAACCCTACACCCCTTTCTCTTTAGAATTCGATTTATAATAATTTTCAATATTGGCTCTTAATTTCTCAGAAGGAGAGGAGAAAATGTAAGAAATTCCGTGTTTTTTATCAGATTAACATTTGTACGGTTGTCAACATTTCCGACCTCATTTAATCTTCCCCTCTGCAACTCGTTAAAATCCACTTTATCATTTAGGAATTTGACTGAGAAAAACTTTGTTTACAAAAAATCTCTCTCGCTTCTTTTAATGCAGTTGAAATTGACTGTGGTTAAGGTTTAAACATACGGGAGAAGCAAAAACAGCTTTTTCGTCATACTGAAGCAAAAACAGCAGATCTTAATGCATGCGTTGCGGGTCCAAAGTAATATTTTTATTCTCTAGGGAGTCAAAATAATTTTTAGTACCTAGAGAGCAAATATCAGCTGTAGAATTTGATAGTGGCAATCATATCAGTCGAAATTATTTATCGATTGACTTTTAAGTGGGTTTTTAGCCTATTGTTGTCAATTGCTCGACATATCCAAATTGCATATTGCCAGTCCAAATTCTTACCTTTGTTATTGCTTTTTCACAATTATTTTGTACTTCATTGTTAATTATTGCTTTCCTAGTCATGATTATATTTCCTGTTACCAATGTTGCTCTGATCCTGCCATAGATTTAAGTTAGTTGTTAAGTTTTCTGTTAAAATGCACGTTGTTACCACATAGGCTTCTTGTATCCACATTGTAAATTGGTGATATATTGCCGTTGGAATAAAGAAAAAAAAAAAAAAAAATAAATATCGACGTTATTATACTGTAACACACTCGTAATAGACAAAATGGTTTAACCACTTACTATACAGCTGATTATTTGTATTAACAGCATTGAAAACAAGCTGGAAGTCGTTTTGAGAGGTTATCTTTTCATAAAAAATATTTCGTTTGTTAGCGTAGTTTGTTATTAATGATGCGATATGACGAAAAATATAGTTCACTTCACGAACAACTCACTTTCCGACCTAGGCTTCGCCTTGATCGTAAAACTTGACCTCGGGTCTAAAATAGTCACTAGGCCCTAGTGATGAAATATACTATTTAGTAATTTTCTCTTGATAATAATTTGTAAAATACCTTGGTTCCAGATTTTATGAAAACATACACTTTTATACATAGGGATTGGAAAGGTGAATTTATTAGTGTAAAATAAATTTCTTCATTGAGCAAAATTTCGTTTACTGGATAAAGAATATTGCGGATGTCAGGCTAATAGTGCTCGTCACAAAAGTTTCTGAAACTTGGTTACCGACTAATTCACCTCAGGCCACATAGCAAAGCATTTCTGTTTGCTTGGCCAGTGACCAACGTTATTACTCTTTGACAATTTTTGAAGTTTCCTCGTACAAAATATATTTCATAAATTGTGTTTTGATTTAACTTTGACAAAGCTTTTCCGATAGCCATCCATAAGTAAAAGTAATTTATCAGAATCATATAGATCATGTTTATTGTATGAATAAAAAAATATTCATCGTGTTTTATTTAGGGCAATATATACGTTAACATCATTTATTTTGACTGACTTCCCCTGATACTTATCCATGTACACAATTTGCTTAAAAAAGAAGGGATGATCCATATACACAGGGCTCATTTTGAAATTTTAAAAGTTTTTAAAAGTACATTGTTAGTATTTTATGGCCACATTATTTTTATACACCCTTTTCACACTGCACAGGTATATTCACTAGTACCATATTTGTGAAGCAATAACATGTAAAAAATTCAAGCTAGCCGCAGGCAGATATTGTGATAACAGTAGCCATTATAAGCACGAAGATGTTGTTATCTCACAGTGGCCTAAGGCGTATTTCTAATACATAAAATCTAACAAGCATTGGAACACTTCAGGCTTGAGTTTGTTATAAATTATATTATACAATGACATATTTAGTTAGGTTTTTATGGAGTTGATTTTATATGATTTGTTTACAACTAAATCACTCTTGTAGGAAGAATCAACATATAGTTTGCCCACAATGATCAATCTTCAATGATGAAATTGAATTGAAATAAACTGGCTACCACTAGAAAACATTTATCTGGGGGTGCTACAATAGGCTACTCACTTCGAACATGTTTGGTGAATTTTGAATGGGAATTTTGGCTTATAAAATTTCAATAACCAGTATTAGACTTATTATATAGAGAACTCGTACCAGTGAGATGCGTAGTGGGGAGCGAGCTGGCGTAGTGGTTACAGCGCGGGGCTTCAGTCCCTAAGGTCCCTGGTTCGATCCCCACCAAGTCACCAATGGATTTTATCTAAGTGATAATGCCGCAACCCCTAGGTCTAGCCTGAAGTAATGTGAAAAACAATCCCAGGCTCGTGCTTAGTGTCCTAGGACAAAAAAGGTGAGATGCGTATTATGTATACGGTTTATGATTTTATTTAAGGGTAGGTAATCCTACATTATGGGTACAAACAGAGCATTTATTAAGTGGAGAAAGTTGAGATGTTTACATGTTAGACATATACAGTGGTGATATATCAAGATGAGTCAGACTGCTTCTTTGGACTAACTTCTTCTTATTTAATAAGTTTTTTTCAATTCGTATTATGGTTGTGCTAAAAACTCCCCTTTTAACGTTTTGAGTAAAATATCAAACTATTACATTGTTATACTGTTATCAAACTATTATTAAACTATTATACTGACACATTTAATAAAAAAAGGTCCATAGAAAAAAACCTATTTAGAAATTGTCTGCAAAAAGACAGTTGAACGAGGAGTAATCGATTTAAAGCGATTACAAAATAAACTATAATTAAGAAGAATATGCGGAAATAGCTACAGTTAAATTTATAAAGATAAACAATGGTTTAGTAGACTCATAACTATGATTATATGCTTCTTCTGATTAAAACAAATACTGCCGCAAGAATATTAGACATTCATTTACAAATGAGATAGCTGCCGACTCAGCAAAATGTAGGCTGCATTGAAACAAAACGATTGCTTTCCAGTTGAATGACTATTGAAATCGACTCTGAGGCTTATACCCCTTCTCGATCATTTTCGATATTTCCTTAGCGCAAATGGAATTCTTTTATCTTGGTTTGTATGTGCTGAAGAATATTTATTGCAAAACATAAACATAATCATGAAAGTGTTGTAAAAAACATTTAAGACTTAATTCGTTCAAAAATAACACTACACTTTATTTACTATCTAGTTCTAGTTTCGAATGCAGAAGATTATAGGTTTGTATAGTTTCTTATCACAGCTACCCAATAGATAAAGACAGTATGTATTCAAACAGATCCATACCAATGCACATTGCGTATGGCCATGTTCAATACATCTACATACACTCTAGTTACCGCAGTGGCACTAACACTCAAGTAACGGAGATATATGGTGCTGTGATTCTACCAGTCGCAATACATCAATGCATGTAGGTAAACCTAATAGTGTTATATATTCTATACTCTTGTATGAGCAATGTTTGCTTGTATGTATGCTTGTATGCTTGTACAGAAATCTCTAAAACGGCTTCGAAATTTTCCTTCAAATGTTTAAATAATTTATATCTGGCCTAAACGTGCTTATTGCAGTTGAAACAACCTACAAAAATTTAATTACGTAAAAAATTAAAATGAAAGTACAATTTTTCTACATTGGCCTTGTAACCCATGTTGGCCATTGGCCAAGTAACCGTGTTGGTTGAACAAAATAAGAAGTACAAAGTAAACAAAAGACTTGTTACATGTGTTTATAACATAAGCCATCCACAGTATAATAGCAAATTACAAAATACAGTACAAAGGGAAAACATCAGTTGTTACTTTTGAGCAAAGATTACACTGAAGACTAGTGCACCTGTTGCTCGAATTCAAGCAATTTCAAAGTATTACAGGAGTTATTTCTAAACGAATAACAGACAGTCATAGTTTCTGACGACTTAAAAGAGTCAACTCAAAGATAATATAATCAGTCACTTCACCGCAGTTATCGAAACTGAAAACGCACTCACTCTGAAAACGAATGCTCTTAATGTGAATCATGTGTTTTCTATGAACACCTGTTTAAGTATGCAATTAATACAAATTATTCATCGCTGTTTAAGTAAAAACATCTTTTCTTCATAAGATATACATTGGGATTTTCATGGCTTGTGGGGCAAAGCCCGACGACTTTTATTACAGGAATTGGTGAA